CCTGGGAAGCCCCTTCACCACCGCTAGCCAGCTGTCCCTGTATCTGGATCCCTCCTGTGCCCAGAGCTGCCCTGGCCTAGCGCAGAGTCCCAGGACCGTCCAGGTGGCAAAAGGGGGATTTGAAAGTGACATGGCAGCAGCCCTCCCCTCTATCCTGGAGGCCAGTGACTGGGTGACTCCCCAGCTCGCTCAGCAGTGTTTGTGCCTATCTGTGATGCAGACATCCATTAAACATCCCCCCACATCCCTTCCCTTTGCCAAGGCCCCTCACTGTACCCCCCGTTCCATCCCAGGCCTGGTCTGTGACTGCAAAGAGTCGGGGGAGGAAATGCACTTGTCTGGCTGGGACAAGAGGGTCTTTGCTACCCTCCTCCTGACCTGGGATGAAACGTGCTGAGGACTGGCCTCTGAGCTCTCAGGCCCCTTCGGATCTCCCCTCCCCTGCCCTAGCCCCACCTTCCCTCTACCCTCCCCTTCCCCTGGCCTCTACCCCGACCCCAGCATGACTGCCCCCTTCCCCCAACTGGACAATAACAATCACAATGGAGAATCATTTATGCTTTGTTGCACCTCTCTGAGTACATTTTACCTGGAACAACATAGGGGGCTCAGGACATTTTACAGATCAGAAGACTGAGGCGAGGAAAGACACCCAGGCAAGGTTCCCCAGCTCCTCCTGGGCCCAGGGCTGTGAGATTCCAAGTCCACGCTCTTCACCATAGAGCTCTTTCTCAGCCTCAGACACAGGAAGAGAGTTGAGCAGCAGGTTCACCCTCAGCCTGCCCCTCCCCAGCCCTGCCCCCCACCCCACATACCTGGTCCCCGCAGGGGGGCAGGTACAGCCAGCCCAGACAGTTCCCCATGAGGGCAGAAGCAGGCTCAGCTCAGGCAGAATGCTTGCTGCTCCTTCTCCCCTCTCCGGCGCCCTCAGCCTGGGCTCCCAGCCCCGGCCAAGCACAGGGCCCGCCTCTGGACGGCTTCCTGGGCCGCAGCCCCTTGGGTGTCCACACCCTAGCTGCTGCCCCTAAAAGCTACTTAGGCTGAAGCTGCATGACTGCTCCCCCACCCCCACCTCTGAGTTCCTGGCCGATGCTGCCAAAGACTCCAGCCTGGCTGGCCACCTCCGTCTGTCTGTTTGCCTGTCCAGAGGCTGCGTGTCTGGCCTGTGACTGGCCTCCCTGGACGCAACTTGGTGCTGGTGCCACTGGAGGCTGTGAGGATGGGTGTGGGCAATGCAGTCGCACCATATAGCACTGTAAGTGGGGTCACCCCATAGCAACTAGAACCACCTAGGACATGCCAAGCTGTAGCTTCAGGGCCACACCAGGGTCGAGGGATGGGAGACCCCCAGGCTGGGGGCCCCTGGTTCCCTGGGTCGGGAGGCTTGGAGACCTGCTCCCCACTCCGTAGGACAGACGCTCATCAGCCTTGGGCCCCCACTGCTTTCTGCAGCCCAGGACTCAGCCTGTATGTGAACATGGATGGGAACAGAACACCACTGGAAGGAGCGGTGCGAGGGACATGTGGTCACAGCTAGTGGCCAGGAACACTGCATCCCAGAATAACAAAGGAGGCCCCCAAACAGAAAAGGAGCTGAGGAAGTACCACGGAAGGTAACAGAGTAACAAAGGCAACATCACAGAGTAACAAGAGGGGGTAGCAAAGGAAGTAGGTGACAGCAACAGAATAAATAATGGGCAGCCAGGGAAGAGCTGCAGGTCACTGTTCCAAAGGGGGGGCAGGAATGAGAGGGAGGGAACTGGGTGGCTATGGAGGGCCTGGAGTAACAGAGGTGAGGAAAGGAGGCCCAGTGGCTCTCCTGGGCAAACTCCTCCTCCCACCCCCCCCCACTCCCCCCTCCTCTTTGTCTGGCCTCGGCCTTAGGCATGGGGCGCTGTGATGGCTGCGAGAGGAGCAGAGAAAAGGGCAAAGGCCCAGAGTGTGGGCAGAAAGGTGTTGGGGGCTGTAGGCTGTTCAGGATCGCTGGGGACTGGGCTAGGGAGCTGACCAGTGAGGCCAGGAGCCAGCATACGGAGGTCAGGTCGGAGGTGATTAGAGGTCAGGGGGATCACCACCCCCCACACCCTCATCCGTCTCCTGCCACCTTGCTGCGCAGGCAGGCCTTGCGACAAAGGGAGAGTGGACTTTTCAGTGCTTCTCTCCCCGGGGCTGTCCCTGGGGCTGTGGGAGGGTCCACCGGAGATGGGGCTTGCCCTAGTGCTCCCGTTGTGGGGAGGGGGTTTTCCTCTGACCTTGAACCTACCTCCCTGCTCCGACGCCCCAGCTGTGGGGCGGAGCCTGGCCGGGACACTGGGGTTTGGTGGTAGACAGAGGCCTGGTCACAGCCAGAGGAATGGCTGGGGGCCGGGCTCGGGGGTGGAGCCATTAGTCTGACGCCCCAGAGCTTCCCAGGCCGGCACCTCTTCCCTAATGTGCGTTAATGGCCCCACGGGATGGCCAGGCCTCGCTAACGGCCTCCTCCCTCAGACTACACCAGGCCTCTCTTCAGAGAGCGAAATCGGAGCAGGCGGGACTAAAGCGACGGGAAGAAATGAGAACAAGAGACCCAGAGACCAGAGGAAGAGAGGAGAACGCGAAGACCAAAGAGCCAAGAGGTGCAGGAGCCGGGCCCAGGGACCCCCGGGTCTGCCCCGCCCATCCCCACGGCCCCGCCCATGACCCGCCCCTAGCCCCGCCCACCGCCGGAGGCGGGGAGCGGCGACTGTAGCCGGAAAGGGCAGCCGCGCAGCGCCACCTGCCGGCTCTGGGTGGGATGGCATCGTCCGAGGGGCTCCCCAGGCCCCGCCTCTCTGTCTCCGACGCGGCTGAGCTCTGCTGGGCCGGGCGATGATTGGGGTGAGGCCGGTGCCCTCGGGCTGCTTGCACTGCAGGGGCGTAGGAGTGCCAAGAAGGTGGTAGGCAGAGAAGACGGGCCTCTGCCGAGCCCCTAATCGGCTCTGCTCCCTCACCTTGGACCTGGCACTAACCTATCTAGACTGGGGTACCTCCAGGCAACGTGAAACCTAGCCCCTCGCCAAGTATCCCCGCACCTGAGACCAAACGTTTGCGGGCCACTTGGCGCCAAGTGCTGGAGAGCACTGGGGAAACATCCGCTGAGATCCATGGAAACAGATCCGTGTACCTTGGCCAGGGGAGGCACAGGGCTGGGGCAGCGAGGAGGGACATTTAACCCAACCTGGGGCCCTGGAGTCCTCCTTCAGGGTGGACCACAGGGCTGTTCTGGAATCTGCCCATAGTTCCTGCAGGCTGTTCAGGGAAAGGGAGGGAGCAACGAGACTAGGGGACTGGGCCCCCTGTCCCTGTGGCCCTGCCCCAGAGCATAGATTTCATCCCGTCAGCAGGGGGGAGCCCTTGAGGCGTTGTATACTGGGAGTGACAAAGTCAGGACACCCATGTTTTGGGGGGGGTCTTTTTTGAGGAAGATTAGCCCTGAGCTAACATCCCCTGCCAATCCTCCTCTCTTTGCTGAGGAAGATTGGCCCTGACCTAATATCTGTGCCCATCTTCCTTTATTTTGTATGTGGGACACCTGCATAGGTTCACACGTAGGATCCAAACCAGCAAACCATGGGCCTCCAGAGCAGAGCACACGAACTTAACTGCTCTGCCACTGGGCCAGGCCCAGGACACTCATGTTTTGAAAGGCCAAGTTCAGTGAGGAGAAGGAGCAGGAGTGGGCTCGAAGGGAGGAGAATGGGTTGCCGTGAGGGGTTTGTGACCACCCCTTCCCCCAGTGCAGATGCTGGGGGGAAAAAAACTAGGTGGGATCAGGGTAAATAAATTCAGGGGTCAGTAGAGTAAAAAAGATCACCCAGATTACGGGACCACATGGAGAGAAGGATGCACTCTCTTGGAGAGGAGAAGGAATCGCCAGTGAGGAGAAGTGGGGGCTTCCAGAGGCCAAGGTGGGGATTGTGGGAGCTGGTTCCACATGGGCATCCCAAAGCCAGCTGTGTAGACAGACATTGGACCGCCCCTCCTCCATTCTTTGCTGGGTGCCCCCAAGAGGAGACCCTGCCACATGGCCAAGGAGGGCTCCAAGGGTAGACAGCATCAGGGCACAGTGACCAGGAGCTTCAAGGTCCAGGACAGCTGTGGGAGTCAGAACCCACGTTGAAGAGATAGCAGGAGGGTGGTAGGGCCCAGACACTTGTGACAGGGGAGCTGGAAGGGGGCCCAGGTGGAGGGAGGTCCCTGTTATTCAAGATGGCAGAGTACATTTACATTGGGGGCTGGAGCCAATAACTGGAAATGAAGAGGGGTAAGAGGTGGGGGCCCTTCCTCCCTAGGAGGAGAGCAGGGCCCTGAAGAAAGGGGCCGGGGCCGGGGGGGGGGGGGGGGGGGGGGGTCCTCCTTCCTCCTTGGAAGCCTTTGGCTGAGGGATTCCAAGGAGATCCAGGTTTGAAATGAATGCTGGGAGATGGGGGGAATGCTAGGTAGGCTGCCAGGTCTTGAGGTCCCACCCCCGTGGGGAGGATATTCTCTTTAGCCTGGCCCGGAGGCACAGTGAGGGGGCGCACTGTGGGGCTCCTGGGAGGCTGGGATCCCAGCTCCAGTTCCACAGATAGGGTAGAGCCACGGCTTTCCTCCTCCTGCACACGTTGGTGGATGGCCGCAGGATCCACAGCTGACTTGCCCCTTGCCCCATGGGAGGCCCCTCCCCTCTTAGGGGCCCCTGAGACCTGGTCTGACGACCCCACCCCGGAATAGGAGAGGCAGCACTGGCAGAGAAGGCAGAAGCCCTGGTGTGCCTCTTTCCCACCTTCTGCCGGGAAAGGACATACAAATCTCGGCAGCGCACAGAGTGGCGGGGTACCGGGCGGGGTAAAGTGATAGGTTGGGAGGAGGGGGCCGCTGGGGGAGCGTTTCCTGGCCAGCGCGAGGGCTCCTGACATTTGCCAGGGCGTAGGCGCGGCTGTTTGTGCCCCGAAGCTAGATGGCAAAGTACACATCCTGGAGGAAAAGTGTCGCACGCGGGGGCGCAGGAACCAGGCGGGTTTTATTGACCAGACAGCCTGGCATGGCAGGAGCTGCGCGCCCTGGAGGCCGAAGGGACCGCACCTGGGTCAGGCGCGGGGGCGCCGCGGGCAGAGGCTGTGCTCATGACGGCCCTGCGGCGAGGTGGGGGCCGGCGAAGGCAGTTCGCTGTGCAGACCATGGCTGTGCGGGAGGCTCTCCGAAGGCTCTAGAAAGAACAGAACAGGACCGTGGGGAAAGGGCTGTGGGCCCTCTACTCCCGCCCCCAGGAATGTTTCCCAATGAGGAAACAATGAGGAAGGGTAGAGGCTGCTCCGGGAAAGCCTTTCTCGGCGCGGAGTGAGGATGAAAAGGTGGCCGGGTGCCCCACGGGCACGCAGACTTACCTTCCGAGCTCAGATCTCCCGGGATCCCCTCGCCCGCTGCGTTCCCGGCCCCCTTCCTCTCCCCACGTACCTGGCCCGCTCCGCTGAGGTCCAGAAATCGGCGCCCAGTCGCGGCTCCGGTTCCGGCGCGGGCTCCGGGGCGCACTGACGGGGAGCCCTGCGCAGGAGCTCCTGCGTCGCGCCTCCCACAATGCCTGAACCCCGGAGGGAAACAGGAGAGCGTCTCGGACGGCGGGCGTCGGGGAGAGGGTGTCTCTAGCAGACGGCCCCTGGGGAGACGCGCCCAGGCCGAGGGTGTCCCAGGCAAGAGGTCCGACAGGGGCGCGCAGCGCACGGCGCCACGTGTAGGGCGAACTGCGCAGCCCCATGAGCAGGCCCGCGGCGCGGCCCACCGTGTGGTAGCGGGGACTCGCCACGTGCTTGTACCAGGCGCCGGTGGGCAGCGGCAGCAGCAGCAGAAGCAGCAGCAATGCGAACAGCGGTCGGCTTGCAGGGGCTCCCCGCCATGGGCCCCGTACCCCCGAGCCCCGCGCCAGGGTGCTCACGTTGACGGCCGCCCGGCGGGGCGGGCCAGGAGTTGGCTCGACTGGGTCTGGCTCGTGGCGGAATCGGGGCGTCGGGGAGTCGGAGCGCAGGAGGCTGCAGGCGAGGAATCGGTCCCCTGGAAGGTCCAACTATAACTGCTCGGTGGCTCCGCCCCTGCTCGCCCCCGCGGTACCGGCTGGGCTCCCCAAGGATGGGGGAGGGATGGAGAGAGAAGTGGAGCCCAGGCTCCTGGGTCAGGGAGGTGGGTTACCAGAGCACTGGAACTCATCTTGACGCTCCACTGGGGGCGCCCCTGCTCCTCTCTTCTCAGGCTGCTCCGCCCCCGACCCCCGGGAGAGGGACTGCGAGGGCTGGGGAGATTTCCCCTTAGCCAGAGCTCTTGCAGGGGGAGCACCAGCAGAGCAAAGACAGGGAGGCTGGCAGAGCCACGGTGGGGTAAAGCAGGAGAGCTGATGGGTGGGGGTCCTCTGCACCGTTCCAGACCCCTGTGTGTATCTCCTCCCCTGAGGGCTGTCCCTTAGCTGTCAGCTAACACAGCTCTCAAATCTGTCCCCACACTTCTATCCTCTCCCACTGCTAGCTTCTCCCCACCAACTCCCTTCCCAGCTGCGACAGGCCGGATGCTTGCAACCACAAGTTTAGCCACATCAAGCCCTCCCTGAGGTGGTTAGTGGTTCCCCAAGGCTTCCAGAATAAAGAGTCAGCCCCTCCTCATACCCCTAGCCCTGGCCTGGGCAGCATAAGGCCCTGATGACCTCCAGTCTCCTGTCTGGTTGTGGTCCCCTTAAGACGACTTTCTCTGGCCAGCCTCAGTTTGGGAGGCTTACCCAACAATCCATGATTATACCCTCTTCTGTGCTTCTGTGCCTGGAATGTCCTTTCCTTCCTTCTCAACCTGGAGAGCTCCTACTCATCCTTCAAGATCCCACTTAAATGGCCCTTGTCTGAATAATCCCCTAGAGTATTCCTCTGTGATTGTCTAGCTTTAACAACCCCCTTCCAGAGGATAGGGTCTGACCCATTCTTGCCTGAGTCTCAGCCCAGGGAGGATTCAGCCCTCAAAATAATTGAACCTCACCCCACCTCTCAGCAACCACACCATGCATGGGGCATCTTCTAGATCTCAGACACCAGGGATCCTGAAATCTTATTTTGACTCCCAAACAATGCCAAAGGTGGGACAATTATTGATTCCATTTACCAATGAGGAAACAAAGGCGTGGGGAAAATTGACTTGTCCCAGATGACCTGTGGGGTTGGCAGTGGGGAGGGGGGTGTCTAACCTCCCCCAGCCGGAGAGTCCCAGTTTGGGGACCTCAGCTGCAGTTCTCCCTGCAAACCTCCCATGGCCCTCTGCCTGTCTCTTCAGCCAAAAGGAATGGGCGATTCTAGGGGTGGGGGGAATGCAGTCTGGGTCTGCCCTTCCTCCCAGGACTCTGTGTTGAAAGGGGAACAGAGGAGTTGGGGATGCAGAGGATGGCCCCTGCTCCTGAGGCCTGAGGGCCCCATAGGTTCTGGCACTCCCCTAGTGAGGTTTAGGAGCAGCCCCAGCCTTCCCCTCAAAGGCCCCGCAGAACCGGTGAGAAGCCGGCCTCGGAGCCCAGTGCCCCGTGCTCAATGGGGTGGCTCTGTGGGGAGGGTACATGCCTTGACCTCTCCTGCCTCAGTGTCCTCATTTGTAAACAGCATAATAATAGTTGCCACCCCATCAGCTTGCTGTATTAATAATCCAGGCGTGGGTCTTGGCACTGTGCCTGGTACACAGTAGGCATTCAATAAATCATTGTGGCTGCCATCTATTGCTGTTGCTCTCCCAGAGGCTGACCAGCCCCCTAAACTATCAGTGAAAACACTTTGATGGAGGGGTGACGGCAGGGACTGGGGGGGCGGGTAGCAGGTGCAGAGGGAGCTGCCTGCATGCCTGCAGGGGCCTGGAGGGGCCTGGAGGACCGCAGGGACCAGGGGGCCACGTGGAAAGCTGCCTCCCCCGCCGGCCTTGCCATGCTCCCTCGGGGCCCCTTGGCCTCAAGAGCTGCCTGGAGTGTGTGGTGGGCAGGCAGCAAGTCACGACGCCAGCTGCCGGGGTCCCCTGGCGCTGCTGCCCACTCCCTGCTAAGGGAACACAGACACTCCTGGAACCCGGAGGGACTGCAGCCTGGTCCAGGGCAGGGGGAGGGTCTAGGGAGCCCCTGGAAGTGGCCCAAGGAGCTTCTGTGGGGAGAATGTCATCAATACAAGAACTGATCAACTGCGGTCTGCTGTAGTGGAGCTCTCTGTGGCAGTTAGGAAATTGAAGAGAGCTACAAGTGGCAGTGTGGATAAATCTCGAAAACGCAATGCTGAGCAAAGCAAAAAATGCCCTGCACAGTGATGCATTCAGCATCTGAAGGTTAAATACCAGCCACCGTCTGGCTTCTTTATGCTGTGGACCATGGGAGTGAAAGTGTCAGGGTGCAGGCAGAGGATAAAGGCCGCAGTTGGGGTGCCTGTCAGGTGAAGCTGTGCAGAAGGCAGGCTGGGAGGAACCCTGGGCTGAGTTAGGGGAGCAGAGTACAGAATAGCTTGATAGTCCCTGGGGGCTCCCAATTTGGGGTGCAGAGGAGAAGGGCTCTGTGCCCCGCCTAGCCCTGAACCCGGGGGCCCAGTGACGACCGCCTGTGCGCACCCGCCCTCCGCCAGGGTCTGGAGCCAACGCTGTGTGGTGAGCAGAGGTGAAAATCTCACTTGCCCATGAGAATGGACTCTCCTCTCCTGGGCTCACTTCTTTCATCCACAGCCCCTCCTAGAAGCCAACTGGTTAGGGCTTTGGGCTATTTGCATACCACCTTGCCCGACATGGAACCAAGCTGTCCATGGGCTGGGACCATGTCTGCTTCGTCTTCATGGCGGCCCCCCCCCCCCCCCCCCGGCTGCCAGGCACAGAGCCTGGCTCCCAACAGGAACTCTGTCCTAAGGAAGCAGTGAATGAACACATCTCCCTGTTTTTCTTTTTTTTTAGTTGTTAATTTTTATCAAGGGAACATAAATTATAAATTAAGTGCTAGAATAAGGGAAAATAAAACTGTCATTCCTCACTCCGTCACACCCTAGTCATGCTTTTGACAGGCAACTGCTGCTGACACCTTGAGCTGTTCCTCCTAGTATCTACCCCCAATCTTAAAATCATAAATTTCACTGCTTTTCTAAAAATTGGTGGTCTGTTTTAAGGCGGTATAACATACTTTGAGTAAAGTGTGCACATCTTAACAATTACATCTGTTACATATGCATTCACCTGTGTGCCCATTCCCCAGACCAAGATAGAAAAGGTTTCACCTCCGCAGGGGGCTCCCATTGCCCCCTGATGAAATTAGGGATGCTAATCAGCTGACCTTAATATAAACAGAGCAGCCTGAATTATCCAGGTGGACCCAATGTAATCACAAATATTCTTAAGTGTGGAGGAGGGAGGCAGAGTCAGAGAAGGACCGGTGACAATGGAAATAGAGGTTGGAAACAGTGATGTACCTTATAGATGGAGGAAGGGGCCACGAGCCACGGAAGGCAGGCAGCCTCTAGAAGCTGGCAAAGGCAAAGAAATGGGTCCTTCCCTGGAGCCTCCAGAAGGAATGCAGCCCAGCTAAACCTTGATTTTTAGCCCACTGAGACCCATTTTGAACTTCTGAATCCCTGAACTGTAAGTTAAGAAATGCGTGTTGTTTTAAGCCATTAAGTTTGTGGTAATTTGCTACAGCAGCAATGGGAAACTAATGCACCAGTAGATGCCCAGAACATGCCCACCCAGCTATGACAACCGAAAACATCTGCTTGGGGGCAAAATCACCCTTGACTGAGAACCACTGACTTAGATTATCAATGACTATTTCCTTAATGTACCTGTTTTAGGCAGCGTCAAATGGCTTCCTACTGATGTAGATGAAGCTTTGACTCTCTTGCACCCCAATCACCCCACTTCTCATCTCTCCAACCTCCTAATATAACTTGGTCATAATTTTTGGCTAAATCCCTAGTCAGTGTTAACAGCATTGTGATCATGTATTGTTCTCTGTTGAGCCAAGTAGTGTACTATGGTTACGTTTCTTCTCTCATTGACGGCTGTCTTACTATTTTCCTTTGCTTGTTTTTCTATGTAGGCAGGCCTCGTTTCATTGACCTTCGCAGACACTGCGTTTTGTACAAGATCCTCCACCAGTAAAAAAAAAGTACGACTCACTGAAGCCTCAGAGGATGGGTAGCATTTTTTTAGCAATAAAATATTTTTTGGATTAAAGTATGCACATTTTTTAGACAGAATGCTACTGTACACTTAATCGACCACAGTATAGTGTAAACAGAACTTTTTTTTTTTCTGAGGAAGATTCACCCTGAGCTAACATCTGTGCCAATCATCCTCTATTTTTTAGTATGTGGGCTGCGAGCACAGCATGGCTGCTAACAGAGTGTTGTAGGTCCATGCCTGGGAACCGAACCTGGGCCGCCGAAGTAGAGTGTGCTGAACTTAACCACTAGGCCACCAGGGCTGGCCAAACATAACTTTTATATGCACTGGGAAAACAAAACATTTGTGTGACTTGCTTTATTGTGGTATTTGCTTTATTGTGGTGGTCTGGAACTGAATTCTCAGCATCTCCAAGGTATGCCTGTATACTTATTTTGCTATTTTCCCCCTAAATGCTCCAAGAGATATGTCAAGTTCCTTGCAATAACTTTTCCCGATTCTCAACCACATGCAGTCACCCACTATCGATTCCGTATCTCCTCGGGCGATTTCCCTTGGGGAGCTGGTGGCCTCCTACTCCGATCTGGACATCCACTTTCTCACACATCCACTCTCTATGCCTCTACACAGGCATCATCTATCCCACACTTTCCTGTGGCTTTCGTCTGAGTTGGAGCCCCTGTTTCCTGGATTCCAGGTTTCCTTCCAGCTTGTACTCCCTAAAATTTTGGAGATAGCTTCACGTGAATGGGGACATGGGAGCTAAATAATTTGTCCTTTTTATGCCAGTGGCTTTATGCTTGATGGAACATTTTTCTGGGTACAGAATTTGTGGATGGAAATCATATTCTCTCCGAAATTTTCCCTGTTCTCTCTGAAATTCCTATTAATTAGATATTGTACCTTCTGGATTCAAACTTCTATCTTTTTATCTTCTCCATTTTCTATCTTTGTCTTTTTGTTCTGCTTGCTGGGAGATTTCTTCAACTTTATCTCCCATTTTGCTATTGAACTTTTGCTGGTCATATTTTGAATTTCTAACAGTTCTTTCTTGTTCTGATTGTTTTGCGGTTGTTATTGTTGTTCAAGGCATCTTACTCTCATTTCATGGAAGCAATACCATTTCTGTGAATATCAAATACGGCTCTTTCTAAAGTTTCCTTCTGCTCTCGTGGGGCCGCTTGCTCTGGTCCCTGTCCTTTGCGCCGCGGGCTTTCCTCACCGGTCTGGAGATGCTGGGCTGCCTGTCCGCATTTGTGAGTGAGATGCAGCAACACAGACTAGATGCTCTTTTTGTGGGGGCATGGCTTGCTGGGCGGTGGGCTTCACTCTAGGGTGGCTGGGCAGCAGGATAGCTTTTCATTCCCTAATGGGGCAGGAAGATCTTTTGTCTGGAGCCGGGCAATCTCCAGGGAAAAAACCTTCAGTCTCCTGCTGAGGGTGACTTGGGGGTGGATTGGACACAGGGATCAGGGCAGGTGGGGAGGGCCCAGACCCCTCAGTTCAATGTGTGGGTTTCCTGCACTCCTGTTTTCAGTCCCCTGCCTCAGCCCACCCTCAGATTCTGAGTGAAACTTCTCATCGGGGTTCTCCCGAAAGTCTTAAGGATGCTTTGTAAAATGAGTCACCCTCCATCTTCTCCCTCTCATTCCAAAATTTGTTTACATCTTTCACCAGCTGCTTCTTCCCCTCCCATTCTCTTTGAGCTTGTGGATTAATAGTCTTATTCCTTGGCTGTCCTTTCAGCGGGGCTTTGTGAGAGTGAGATGACATCTGCATGCAGCCTGTCCACTAGGTGTAATGGTATGATGATCCTTGTTGTGCAAATGAGGAAGCTAATGGCTCAGTGAGCTGACCAAGGTCACCAGTGGCTGGACAGGGGTTTTAAGTCCATTTCTGTCTGATTTGAGCCCACTTCTGATTCTAAAGTCCAGGCTCATCCCCCACAACACAGTGCTTCTTTTCCAGAAGGGTTCGAGTTTGTACTGGCTTCCCTTGATGGCAGAAGAGAGATCTGAGTGTGCCTGGCCCCCAAGGGTAGGTAGGAGGCTCCCCACGCCTCCAGAGACCTGGCGCCCCAGGACTCACTACCATCCATTCAACAAACCTGCCCTGATGCTTCTCTGCGCCATGACCCCGAGCTCAGCTGGATGTGCCAGCCATGAAGAGGACAAGTTCCCTGCCTGACTATTCTATCAGGATTAGGGGAGATTGACTTGGAGATTATGTTACCATGTATTGTCTCTTCTGATAAGGATTTGAAAAAGTTCTTATGGGGGGGGTGGGGGACAACGACATGGACATTGCCTGGTGACTAGACCCGTGTGTTCCAAATACAAGAGAGAGGTCTGGGCTGGAGAGAGATTTTGGTTTCCTGACATGGTTGTGATATTTAGCAAATAAAAATACAAGACGTCCAGTTAAATTTGAATTTCACATAAACAACGAATAACAACTTAGTATAAGTAGGGCCCGTCAATATTTGGGGCATACTTACACTAAAACATTATTCCTTGTTCCTCTGAAATTCAAATTAAATTGGGGGTCCTGTGTTTCATCTGGCGGGCAACCAGACTCGATGGAGCCCCGGGGATCGAACGCCCGGAGGCGAGGCCTGGCCAGAGACGAGGGTCCATAGGGATGAGAGCCCGGGGTTGGACGCCTGGCGAGTCTGGCGAGCCAGCTGCGCCGGACCTCCGAGCCGCCTGCTCCGGCTAGAGCGCCCGGGGCCGGCGGCGCCGCTCTGGCCGGCGCCTCGCTGGGCTGGAAGTCGCGCGTGCACTTCCGCCGGGCGGGCCCGTTGCTGGGCGGGGCGGTGACGTCGTCCCGGAAGGGGCGGGCCCGCCGGGAGCCAGGCCGCGCCGCGCCGCGCCGCGCCGCGCCGGCCGGGAGGGGCCGGGAGCCCGGACCATGGCGGCGGCGGCGGGCACCGAGGGGCGGCGCGCGGCCCTGGAGGCTGCGGCGGCGGTGCCCGAACGGGGCGGCGGGAGCTGCGTGCTGTGCTGCGGGGACCTGGAGGCTACGGCGCTGGGCCGCTGCGACCACCCGGTGTGCTACCGCTGCTCCACCAAGATGCGGGTGCTGTGCGAGCAGCGCTACTGCGCCGTGTGCCGCGAGGAGCTGCGCCAGGTGCGCCGCGCCGGCCGGGCCGCGCGTTCGGGGCGCCGGGGCGGGGGCGCGGCCGGGCAGGGCGGCCCCGGGGCGGCGAGGCACCCGGTGGCCGGAAAGGGACTTTGCCTTCCTGGTGTCCGGCCGCGGGCCTGGCGGCGCCAGCTTCCAAAAATGAGGCCTGGCGGGGCCACCCGTGGTCGGGTCCCGCCCGTGGGGCAGATTGTGGGGCATCTGGGGGCGCCAGGCAGGAGGTGGCCGAGCTGGGTGGCAGAGGGATCGGTCCCTGTGGGGACAGAGCCTGGGGACTTTCCTCCTGTCTCCTGGGAATTCTTGCCGGGCCACAGGAAGGGGCATGATCAGAGCAAGAACTCCTCGACCTGCTCGTCTTTGGGAGTTTAATTCTCAGAGGTCTCCGCTCTGTTGGATGAGACAGGGTAAGGGGCATGTCTAGAGGCAATCTGTCTTGGAAGCAGAGGGTCAAACTGGGCATTTGCAGCCCAGCTGCCTTTCTGGGCTCCCCTGGGTGACTTGGAGCAAACTTCCTTCTCAGACTGGCGTTTTCGTCTATGGAGTGGTAGAGGTACTCAGACCTGCCCACCAGAGGGAAGGCAGAACCATTGAGGTCTCTACAGGGCGCTTGGTGGCTGGAGAGAAAAGTGCTACTGAGTTTTCCTCCTTCTTGCCACTTCTGACTCGGGGGCTCAGCTCCAGAGTGAAGGGGGAACTGTTTCTCATCTGTCCAGACTTGGAATCCCTGGAAGGGTCAGGGGGCACCTGGAGCTTTCCTCCCCTCTCCCAACGCCAGCTGCTTGCTAAGAGCACCTAGCCAGAGCTCCCTTGGTTTGCTGTGCTTTGAGATGTTTGCTTCCAACGCTGAGGAATTCCTCTGGTTTGTTCATGCAAATCTTCAGCTGGCGACATCTGTCAGAGAATCTGACTTTCCTCTTCCTAGAAGTGATGCAGAAATGGCATTGTTGAGGGATAGATTTCTTCATTTTTCTTTTTTAAAAGTAGACCCTTATGTTAAAGGAGCCAAGCAGATGCTGTAATCCCAAGAGCACTCCGTGGGCACCTACTCTGTACCTTACTGGAAAAAAGACACTTGGAGATGCTGTCAGTCTGTAATGGGGTGGACAGAGGTAGCCCTGGACCCGGGAGAGATCTGGGGTGCGGAAATAGCCGGAAGAACCTTGGGCCTGCGGCTTACTCAGAGGGCACCTCCTAGCTTTGCCAGAGCCTGCCTTGCCGACCAGTCTTTCATGGCATGACCGACCCATCTTTCATGACATGACGTAACTCCGGAACGGCCAGGTTTCCCAGCACACCTGTAGCTTCCTTCCAAGAAGGAAGGTGCTGCAGAGCCTCCAGCCCAGGGCACCACAGGTCTCACTCAGGAAGCCAGCAGACCCCTGTGTGTGGCATCTACGGCCAGCGTCTGGCCTCTGTCACTGCATGTGGGTCCCACACCCTCCGAGTGCTCTGTGGCAAGGGGGTGTTGACACGAGCTGTCAGCAGGTTCCAGCTGGGGTGTGGTTTGGAATCGGGTGCCCATGGCCAAGTCTGGCCTTCCTCTCGGGCCTGCCCCATGTTGCTGGGCAGTAGGAGGGTGTCCTGGGAAGTTTGAGGAGATGATGCACGTCTCCATTCGTCCTGCTGCCCTCCCACTCTTGGACTTGCGGCTCCACCCTAGCGTTTCCTGTTCCCCTGCTGAGTCCTCCACTGTCCTCTGAATATGTCCTGTGTCCCATGCCTGCTCAAAAATCCCACGGTGACCCAGTCCCTGAACCCTGCCTCTGTTCTGCCATCCCTTATGGGACTAAGTCTTTGTAGAAAATTGGGAGGAAAGCGTGCTAAGATGCTGTGTGGAACAGGCCAGTTCCGTTTGCTGGTTAATTCCTACACCTTGACTGAGTGCCTCCCTGTGCTGGCCCACAGGGGCAGGCATTGGGACGAGCAGAACAGCCCTGCAGCTGCTGGTCAGGCCAGGAGCCAGATCAATCTAGATTCCCTGGCAGGTGCTCAGGGTGGAGGCCGAGGCAGGCTCCCAGCGGATGGGCAGTGGAGTCGCTGGTCTCAGGGCATGTGGTGCTGGTGGAGACTGATGGCAGGTCCCCAGGTTCCCATCTCCTCTTACCTCGTCGCATCTTTCCCATAGGCCACTTTCTTCTGAAAGGTGATTCTTGTCTTGCTCTCCACCTTGCTCTGATCCCCAGTGATGCTGAAGAGGCTTGATGTGGCTGCTGTACAAAGTGAGATGTGTCTGAGCTGGGGGGGCCCTGCAGGCCACCTACTGCAGCCCACCCCCCATTTCACGGGCAGGAAGTGGGAGACGAGGCTGAGGCAGGTCAGGATGTGGTGCCTGCTGACTCAGGTCATGCCTTTCTGTTGTCAGTGCCCCGTCCCCACCACCCTGGTCCTCGCTCCCCTCCTCTAAGATCGGCCCTGCTCTGTCCTCATCTGGGTTCCTATACTCTAGGTGGGGTGACCCCCAGGCTCCCACCCCGTATTCCTTCCCCTGCCCCAGGCCCACCCCTCACCATCCAGCTCACTCTTGCTGGCACCACCCTCCTCTCACACACTCACTCTTCATGAGTGCCCGCTGCATACCGGGAGTGGGGAGCAGTGAGGCCTCAGGCAGAAACTCACACTCATCTCTGGGGGGGGCCCGAAAGGGGCTCTGTCACCTCGGTCTCCCTCTCCCTCTCCTCAGGGACTGGCCTGGCCATCCTGGGGCCCACCCAGGAGCGCCCTTTCCCCCTTGGTCATTTACTGCCTGACGCACCCAGTGGCTACCGAGGATGGTCCATCCTCCAGTGTCTAGGCCTGGCCTGTGTCTCTGTCCTCAGACCTGTGATCCTTCTCATCAGGGTGATCACCGGGGTAGGTGGGTCTCAGGCCATACTAGTTGGACCCCTGGTGGGTTCCTGCCCATCCCTAACTGAGCTGCCACACCCGCATCTTTGTCCAGCCGCTTGGTCTTGCCGCTTGCCTCACCCTCTGCTAGGGGCAGGGACTCAGGCTGCCCTGTCATTCCTGCATTGTCTGCTCATCGCCGGCCTCTGGTACAGGCCTGGGGGTGCTCCAGTCCTGGTCTCTACTTCACTACTTCCGCGCCCTGGCTCCAAACCCACTCACCCTCATTCTCAAACAAAGCCAGCTTTGAGCCTGCATGTCCACGGCCACTTTCCTTTCCTAAACCTCTTTCCCAAGCCTCTTCCTGTGGTTCCAGGCCCTTCCTCAGCCATCCCAGTGTCCCCCTTCTCCTGGCCTGGCTCAGGTGTGCCTAGCCTAGGCTGCCCCACCAAACTGCTCAAGAGGGTCAGACACCCCACCGAAGCAGCCAGGCACTCGTTCTTGAGACCCATACCCTACCTCTGTCCAGGGCGAGGGTGCCTGCAGCCTGAGGAGACACCCACTGTGGTGGATCAGAGAGACATTTGAGAGGAGGGCACCCGAGCGGGGTGAGGTGGTAGTGATGGTGGCGTCCCGGAGCGGGTTTCCTCTGGGAAAGGAAGTCATTCCTCTGCTGAGTTTGTTGGACTCAGATGCTTTTTGGCAGCCTGGGAGGTTCCCTCGCAGGCAGATGCTGGGACTCCCAAATCTGCCACCTTGTGTTGCCTCAGCGGAGCTAGGATGCTGAGTCCCGGCTGTCAGTTCCACAAGAGACTTTGCGCTCTGTGCTCTTCCAGCAGCATCCTGAGCAGCTCATGGCCCTTCACCCCCAGGTCATCTCTGTTATCCTCAGGCAGAAGGCAGTAGGAACTGGGGTCGGGGCTGGAGAGGCACCTTTGGGAGTGGTTGGAAGGCAGGGCTAGGCATGGGCTTGCCCTTGGAGGGCAGATTCCATGGGAAGAGGCCAGGTGAGGCCTGGGGAGAAAGCTGGGGGAGGGAGTGTAGAGGCGGAGCTGCCACTCCTCTTTGAAGACAGGACATGGGAGCGCAGCTAGGATGAGGTGTCCACCAGAGCTCAAGCTCAGCGTGTGGCAGGTGGCCACGTTCATCCTGCCAAGCCTTGCCAGATGTGACAACAAAGGGGAGAAAGGCCTGTTGGGGTGCTATTCATCCCCACGGCCCCCCAGAATGGGTGCGACTGGACCCTGACACCTCCCCTGGGCTCCTGTGGGGGCAGACTTGGGTGTCAGCTCCTCTTCCCTCAGATCCCCTCCCCCTCGCCCCAGGGAGCCAGTTTGAACTACCCTGCTGCAGGGGGACAGTATGACCACCCACTCTCCCCACCCAGTCCTACGCGTTCCCGAGTTCATGACCATTCTGATCCCAGACATCTTCCTTAGCTCAGCCTAAATATAACAGGGATGACCTTGACATGACCTTTCCCAAGGTGACAATGTCCCCCGGGTATGCTGGTGAGGGCTCTGAGCTAAGGCAAGTGACCAGCTCCAGGCTAGGAGGACACTGGTGGACTGGGAAGGGGAAAAGAGAGGAGGTGATGGGCCAGTGTGGTCTTGATCTGAGGGAGGAGAGTGGGGCCAGAGAGAATGGGGCTGTAGGACGAGGGTGCAGTGCCCTTGTTGGTTCAGAGGGGAGGCCTGAGCCTGTAAGAGGGCCCCAGGAGCCATGCTGAGGGTGCTGGGGCAAGGAGTCTGTCATCGTACAGTGCCCGGGTCTGTGGAGGGGCAGAGCAGGCCGCCAGGCCCAGCAGGCCTTCCCTGAGGGTGCAGAGACCCCTGAGAACGGCCCCTGCTGAGGCACACCAGCTCGTCGGGCACCCACACACAGCCCGGGTAACAGGCAGGAAGCTGACGGAGAGCGGCCAGGGGCTGTGACCGAGTCCTTTGGGGGAGCCCCTCTCCTGTGGCATCATGGAAACATCATGGGTGGATGGAGGGTGGCCTGGCCTTGATGCATGGTCACCTGACTCGTCCTGGCCTGTCAGTGTTAGTTATTTCCTTAGCTGCTTCTTGGACTGCGTCTCTCCTCTCTCCCTGTGAAAGCTGTCCTGTGCTCAACATCCATGTGATGAAGCACTGGTTTGCAGGGTCATTTGGTCCCTGTCACTGCCCCTGGGGGTCACTGCCCCTGGGGTGGCATCATCTGTCAGCAGGTGTGGGTTTGGCTGTGGATGAGTGGGAGCCAGCCGCCCCCTGGTGGTGAGGCCTGGCGTTGTATCTCTGTCCTGGCACCCCCAGGTGGGTGGATGCCAGTAAAGAGGAGGCAGCCTGGGCTAGCCCAGGGCAGTGGAGGGGGCTGCCTGCTGAGGCCTGCCTCAGGCCTCCCAGGAGGGACCCTGAATACCTCCCTTTCTCCTTAGCCTGACGGCATCCTCCAGTGGGTGTCCACAGCCCTGCTCACCAGTCCCTCTTACTTTCGGTTCCAGGTGGTCTTCGGGAAGAAGCTTCCCGCCTTTGCCACCATCCCCATCCACCAGCTGCAACACGAGAAGAAGTATGACATCTACTTTGCTGATGGGAAAGTGTTTGCCTTGTACAGGTGAGAAAGGAATCCTCAGCCCGGGATTCCGAGGGTCTGCAGCCAGCCTGTGTCTGCAGGCACTTTGTGGTGGGGACAGGCGCATCCCCATCACCTCCTGTGCTCCTCACAATCCTCAGGTGGGTGGAGGCACTTGGTGTGGCATAAACATCAGGGCCAGGTAGCTGCGTTCCTGTCCTCGGTTCCCTCTCCTGTAACGGGGGATGCGCACAGCATTGCTCCTAGGGTGGTGATAGAGACGGGGTGGGGGGAATTCAGGGGAGCACTCCTAGTGTGGCACACAGCACCTGCTTTCTGGGGCTCTCTGAGGTGCATGCGAGCTCCTGCAAGTCAGGCTCTTAGCCCATAGTGGGAAAACCCCATAAAGGGGTACAGCTGTTATGGGGGTAGTCCTCATCTTCCAGGTGAGGGGTGGCCCCCTGGCTCGGCTAGAACCTAGGCTGTTAACCTCCGTCCCCTGTCTGGCCTCAGTCATCATGTCCACCTGACACAGGGTTAGTCTCCTGGATCATGGACCCGCCCCATCATGTGGCCCCAGGCCCAGCACCACCTGACTCAGTGGCTGAAGTGATGGAGGACACGGGTGGGAGTGCCTGTCCTCCTGGCTCCTGCTTCCATGTCTGCAGGGGTGTGGAGCCAGGGGCCGTGGGGAGGCACCAGTGCTTGCTGTGGACAGTGATGCTGAATGCCCCTGGGGGTTCCTGGTGTCTCCCCAGGCAGCTGCTGCAGCACGAGTGCCCACGGTGCCCTGAGTTGCCACCTTTCGGTCTCTTTGGGGACCTGGAGCAGCACATGCGGAAGCAGCATGAGCTCTTCTGCTGCAAGCTGTGCCTCAAACACCTCAAGGTGCGCCCCACCCCCACAGCACCTGCCTGAGGCTCTCGGGGACCCAAGCAGAGCCCTGGGCAGTGGTAGATGGTGGCCAGGCCCTGTAGACGGGGTGGTTTGGGAGCAGGGGGCTCAGTCAAACAGCTGTGAGGGGTTTGTTGCTGTCACTGACCCTGGACAGGTTGCACACTGCCTAGGCAGGGAGGGGCTCCTGGTCTGGGGGCTCTGGGGCAGAAGGGCACCCCAGGATCCTTCTCTGTTCTTGGGCAGTGGGGAGGACTGGGAGGCCTGGGAGCCACCACCATGTGCCCAGCCCCCTGTTCCCTGCAGATCTTCACATATGAGCGCAAGTGGTACTCGCGCAAGGACCTGGCACGGCACCGCATGCAGGGGGACCCTGACGACACATCGCACCGTGGGCACCCGCTCTGTAAGTTCTGCGACGAGCGCTACCTGGACAACGACGAGCTGCTCAAGCACCTACGCCGTGACCACTACTTCTGCCATTTCTGTGACTCGGATGGGGCCCAAGACTACTACAGGTGGGTGCGGGCGGCACAGGGGACCCCCAGGACACCCCAAGTGGGCTGGGCACAGGCTGCTGGTTGGAGTGGTGGGGCCAACACCACCTGCTGACACCCCGCCTCTGCCAGTGACTACGCCTACCTGCGCGAGCACTTCCGGGAGAAGCACTTCCTGTGCGAGGAGGGCCGCTGCAGCACTGAACAGTTCACCCATGCCTTCCGCACGGAGATCGACCTCAAGGCGCACAGAACAGCCTGCCACAGCCGGAGCCGAGCCGAGGCCCGCCAGAACCGCCAGATCGACCTGCAGTTCAGCTACACGCCACGGCACTCTCGCCGGAACGAGGGTGAGCAAGGCCTCCAGCCCAGTGCCCTGCTCTGGAGGCCTCAGACCTAGGTCCTGATCTGCCCCCTGTTGTGTCAGCGGGGAGAAGGGACACACCTGCTGACCCTCGTCTCTTCGCCCATGGGACAAGCCTCGAGCGCTTGAGCACACTATGACTACAGGGAGCTCTCTGCTCCAGCCAGCTCTGTGGTGTCTTGAATCTGCTGTTCTGGGGCCCTCAGGGGTCAGGAGCATTACTGAGTGCCTGCTCTGTGTGGGCCTGCCAGCCCAGGCCCCTCTCCCAGCCCACTTCATGCTCTGACTGGTGCCCAGGCTGTGGAGGCCATGAGGTATCTGAGCCTGTCCCCAGCTCACATGCCGCGGGGGGCTGGGGAGCCACTGCTCTTGATGCCAGAGCACTGGCCTCGGGATGGCCCGGGCCCATAACAGGCTGTGTGCTGGCCACAGGGGTCGTTGGTGGCGAGGACTACGAGGAGGTGGACAGGTACAACCGCCAGGGCCGCGTGGGCCGGGCTAGCGGTCGCGGAGCCCAGCAGAGCCGCCGAGGAAGCTGGAGGTACAAGAGGTGGGAGGATTTGCATGCCACTGACATTCTCCTGGCACCGCCTAATGCGGTGGCAGTGGCCGGCAGCTGGCGGGGAACAGTCACAGGGGTCAGGGGACTTTGGCCTTCTGGCATCTGGTGTCCTGGGCATGGCAGCAGGGTCTGTTCAGTGTCCCCAGCGAGCAGGAGTTTCCTCTTCCTTCTAATTTCCACCAGAGACGCCAGGACCCTGCGGGTTGGGGCGAGTGAGAGGGGTGTGTGTCACTTGGGGGTTCAGAGCAGTTGTGTCCTGAAGCACCGGTGTGGCAGGCACACACTCAGGTTGGGGGTGGACCCCAGATGCTCTCTCAGAACCCTGGGCCCAGGTGCTGCCCAGGGAGCCACAGCCCGAGGCTGGCAGGCCGTTGTGTCCTGCTGCCTCCACAGCGCCCTCTGCTGGCCGCAGGCCTGGCTCCTGGCAGCCTCCTGGTGTCCAGGCTTCCCAGGGGCAAGGCCCCTCCCAGGCCCCTTGCCTTGCACACCACTGTAGTCCTGAGCCTTGCCCAGCCTGAAGTCCTCCCCATCCCAGGGAAGAAGAGGACCGAGAAGTGGCGGCTGCCATCCGGGCCTCAGTGGCTGCACAGCAGCAGCAGCAGCAGCAGGAGGCACGTAGGAGCGAGGACCGAGAAGAGGGTGGCAGGCTCAAGAAGGAGGAGGCAGGGGCACGAGGGACCGAGGAGCCCCGTGGCCCCCGGCGCCCACCCCGGACTCAAGGCGAAGGCCCGGGTGAGCAGACCCTACCTGCAGGCAGTTCTGCCCAGGCCTCGAAGCACCTGGGAGGTGAGAGAGAGGTTCCTGACGAGCAAGGTGCCTGGGACTGGCCGGGCCCCACCCTTGAGGTCAACAAGAATCCATACTCTGCCTGGTCACCCCAAAGGGTCTGTTCCCACCCTGGTCAGCCCTGACAGAGGGTCTTTTGGCATCTTGTAGTTCCCAAGGAAGCCACAGCAAATGGTCCTGTAAGCCAAGAGGCCTTCCCAGCAAACAGCCTGGCCTCAGGGGCCACACTTCCGAGGTACACATGCACGAGCTGGGGTGAGGGTGCAGGGATCCTGGAGGGTGGGTGTGGGGCAGGCCAAGGTCACTGACTCTTCTCCTGTCCCCGGGCTCAGCACCCTCCCACCCCCGACTTCAGAGCTCAAGGACGAAGACTTCCCCAGTCTCTGTGCCTCCGCTTCCTCTTCTTGCTCTGCGGCGGCAGCCCTGGGCCCTGTGGGGCTGGCACTGGTGTACCCTGTTCCCACCAGGGGCAGGAGCACCTTCCAGGAGGACGACTTCCCTGCCTTGGTGTCCTCTGCCTCCAAGCCCAGCACTGCCCCCACCAGCCTCATCTCTGCTTGGAACAGCAGCAGTAGCAAGAAGGTGGCACATCCCACCCTAGGGGCCCAGGCTGCCAGCGGGGGCAGCCAGCCCCCCAGAAAAGCTGGGAAGGGGGGCAAGGGTGGCAAGAAGGGCGGGCCACCTCCCGTAGAGGAGGAGGAGGATGGGGAGGAGGACGGCCATGCCGGCCGCACCACCCAGGAGCTGCGCAGCGTGCCCACCACGGTCGCCGTCTCCTCCCTGCTGGCACTGGCCTCCACCCAGACCATCACCAAGGTCGGCAAGAAGAAGAAGGTGGGCTCTGAGAAGCCGGGTGCCACACCACCCCCACCACTGCCCCCTGACAAAGACGGGCCCCCTGGAGCTGAGCAGGCCCCCACGGGTAGAGCTGAGGGGCCAGTTGCTGTCATCGTCAATGGACACACAGAGGGGCCGGCACCGGCTCGGAACATCCCCAAGGAACCCCCTGGGCTCCCGCGGCCCCTGGGGCCCCTCCCCTGCCCCACACCCCAGGAAGACTTCCCAGCACTTGGCGGCCCCTGCCCGCCCAGGATGCCCCCTCCCCCAGGTACGTACACCTGGCTTGGGCCTGCTTTGGGCATCTGGAAGGGGCCAGGGTCGCAGAGTTGGGCTAGAGCTTCTGGGCCCGAGAGGAACACAGCCTGAGGTTGTGGGGTGCAGGGCAGTCACAGGCCTGCACTGGGGAGAGGTGAGCCTCTGTGGTGGTTTCTAGCTGCCTCGAAAGCCTAGTGTCCAAGTTTGGATGCAGGTGCCACGATGTGTGAACGGTGTGACCATGGTCTGCCACTTAACCTCTTTGTGTCCCTTTGCTCCCTATAAAACAAGGCAGTCCTAGTGCCCCTCAAGATGGGGGCACATGAGTTAATTTAGGCCAGGATTTGCTGTGAGGGAGTGCAGCCAGTGTGCTGGCTCTTGGCATCCCTAGGCCCTGGATCTGCTGTGCAGGGGAGGTGTGGCCTAGGGACGAAGCCTGACCTGGCTGAGCTGGGCAACCTGTGGGAAGTGGGGGACTGAGGCCTGGCTGTGCTCAGCCAACGAGGGCCACATTCTGGGTCTTGCTGTGCCACCCCCACAGGCTTCAACACTGTGGTGCTCCTGAAGGGCACTCCACCCCCACCTCCACCAGGTTTGGTGCCTGCCGTCAGCAAGCCACCCCCGGGCTTCTCCAGCCTCTTGCCCAGCCCCCACTCGGCCTGCATCCCCACCACTGCCACCACCACAAAAGTGTAAGTGTGGGTGGGCCTCCTGGCCTTGCGCCCCTGGGAACCGGGAGGGAGTGCACCCCAAAGGCTGAAGCCGCCACCTCCTCCCCATTTCCCGTCCCCTGAACCCAGGCTGACCCCTGCGCCAAGGGCCTACTTGGTCCCTGAGAACTTCCGGGAGAGGAATCTGCAGCTCATCCAGTCCATCAAGGACTTCCTGCAGAGCGATGAGGCCCGCTTCAGCGAGTTCAAGAGCCACTCGGGGGAGTTCAGACAGGTCAGGCGGGGCGAGAGTTCGGGGGGCCAGCCTGGCGACCTGGGGCCCAGGCCTGGGCCGGGTGTGACCAGGTCTGGCTCTGGGTGGCAGGGCATGATCTCCGCAGCCCAGTATTACAAGAGCTGCCGGGACCTGCTCGGGGAGAACTTCCAGAAGATTTTCAACGAGCTGCTGGTGCTCCTGCCTGACACGACCAAGCAGCAGGAGCTGCTGTCCGCGCACACAGACTTCTGCGGCCGCGAGAGGCCTCCTGGCACCAAGGCCAAGAAGAACAAGAAGAGTGCGTGGCAGACCAGCACCCGGCAGATGGGCCTAGACTGCTGTGTGTGCCCCGCCTGCCAGCAGGTGCTTGCGCATGGCGACGTCAGCAGCCACCAGGCGCTGCATGCTGCCCGGGACGACGACTTCCCCTCCCTGCAAGCCATTACCAGGATCCTCACGTAGCTCCCGCCAGTGTAGGCAGAAGCTGCCATACCCATGAGCCTCCTTTCTCCTTCCTCCTCCTCCTGGGCTGCCAGGCAGCCAGGTAGGGCCCCGGTGAGGCCGCCTGCTCAGGCCCCTCGGCCTGCTAGCCTGCCAGGGGTCGCTGGGAAGGCCCCCCTGCCCCATCAGCACACCGTCATGCAGGAGTCCATTCGGTTTCCTCCTGGGAACTGGGCAGAGGCCCCTGCCTCGGCAGCGGGCCAGTGTTGGTTTGTACTCTCATGCTTTTGGAAGCTGCCAGGGGAGGGAAGGGCCGGCATGCCAGGACCTGTCCATGCTGTCAGAGCCAGTGGCCACAGCGGCCTGATCTGGGACCTCCTGAGCCTGAGGGCAATGGCACTGCGGCCCTCGAGCTGGAAGCTGTGGGTCCACTGCTGCTGGAGTCAGATGTTGAGTGTGTTGTGTAAACAGTTGGCTGTTTCGTGATTCAAGAATGTTCAGGATTAAAAGCAGACAAGAAATTGTGCTACTTGAAGTTGAATCTTTTTACGAAACAAGCTGAATCTGGGATCGCAAATTGCCTCTGACCTTTTATAAGACAGTTTATCTTCAAATAAATTTATTTTGCAATAATGCACAGAGCTGGTGTTCTGAGCTTCTCTGCCTTCTGAGGTCACCCTGCAGCCAGGGCGACTCTGAGAATTGTCAGACGCTCCAGCTCGGGCGGTTGGCCAGTGCGCACTGGGGTGGAGGAAGGCCCGTGGGGAGAGCTGGCCAACAGGGCTTTGCTGCTCACAGGCAGCGACAGCCAACCGTGGGCCCCGGTCCTGGAGGTCTGGCACTGCCCAAGCCTTCCAGGAACAGACGCAGCCACGCATGACCTATACTCGTGCACTGAGTAAAGTTGTCCGTCCAGAATGTGGGAGTCCTAACAGACGCACAGTCCACATCCACAGACTGGTGAAAGAGCTGCTGAAGATAAACTCTAACAAGAACCATTTAGAAACAGTGGAGGCCATGTCTGAAATACTGTAAGAAAATCATTTGTGTTTAGTTATTTGGATCTAGTATTTTGGGAGGGGACCAGACACATGTTGAAATCATACAGTCGTGTCGCTTCACAACGGGGATACGTTCTGAGAAATGTGTCCTTAGGCGATGTCGTCACTGTGTGAAGATCATCGAGTTGACTTTACAAACCTAGATGGCATAGCCTACTGCACACCAGGCTCTAGAGTACTGATGGGCCACTGCCGCACACGCGGTTTTGGTGACTGAAATGTCGTTATGCAGCACGTGACTAAACGTATAGCCACAGCCAAGTAAGGCAAAGGAAGTGTCCTTAGATGAGCACAAACAGGGATCTCTTTCTAGAACCTCAGCCCAAAGCCGAGGACGAGGATGGTGCTGCCTGCCTGCCTGTGGCTGGGACTGGAGCATGTCCCTGGGTGGTGGCCATGCTCAGGGCCCCTAGGAAACGAGTCCTCACCCTCTTCACCCTGCATCGGGCTGCGCAGAGGCCACCTGCTTGCCCCAGCATAAGCCCCTCCTAGCTGATGCCCTTTGCAGATCTGAGCACAACCAACCCCACAGAAAGGTAATCTAGAAAATGGGATATCTCATTAATGATACTGAAAATACTCCTAAAGAAGCAAGAACCATAATAATAGGCAACACTTAAGTAGCAGTGCTGTGTGACAGCTGCTACTCTGAGTCGTTCCAAGTGTTAACATTAACCCCCGCCCCACAATGTGGTAGGAACTATTCTTCTCCTTTTATAGATGGGAAACCTGAGGCAGAGACAAGTCAAGAGATGCTCAAGATGCCGAAGCTTGAACGTGGCGAAGCCAGCATCCAGCTGCAGAGCTGGTTCCTAACTGCCTCGCTCAACCAGGACGTTACTAAGCAATTAGAAATCTCAGAAAAACTGTGATAAAAATCCCAATAGGTGGGTTCGAAAGTCAACGAGCAAGCTGGGGAAATCAGGGCAGTTGGCCTTGGATTGTGGCTCTGGAAGCTGCCTGGTACACCTGATGAGGGTCCCAGGAGCAGGAGGTGGTGAGTAGCGGGGAACGTTTGGAGAAATGAGGACTGCTTTTGCCAGCACTAAAGAAAGATAAACAAGCACTGAGCAGGATAAGTTTTTTAAAAGCCACATCTAGACACAACAGAGCTTAAAGAGAAAAAAGTCCTAAAATTACCACCAAAAAGATCACCTACAAAGGATTGCAAATCATACTGTGATCACCTCTCTCGTCAGCAGTACGGGACCCTAAAAGATAAGAGAAATACCTTCAAAGTACTGAGGAAAACTGTCTTTTAAGAACGTGGGAGTAATTCAAAGGCTGAAGGTTTAGGTCCACAGGCTGATGAAAGAAATGCTGAAGATGGGCTCCGATAAGAAGTACTTGGTACTCCTGCTATTATAAGAAAGATAAAAGAGATGGAGTCTCCCCAGCGTTTCAGAGAGCTGCTCTGAGCAGCGCAGTTCTAGAGCAGCATGAGGTGTGGTGGGGGCTCCTGGGCCTGGGGCCTGGCCTCCACCTCCCTGACCCTTCCTGGATTCTGAGCCCCGTGCCCTTCAGACCCCAACCCCTGACACCAGGAAGGGCAGGGGAGAAATGACTCCAAGAGCTTCTGGGCCACGGTAAACTCACTTACAGTCTTTATTGTAAAGAAGTTGCAGTTGGAACCTGGGACACTGAAAATACACAATCACGGATTGTTCTTTCAGAAGGGGAAAGGAGAGATCCATATGTACAAAAATTGTAAACATGTTCACTTAAATATCCACACGTAATTGGTCTATGCTACAATGTACAGGTTGTCATTCAACTGCAACTCCAGAGGGAGGCGTCTGTCTGTAAGAGTGAAATGTAGCAACCGCATTTGGTGTTGACATAACGTGAAAAGCCAGCTTTGAGCAATGCATGAGTAGTCAGCTACACACAGGAACCCCAACCTCGGGCTGGGCCTTAAAACGGGGTGCAGGGTGGGAGTTGAGGGACTGGTCCAGGAAGCCAATGTAAAGGGGCTTGCACGGAACGGCCATCTCTGGGGCACTGTGGGCAGATGGAGCTTCTAGGCCACTCCTGTGGTGCTTGTCCCCCCAGGAACCCAGGTGTCCCGAGTCCCCCTCAGGCAAGGAAGGTCTTACTGAAGGGCTGCAGCCATGTTGCACCTTCGTGGCCAGAACTACCCACACCTGGGCAGGGGCCTGGGCCAAGGCAGGTAGGGGCTGGAGCAGGGGCTGCAGACAGAGGGGCTGCTTGTGGGAAACTAGAAGGTGGAATCTGAAGACTTGACCACAATCACAACATCGACAGGGCCAGGCTACCCTAGTGAGCCTGTGAGAGGAACTGGAGGGAGGCTCCAGACAGAGTGCATGGCCCAACAGGTGAGCCACCATGACAGGAGCAAGGACCATCAAGGACACAGGATGGGGAACAGTGGCCATGTTCCCCAGGCCACGGGATGGGGGTGGGGCGGGAGCAGCTCCTGCACCTGGCTATGGAGGGCTGAAGGACCCCTGACCCCAGAGTGAACAAGTGAGCCCCAGGTTGGCTGGCTCACGAGGGGACCTACCCAGGCTGGTTCACTGGAGGCTGGAGGGCACATGCCCAGGGTTGTACTGCCCCCTCTCAGGACCTCAGGCCTGGGGGCCAGGGACTAAGGGGATAGAGGAACTTGCAGGGGACAGCTCAGGAACCCTGGGGGCTACCCTCTCTTGGCCCCAGACAGCCCACAGTGGCCACTGGCTCTGTTCCTGGTGCTGTGCCAGGAGGACCTGAGGGAGCTCCCAGGAGACTCCGGGCCCTACATCAGTGGGGCGGCCTTCGAGCCCTGGTCTAGGCCTGCCGGCCACTAGTAGGCGGGCACCTGGTACCCTTTGGGGTTTGTGTCCAGGGTCTCGGTGAAGGGTGGGCTCTGGTAGGTCTCGGTGCCCTCCACGCCGCTGCCCACTGGATAACCGGGGTAGCCCTGGCCCGCCCCAGCGCCCAGCTGTTCGGTGGCAAAGAGCGACATGTCGGTGCCCAGGCGGAACCGCTGCAGGGCCTTCACGGTGAGCGCCGCCTGAGGGGGGGGAGCCCGGGATTAGCCAGGGCCGACCCGCCGCCGGCCCCGCCCCGGCCCTACCCGGCCGGCCGCACTCACCCAGCTGAAGATGGAAAAGAAGCTGAAGGCGATGGCTGCCCGCGCCGCGTCTCCCGCCTGCATCGTGCCCTGCCCGGGCGCCGTGCGCTGCCACTGGTTGGTGAGAAAGCAGAAGCCCACGAACCACAGAAAGGACCAGAGCCCTGTGGGCGAGCGAGCGGCCGGGTCAGCGGGCGCGGCACCGGAGGCTGCACCCGCCCGGCCCAACCACGCCGGGAAGGAGCGTCAGACCGCACGGGAGCCCCGCCCACCGCCGGGCTGCGCCTCACTGCGGCCAGAGCAAGCCCGGCTCGCCCGCACCTGTGCCGCTCCAAGCACCTGACAATCACAACGCCCTCTTCCTGGCCCCGCCCCGGCCCCGCCCCGCGAAGCCCGGAGGCCCCGCCCTATCTCGGCCCGGCCCCGCCCCCGAGACGCCCACAGGCGCTACCAGGCCCCGCCCCCTCTCCGTCCTGCCCCGCCCCCTGCGGACTTGACCACGCCCACCTGAGAAGCCCAGGTCGAGGAGCACCGCGCGGCGGCGGTCGCGGACGCTGCTGATCTGCTGGAAGCGCACGTCGAGCAGCAGGAAGGCGGCGCAGGCGAGGAAGGCCCCGAGGCCAAGCACGACGCCGAAGCGGCAGGCGCCCGCGTTCCCGTTGAAGACGCAGCGCAGCTCCGGACCGCTGTCGGCGTTCACGTAGCCTTCGTTGATAATGGGCCCGAAGACGGCGATGGAGAACACCTGCAGGCGGCGGGCAGCGCTCACCGCGATGGGCCCCCTCCCGGCCGCGCCCCGAGATCTGTTGCCCCCCGCGAGCACCCGTGCCCTTGGGCCTGTCCCTGAGTTCCCCTGCAGCACAGGGTCCAGATCTGGGTTGGGGGTCTTCGGGTACCTCTCCCTTCATACCTCCCTCGGGTATTTAGTGATTACGGACAACGTGTACCATTTAGTGAGCATCCACTATGCCCAAGCACTGTGCTTAAAACTGCTACTTTAGGGCTGGCCCTGTGGCGGAGTGGTTAAGTTTGCGCGCTGCGCTTCCGCGACCCAGCGTTTCACCGGGTCGGATCCTGGCGCGGACATGGCACCGCTCATCAAGCCATGCTTAGGCGGCATCCCACATGCCACGGCTAGAAGGACCCACAACTAAAAATATACAACTGCGTACCAGGGGCTTTGGGGAAAAAAACGAAAAATAAAAAAATCTTTAAAAAACTGCTACTTTACATGAGTTCCCTCATAAGAATCCTCCCAAAAAGCCACGAGGGTGGCATTGTTCTTATTTCCTTTTTAGATGGGGAAATTGGGGCTCCAACAGGTGAAGTGACTTGTCTAGGGTCGCACTGCTGTTAAGAGCTGGGGCTGACATTTAAGCTGGGTCCTCCGTGCCGCATGGGGCTGTGGTGTCGACCCACCCTAGAGTGTGGGAACAAGAGCCTTCACCTGAACCAGCGATTCCTAGCCTTGAGCCAGGGGGTGCTAGGGAAGGTAGATGTGGATCGGGGAGAGAGGGGTTGGAGGGTAGTGGGGGCAGTGGAGGGACAGCCAGGCCCTGTGTGAAACCCGCTCTCAGCATTTGGGAGCTGTGCCGCCCTGTTTCCTAGCATGCCAACTGTAGTAACGGGCAAAGCTCATGGGGTGTTGGGAAAAGAAAAATAATGGCCACCCAGCCTTCTGCACTTGGTGGGCACTTGAGGGATGACGGCCCCACGTGACTATGATTAATTATTAATACCACCCATAAGTGTTTGGGCTCCAAAGGCAATACCATTGACCTCTGGGCTTCAGTCAGACGTCAGAGCCTTGTGCCTAATAGGGCTGGAAGGCAGGCAGGAGGTGAACCACGGTCATTTAAAACTAGATGCTGCTCTTTTAGCTCTGGGCAGCCCTATGTTTCTAAAACAAAAAAAAGACCTCCAATTTCAACTTTCAACTTCATTTCTTTCCTTTCCCTTTCGGGTAGTCTTAGAGACCAAGTGAAGAGGGGAACCAAGGCACAGGACATGGACGTGTACCCCCAGAGTGGTCCACAAGTCGGACCAGAGCTGGGACCAGAACGTAGGGTTCCTGCTTCCCGGTCTGGCGAGAGTCACTCCACCAGGAAGGCCGAGGCCTCATGCCCCACCCTGGACACCCTCCTCCTTGAAGATGGCCGAGTAGGTGCCGCCGATAGCAGCCGCGACCGGCTGGACAAAACCCAGAACTCGGCACCTCCCCTCCCCTCTCTCCTGCCTGGAAGGGTGGGAGGAGGAGTACTTGGCCTAGAGACGCCCTGTACAGCAGGCTAGGCTGGCCCCAAATCCTCCCCTCTCGCACCACCTCCAGGCAGCCCTTCCAGTGCAGAGCCCCTTCCCGCTGCCCCACCCAGAGGGATCCCAGAGCATCCCTCCAACTCACAGTTGCAACTGGGGGGCCTGGGAAGGGCCAGCTCCCTTCGAAGGAGCCTGGAGGATGTTTGTACGGGAGAAGCAGGGGGAGGCTCTGCCTGATCCTCTCGGCTCCCCCCCGTAGTCCCGTCCTCGCGGTGAAGCTGAGTGCCCAAGCCCCTCCGCGAATCCCGGTCCCACCCCTGTGCCCGCTTCCAGATCGTGAGAACAGGAAAAACGGAGCAAGGGCTGAAGAAGGGGATTGAGTTAGACCTGAGGAGGAATTGGGGGGCGGCAGGCGGTGACCTCTCAAGGTCCCCGGCGGTCGCCGCTGGTCCCTCCCCCGCCCGCAGGTGGGCGCGCCCAGCCGGGTGACGTCACCCCAACCTGGGGCCGGAGGGGGAGGGGCCGGCAAGGAGAGGATGGGGGCGAGGGGCGAGGGGCAGTGGGGAGGGACGAGGGATGAGAGGCGAGGCGGGATCCGGTTCTGGGGCGGGGGCGGGGGCTGGGGCCGGGTTGGAGCCCGGGCTGGGGCCACTCACCCAGGACGCGACCCGCAGCAGGGTCTGGGGCCGCCTCGCGAAGCTCACGGGGTCCAGGGCGGCCCCCGCGCGACCCGCGCCAAACGAGGCTCCCTCCATGGCTGGCCCGGGCGGGCCACGCGCCCCCGGCGCCCTCTGTTGGTCTGTCCGTCCGTCCGGCCCCGCCCGAGGCCGCCCGGGGCTGCTGCTGATGATGCTGGTGCAGCCGCTGCCGCTGCCGCCTCCCGGGAGCGCGCGCCGGCCGTGGCGAGGGCGCGCCGGGCGGGGCCGAGCCCGCGGCCCCCCACTGGTCCAAGAGCGCGGGGCTGGAGCCCTCCCTTCCCTCCGCCCCGCCCACCTTCCACCCTCCACCCTCCACTCTCACCTGCATGACCCGGGTCAAGATGGAGACCACGAGCCAGGGCCCCGTCAGGGGCAGGGGCAAGGGGCTGGGTCCCCCACTGCCCCTCACAGATAGTCAGGAGTCAGCAGGGCAGGCGGACACTGGGCTCAGCCTTCGCTGAAGCCAGGCGGATGGACAGATGGACCTGACCCCGCTGTGTGTGCAGCGCCCTTTTGTGAGTAAGGGGGTAACTGAGACCCAAGGGCTCCAGCGTCTTCCCTTCAGTCCTCATGGAAGGAGAACCTGGCTCCCTGGCCCTGATGGATCAGAGATAGGTTACTGGGGCCTTTCCCATGACCCACTGCCCCCTGGCTTCTCCTTCAGAGGGTTCTAGCCTCCTTGACAGAGGAGGAGGATGACTTCTGCCCCCAGGGGCACTTGTCCAGGGGGCAGAGCCCACAGGCCAGCTTGGGTGGGTGTTGGGGCATCTCTGCTCCTTTCCTGTGGCCGGATGTTCTCATTCCGAGGATGCTCACCGAGCCGTCCACACTCCCAGGTCTCTGGGACTGACTTTTGGCTGACATATTTACTTTGGGGCCGAAGGGTGGGAAGAAGCATCAGAGATGGGGAGTTTGGTCAAGCTCAGGGCTAGCAGCTCTGGGCCCCTGCTGGGTCTCTTCCACAGATCCCCCAGCCCCGGGTTAGACAGGGTCCCTTCTGTCGTGTTCCTTCCAGGCCAGCCTGGTAGGGGCCTGGATGACTGCTGTGTTTCTGTCCAGGGCATTGATAAGAAAAGTCTGTACTTTTGGGCATTGACGGTGCCCAGCATGTCACGAAGACCTGTGGAGGTGCGGACTATTATTACCCCATTGTTCAGATGGTAAATAGGCAGGCCACTTCAGTTCTTGGATCACAGAAAGAGCTGGGATTCAAACCCGGGTCCCTACCATGCCATCTGTGTGGACAGACCGTGATGCCTGGCCCAGCCCCCTGGGGAACCCATCCCAGGGCAGCTGTGGCCAGAGGTGCTGCCCACCAGTCTTACTGTCAAGTCCATTACACTGTGGGTCCAATCCCGTCACCTCTCACCTGTTGGCGACAGTTCACCCTCTGTCTCACGCATCATCCTTTTACTTGATCATTTGCATTAGCACCCAAACATGCTACGCTTTCTTCTGTCTTCAAAATAAACCTCCACTCTTGACCTCCCTTCCTCTCCAGCTGTCCCAAGTCACTGCTCCCTTTAGTTCCAGGGGCGACTCAGGCACTGCTGTCCCCACCTTTCTGGAAATGCTTCTGATGTCACCCTCTCCTTGTGTTCTTCCTACTTCATGGGCCCTTTCTTGTCACCCATTCTGATCCCCTCCTCTTGTCCCACCTGTGACCTTGAGGCCAGGGCGTGGTCCAGGGGCTCTTCTCTTCCCTCTATGCTCTCCTTTGGGCCTCGTGCTGACAGCTCAAGCCAGAACCTGCCCTTGAACTAGAGCCCTACTGTCTTAGCCTGGATGCCCTGGCAAACAGTCTGTGGCAAAGTTGAGAGTTTCATGGGGAGTGAAACTTTGGGGAAGTCAGAGTTGGGGAAGAAGAGAAGTGAGGAGGTAGAACAAATACTGATGGCGTGTTCCTGAGCAGACCACAGCTTGGGCTCAGGGAAGGCCGGGGAAGCCTTGTGCTGGAGACAGTCCATCTAGGGGAGGAAAGAGGAGTGACTTCCCTGCCGGCTGCTCCCCACAGGAGCTTTTTTTTTGGTGAGGAAGATTGGCCCTAAACTAACATCTGTGCTGCTCTCCCCCTATTTTGTATGTGGGACGCCACTGCAGCGTGGCTTGATGAAATGGTGTGTAGGTCTGAGCCCAGGATCTGAACCCAGACCACTGAAACGGAGCGTGCAAATTTAACCACTACACCACCGGGCCAGGCCCTCCCGCCTCCTATTTGTGTCACTCAGCTCCTGTGGGCAGCTCCTGCAAAAGCCAGCACTCCTGCAGGGCCAGTTGGGTGAAGGTGCTGAAGAGGCCATGCCAAAGGCTGGCCCTTGCCTAGGGAGAGGCCAAGGCACCGGCAATGTAGGTGACCAGAGCTTTATGACCACAGGGACGGGGCAGTGTTGCTGGGCCATTTCGGCTGGGAGTCAAGGCCTGGGAGCAGGTATAGCTGAGCAGATCCAGGAAAGCCCAAAAGCTGGGTCCAAGTCACCCCCAAACCTGCTCCACTCACAGCCTTCTCCATCTCACTGATACACAGAGCAACTCCATTCTTCCAGCTGCTCGGGCTAGAAATCCAAAGTGACTTTGGCTCCTTTCTCTTGGCTCTACCTTCAGAGTCTATCCAGCGTCTTCTCCCACCCACCCTGGGGCAAGCTTCCCTCTCAGCTGCCGCATGGGTGCCTGGCCTCCTTGCTCCCACCCACACCTGCCTCATCCTGGCTCAGCAGCCAGAGAGACCTTTCAAGTCACATCTCACCATTCCTTGGCTCCAAGTCCTCCAAGACCTTCCTGTGATAGGAGCCGGATGTGAAAACCATCTCCTTGCTGGGTCCTTGAAGACCCTGTGCCATCTGACCGTCCTCACCTCTGACCCTCCCTCGGCACCAGCAACTCAGCCTCCTTGCTGTTCCTGGAATATCCTGGCCCACTCTTGCTGTGGGACCGCTCCTTCCTCCTAAGAAGCTGGAACCCGGACAAGAGGAAGCAGCTGACCACAGAAGGGCGAGGGCAGACCCTGTCCATTACTGCGAGTCCCAGCACAAAACACACTGAAGCCAGGTCCTCAGTCACTTTTCCAGCACTTTATTTTGGTCTCAAGCTCTGAGGAGGCTAGCCCCACGAAGCCGCGGATTAGTGCAGCTATTGAAGGCCACATGCTAGACAGGAGGCGGGCAGCAGGGGAGGTGGACCCTCGGGGAAGAGCCCTGCCTGTGCTTTCCCTGTGAGACTGAGCAGGGTACAGAGCTCAGCCCCCAGGCCTCTTTCCTTTTTTGTTTTTTCCTGACCTAACAACTCTTGCTAATATTTTTTTCCTGCTTTTTCTCCCCAAATCCCCACAGTACATAGTTGCATATTTTAATTGTGGGTCCTTCTAGCTGCGGCATGTGGGATGCCTCCTCAGCGTGGCCTGATGAGCAGTGCCATGTCCGTGCCCAGGATCCGAACCAGCGAAACCGTGGGCCGCCGAAGCGGAGCGTGGGAACGTAACCGCCCAGCCACGGGGCCGCCCCCTAGGCCTCTTTCTTGAAATGCAGACAGCATACAGCCTCTGGGGCTACAGTCACTGCAGCTGTCCCCAGCTACACAGGTTAGGAGACAATGGCCAGGCCTTGCAGGGCAGGACAGGGGAGCCCAGCCAGGCCTGTCATCTTCCTGTGTGGGAAAGTGGGCACCAGGGTGTGGGGTGAGCAGGAGGCCACATCCTGAATGGAAGGGCCAGTCTGGGTTACTCCTGCCTCCTTCACCTGTAGCCCAACCGGGCCTCAGCTGAGGAGGAGGCCATCAGGGTCCCTGCAGCGATACTTCCACTTCTACTCCAAACCTGAGGAAAAGGACCCCATGGGCAGTGTCTGGGGACCACCCAACTGAGACACGACAGGCTCTGGCTCTGACGGACTTTAATTATGAGTGCTCTGTCCTTCTCCAGCCAGGGGGCCCACAGGCCCTGGCTGGCTGCCCCATGGGCTCCCGCTGGCCGCCGTCTAGTCGCAGGAGCCGTCCTTCCAGCCGTCACGCCAGCGCTCATCCACCTGTGAGCAGTCGAAGTCGGGCTTGCCTAGCTTGCGGTTCACCTCATTGTGCAGGCGGCACAGCCACTGGGTGAAGCATGCCCGCGTACGTGTGTCTGGCTGGTTCCTGCGTATCCTGCATGGGGGGAGCAATGGAGGATGGGGGAGGCAGTGGGCCCACTGCCCCTGCCCCACTAGCTCCTTGCCTGCTCCACCCAGAGAGGAGAGCAGGAGCCAGTGAGCTACACCCAGGAGTGCCCTCGTGCTCAGAGGAACAGGCATTCCCAAAACTGGGCTGACCCTGCAGCACCTAGCATTGTGGACTCCTAGGCCTGCTCAAACACCCACCTGGGGAGCTTGGCAACCCTGACAAGAGCCCAGGGCGAGTCATTAAGGCACAGACCAGACAACTTTACAATCTCATAACCATCAAGAAGACTCACCCCAGGATCCTTGGCCCCAGGCAGTGCGTGGAAGGGGTGAGGCCAGCACAAAGGGAAACTGAAAACCACACCCTTTCTTAGCACCTGGGGCCCTGCCTCAGCTCAGCGAGAGACCTCATTCTAATTGCTTCAAATGGCAAGGGCTGTCCTGCCCACACATCCAGCCCAGAAACACCGAAGGGTGGCAAACAACGGCTCTTGGGCTCCTCAGAGAAAAAGGTGGCTCTTGGAAGCAAAAGGGGTGGGTTCTCAAGGTCTTGAAACCGGCAGTCCTGCTCCAGAAGTCAGGCAAAGTGGAGTCCTCCTTAACCTGCCGGAGGCTCCATCAGTGCTAAGCAAGAGACCTCGTGGGGGAAGCCCTCCCTGGGAGCCTGGGAGCCGCAAAAAACAGCAGTGCCCAGCAGCAGACCCAGGCAGCTTGGCCTCCGCGGGGAAAGGAGATGGCTCAGATGATCCCACTCTGTTGGTGGTCCCTGCTCTCGGCAGCCCTCTGCCACCTCTGCACCTGTTTCTCTAGGTTTCCCCTTATGACATCAGCCAGAGGCCCCAGGCCCAGACTCCAGGTGGCAGGCTCTGCTGCCTGCAAACGATGCAGACATAACTTACCTCTTTCTTATGTCTTCAGCACACTCCTCACACGGGTAAAACTTAGAGAATAAATGTATGAACTGGGCCATGTCTTGCTGCTGTTCTGGGGTGGGCAGGTCGGGGTAGTAAGCGGCCAGGGTGTGGAGGACAGCCCAGCTGTGGCGGCCCAGTTCCTCGCGATCCTGAGGACAATCTTCTCTAAACTTGCTGTCCCTCTGCGGAAGGAGGCCGACCAAGGGTCAGTTCATTCTCCCCCGACCAGAAGCCCACAAAGCTCCCCTTCTCCCCGCGCCTCCCAGTTGGAGGCCCATTGACTCCAGACAGAAGTGCTGCAGCCGATCCGATCCCCCTGTGGCTGAAAGTTGAAAGGCTGGGCCTACCTTGGGGGCAGGACTTAGGGACGGCCAAACCTGGGAGGCAAAAGTCCGCAGGCATAGGGCCTCTGGCACCGCTCGGCCTGGGCCTTGGGAGGCCGGCCAGGGGCGCCTGAGAACAAGGTGTGGGGCCGGGACTACGGGTCGGCAGGGCTCGCAGGCCTCTGCGGGAGGTGGCGCCCCCGGGCACGTGCACCTTCTGCTGCGTCCGCATCCACGTCTTGAAGTCCACGCAGGCCCGGCAGGGCCGCCTCTGGGAGGTATCCTTGGCGACCTCAGAATCGGTCGGCGCCTGGGCTGGGGTCGGGGCCGAGGCTGCGGCGTCTCTCCGCCCCGCGCCCCGGCCGCGCGCGTCCGTCACCAGGTCGTCCGTCACCTCGGAGCGCGCGCCGCCGGGCAGGAAGGAGAAGAGGCTCCCGCCGGAGGAGCGACTCCGCTCGCCGGGCGCCGCCATGTTACCCGCGCAATGCCTGCCGGGCCAGCTGGGCCTCCACACGGGCCTCCAAGTCGGCCTCCAGGCCAGCGCGCGCGCCGCCGCTAAGGCGCGGCCACAGGGACTGGGCGCAGGCGCGGAGGCCGGGCCCGGGCTGGGGCTGGGGGCGGGGGCGGGGGCGGGGCCCGGGGCCGAGTCCGGGGCGGGGACCGGCGTGGAGGTGGAGCCGGGGGCCGCGGCCCGCGCCCGGGAGAAGGCGGAGCCGGAGCCCCGGGTTCGGGCGAGGGGCGCGCCGCATGCCCGGGCCAGGGTAGAGGCGAGGCCGGTGGCCCGGGCCGGGGCGGAGGCGGGGCCAGAGGCCCGGGTCCTGGCCGCGCCCCTGGGCCTCGTTCTGCGGCCCGAGCCCGGGTTGCGTCGTCCCTGGCGGCTCTCCCGCTTCCTCCAGTAGAAGATCAGCGTGTGGTGGAAGCCGCGCCGCTGCCGCGCCGAGGACTCGGGCTGCGGCTGAGGCGAAGTCCGTGTTGCAGTCCGCGACGCGCCCATCACTCCGCTCTGACCGGTCCGCGTGCCCGCGGCCAGGTTCTGTGCCCTCGGCTGGGGGTGCGCCGGGCGGCAGGCCGCGCGGCGCCTTGGCAACGCGGGCGGGGCCCTGAGCGCACAGAGGATCGCGGGCGCTAGGGCCTAGGTCCCACGGATCCGCTCTGGCGACCGGCGCCATGGCACCGGGCGCCTGGCAACGCGGGGCGGGGCCGTGTCTGCAGAGAACGTGGCGCGTGTCTTCGCTCCCGCGGACACGTAGCTGCCCGGATGGTTAACCTGCATGAAGGGGTTAAACCCACGTCGGGAGTGGCCTCAGGGATACCTCTGCTTCCATACGTACATTCATTCATTTCGCAAATATTTGTGTAGTGTCTAATCTGTTCCAAGCACTGTTCCAGGCGCTGCGCAGGGCGGGCACAAGACCTGCTCAGTTCATAGTCCAGTGGTCAAGACGGAAAAAAAAAAAAAAATAGGAGTCACCATAATAAATGTTCACTTACGAAGTGTGGTGAGGGCCATGAACAGGGTGTGGTGAACCGGGGAGGCTTCCCTGAGGATGAGGAATCAGCTGAGGAGGGCAGTCAAGGCCAAGGCTGGAGGTGGGAGGACCTTGGCCTCTTGCATGGGCGGAAAGGCCAGTGGGACAGGACCTGGGGAGAACCTGGGGTGGTGGGAGGGGAGGTCCAGAGGTGGGCAGGGGCCCACCAAGGACCTCATAGGCTGCCATAGGAGCTGGGAATTTATTCTAAGGACGGTAAGAAGGGGCTGGACAGTTTCAGTCAGGGCTACGCCAACCTGCAAAATCTGTTTTGCAGATTCCTCTGGAGGATGGATTTCATGGAACCAAGTGAGGAGCACAGGCATTGGGGGCAGAGAGCTGTTGTAGTTGTTTAGGTGAGAGATGGGGGTGGGGACTATGGAGAGGGTAAGAGTGGAAAGGACCCAGGGTTGCTGAGGTTGTGGAGCAGGGGCTGCCTGTTAGGGGAGGGAGAGGACCTCAGCATCCTTCTAGGTCCCTGGCTGTGAGCAAACTGGCCCTTCCCCAGCTTCTCTCTGTTTTCCAGCGGAGCAGTGTCTGTCCCACCCTGGACCCTGCCAGGCCAGCAGAGCCCTCAGGCCCCCAGTGTAGCTCCTCTGAAATTGGGGAGAGTGTGACAGCTGGGCAAGACGCACTCTGCAAATCAGACCCATGTCAGCAGGTGTTCACTGCCTGGTCTTAGGCAAGGTTTGAGGGTTCAGAGAGAGCCACTGGTCCGATAGACACACAAAAGCCCTCTCTCAAGGCCTGAGTGGTTTCCTTGAGGGATGCCCTAGCGTCTGACCCCTCCCGGAGGGCTTGGGGTAAGGGAAGTCCTAACACAAAGCTGGTGGCCCAAAGAGCGGGAAGAACCATCGTGTGCCAGGGTTGGGTGGGACTCGGGAAATCTCTTCTATAAGGAAGCAGCCCAGAGAGGTGAGGCACCTGGACACGCCCTCTTTGGGGATTCCAGGGTATTGCCCTCACCACCCCACTTAGTGGGGGAATGGTCACTCCTGATCTCAGAGGCAGTGTTTGCAGGAAATTGTGAATTTAGCAGTGACTTTCAAAACAGTCCTAGTCACCACCTCCCCGACCTCCCAAGTGTGGGTGACGGCAGAGACGGACCCTCTTCATCCTGCCTCGTCTGCACCACAGGGGAACCTCTAGGGTGAGCCTCTGAGGTCTGCCCCTCCCCAACACAGAAAAACTGACATTAACTATCCATTTAACATGAATTTCCACCTCTGTGACTTGGGGACACCAAGGGACTTTTCCTCCAACATGATGATTGAGCCAAATAAAGCACTTGAAGCCCTTAGCACTGAGCTATTGGTTCCTGATGACAACTGCAGTCAGCTCCCCAGGTGAGTTCAAAGACAGAGCCAGCCAGGGGCGTACCCTGGCAGGTGGCTCTCACCAGCCACAACACTACACAGAGTGTGGGACAGCCGGGAGGGGGGTGGACCAGGCTTTGCGGCCCTTTGATGGCTCTTCCTTCTCCTCCTCCCTTGGCAGATGAGCAAGAGGGCCTCAGGCAGCAGTCCGAGCACCTCCACCACCTCTTCCCTGCCCCTCCCATCAGCTCTGCTTTGGGCACCCCCAAGCCCTGTGCTCCTGACCCTCCACCCAGATCTTTGGCTTGGGGCGCAGTGAGGAAGCTGCGAAGAACCCAGGGGCAGGGCTGCGCTGCAATAACCTGGCAGGTCTGGGGCGTTGCGGGGAAATTCCAACCAGTCTTCCTGGTGCTGGGTATCCCCCCGCCTCTGACAGGGCAGGGAGGTAGTGGGACTCTTGGCCCCTCCCTGCAGGTTCTAGAAGCTTGCAACCAGGACACAAGAGAGCACAACGATGGCAGGCCCCCGGCACCCCGTGTCTGTGCGTGCTGCAGCCTTGTTGCAGACGGAGCGGTTCCAGGTACAACCCAGTGGGGCCCCTGCCAGCTCCAGTGGGGGGAAGGAGTTGCTGGCCAGCCCCTTGGAGCTGCCCCAACCTTTCTCCAACAGAGGTTCACCTTCTCCGTGCACTGGTCAGATGACAGTGACACCTTCGTGTGCAGGAGCTGGGACGAGTTCAGGAGGCTTAATGTGAGTGATCCTGGGGCGACCCCAGTTCCCCCTCACAGGCCTCCTAGTGCCTGATCTCGGAGGCTTCTATGCCCTAAGATCCCTGTAAAGAACCCCCACCCTCCCAAGGGAATCCGCCGGGCTCTTGGAGACCAGTATGCCTGTTCTCACCCTCAGAAGACACTCAAGGAGACCTTCCCGGAGGAGGCAGGCCTGCTGCGGAGATCCCACCGTGTTATCCCCAAGCTTCCGGGTCAGGCCGGCAGGGGTCCCGGGAGGGAGGGGGGGCGGAAGCGGCCCTGTTAGGGGAGCCCTGGGGTGGGTTCCCATGGTCTCTCCCTGTTATGCCCACAGACGCATCGCTTTTGGTGCGCAGTGGGCGCACAGGCCGCGGCCTGGCGCACCTGAGGCAGCTGGACACCTATTTGCGGACGCTGCTGGCAGCGCCGGAGCATGTGTCCCGGAGCCCAACGCTCACCAGCTTCTTTGAGCCGCAACCCTCAGACCTGGATCCCACGCTGCCACCTGGCAGGTGTCTGACCCTCCCCCAACCCCCTGCCTGCAGAAGCACTGGGAGGACTGGAGAGGCATGATGAAGGAAGGGCCTGATGAGGAGCGAAGGCTGAGAGGCTGGGCCGACTTGTGGGAGGGGGACAGGCCACTCTCCGCCCACCCACTTCTCACCTGCGCACACTACCCTTCCCAGCCTAGTGATCCTGCCGGCCCCTGAAGAGCCCCTTCACCGCCCTGCGGGCAGCCTTGCCATCCGCAGCCTGAAAGCTCAGAGCCTGCGCTGCCTGCAGCCCTTTCACACTCAGGACACACGGGGTCAGCCCTTCCATGCGCAGGCCCACGAGGCCCTGAATGTGCTGCTGCGACACCCCTCAGGTGGGGCTGGGTGGGAGTCAAGGAACTTGCCCTTCTGCCCCAGGGTTCCCAGCCAGACTCCAGGTCTGAACCCCCGCCCACCTCTTGTGCACAGGCTGGTGGCTGGTGGAGAATGAAGACCGGCAGACAGCATGGTTTCCTGCTCCTTACCTGGAGGCGGCGGCCCTGGGCCAGGGGCGAGAGAGGGGAGTGCCCCTAGGGAATAGTGGTACGAAACTAACCCTCCTCCCCACACCCACTACCACCGTTGGGAAGTATGCGAAAGGCTAGGTGGCCCACAGGCAGCACCTGAGCCAGGGGAGTGAGGCAGAGAACAGCTAGGTGATGGCGTGGCCCCGTAGTGTATGTGCTTGCTCCCCACAGCAAGGGGAAGCCCCAGTGGGTTTTAGAGAGGTCCCTGACATCTTCGGAGATCCAGAGGAGAGCCGGGAGGTGGTGATTCAGCAGATGATGAGGGGACCAAGTGGTGGGGGTCCTGGCCTCTGCAGCCCCAGTGACTCCCAAGCACCCACTCCTAGGGTCCCAGTTCTGTGCTTCTTGTGCCTATGAGAGCAGCCAGGCTGATGAGCTGTCAGTGCCGGCAGGGGCGCGTGTGCACGTGCTGAAAACATCTGACCGTGGCTGGTGGCTGTGCAGGTGTGTGGGCATGGGGCTTTGGCTGGGGCCCAGGCTAGCCCAGACCAGGCACGCACTAACCAAACCCTGCCTCCTCCTCCGCAGGTTCCGCGGGCGTGCTGGTCTTCTCCCTGCTGTGCTGCTGAGGCCTGACGGGCTGGGCGCACTCCTGAGTGGCCCAGGGCTCCACTGTGGGGCCAACAGTGGGGAGGATGGTGCAGGGGAGGCCCGAAGCTCCCCTGAACCTTTCCAGACCATGACCATTCCCCCTACTGTGCCGGCCCGACCCCCACTGAGTGCCATACAGAGCCGCTGCTGCACCATCACCCGTAGGGCACTGGGGCAGGACCGAAGGGATCAGGGACACCCTTGAGGGTATGTGGAACTGCGTGGAGAGCTGTGCCATGCACCCCACAGCTGGAGCGGCAGGCCAGAGGCTCCAGACCCGCAGGATGACTGATGGCAGCCACACCACCCCTAGGGCTGGGGGAGGAGCATTTGAGAGTGGGTCTCCCTGGCTGGCAGGGCCAAAAGGTTACTTCCTCTGAGTAAAGCTCTTCTGGTTAACCCACACCCTGTGTCTGTGCTGAAGGGCAGGCCCTGCTGGATCTCCGCCAGGCCAGGGCACAGGGATGGGGCTGGCAGGTGGCCTGCTAAGGCTGGACAGGGCTGTGCCTAGGACCTGAGGTGAGACAAAGCCCAGACAGAAACAGGGAGCTGGGGTAGAAAAGGACACCTTTCTGCGTGTTTCAGAGGGTGGAGGGGGGCACAGGAGGGGCCGCAGGGAGGGTGGGCAGCTTCATGTTGTGCCATAAGAAGTCCAAGAAGGTAGCTGCCTGCAGCGTCCGGCTGAGCCGCTGAAAGTGTCGCTCTGGGGGAGGACACAGGGTTGTCAGGGGGTCAGTGGAGTCTGGCTGGGCTGCTCCCTGCCCCGACCCGGGGCGATGCCCACATACCAGTGTAAGGCAGCAGGGCCTCAAGAGAGGCCCGCACGCCCTCGTAGGCCAGCAGCTCTTCCGGGGCCTCATGCCGCAGGAGCACACCCAGCACAGCCTGGGCCTCATGGCAGTGCCTCGAGTTGGTGTTCCACGTGACACAGAAACGCAGCAAGGCCTCTGTGGGTCACAGGGACGGTCAAACCTGTCCGCCAGGCCACTCCACCCTTACTAGTCATTGTCCAGCCCCCGCCCGCCCGCCCGCCTGGACCTTTCTGGTCTCGCCGCAGCTGGAACACTGTGGCTTCCAGCTTCTCGCAGGCCTCAGGGTCCCTCCGGATGGCTGTGGGAGGAGGGCAGACTGAGCCCCAGGGAAGGGGCAGGATGGACCCAAGAGACCCCCCCGCCGTCTGGCCCCTGAGGCAGCACTGACCCTGGATAACAGTCAGCACGGTGTGGGGCCGGTCCAGGGAGATGGCCAGGCCCAGCGCCCGCAGGTATCGCTTCTCTTGGAGCAAGTTGTCCAGTTCTTGCTGCCTGGTGGGAAGGAGACAGGACAGGGCCACTGGGGGACCTGGCTGGGGCAGAGCCATCAGGGAGCTGGCTCAGGAGCCAGCAGCCCAGGCCTGAACACCGACTAGTGCTGAGCTGTATCACTGCTCCGAGCTTCAGTTTCCCCATGCCATAAAGCAGGAGTAATGCTGATACACCCTACCCTGAGAGAGGGGCTGACGCTGATGTGTGGGATGTGCCAGACACGTGGGTGATACTCACAGGGAGGCTGCGTGGGGACCACCAGACTTACTTGACCACCTGCTCCTCCCGCTTGGCCTGCTCCTCTGCCTGCTCTACCTCGGTCACATCCTAGGGTCAAGACTGGAGTCAGACTGGCACCCCTACACTGCCCCACCTGCTCCACCCCCAAGGCTACAAACCTTCCAGAGGATGACACAGGAGTCGCTGGCGCCAGTGAGGGCATGGTCATCTAGTCGGCTGCAATGCAGTCCCCAGACCTTGTCCTCATGGGCGTCCAGCGTCCGCACACACTCGTTGTTCTTGATGGTCCAGAGCTTCAAGAGCCCATCAGAGCCGCTGGGTTTGGAAATGGGAGGAGGCTCAGAGCTGGGGACTGTCCCTCAGCTCTCTCCAACCCCCGCCCTGCCCCGAGCCCACTCACCTAGACAGCAGCTGCGTGCCACGGCTCACAAAGGCCACCTTCAGTACGGAAGCATCATGCCCCTCGAACGTCTGTAGGGTGGGGAGAGGGAGGGTATGAGATGTCACCGAGTGGGGAGTCAGGCCTGGGGTGAGGGCAGCTTACCTTGAGGCAGCTGAAGTCCTGCAGTGCCCAGAGCTTGACGGTGCCATCAGCTGAGGCTGTGGCCAGCACCTGGTCCATGGGCGAGAACTGGACACACCAGAGGCCGCGCCGGTGGCCCAAGAAGACGCCCAGCAGCTGGCACTGTGGCAGGGCCCAGAGCTTGGCTGTGCGATCCTGTGAGCCTGTGGCTAGCAGCTTGTCATTGGGGGCAACAGCCACACTGTTAATGTCCTGTTGATGGGAGCAGGCAGCAGCTTGGACCCTCATCCCAGCAAGGGCCCTGCTACACCCCCGCCCCAGTGTGCTGTGTGTGGTCACCTTCTCATGGCAGCGCTGCGTGGCCTGGGCCTGTAGGAGGACAGGTCCACCGTCTGGGACTGTGCTCTTGGACAGCAGGGCTTCGGGGAGGGGCCACAGCTTCACAGTGCAGTCCTGGCTGCCTGTCACCAGGAAGGTCTCCTTCAGCCTGAGGTCCAATTTGGGGAAGAGGGAGACATCTGCTGAGCCCCAGCCAGCCGTGTCTGCCAGTGCACCACAACTCAGGCCTACCAGACCACGGGCCAGACCAGAAGAACTATCCCAGAACGTAGACAGCCCATGTCACCCCCCACACACCTCTAGGACCACGTGCCTGCACCCAAGCCTGTGCCATCCACCTCGGTGCCACCACATCTGATGACTTGGTTCCAAGAATAAGACTCCCAGCCCTAGATGTAGGGAGCACCTTCTCCACCTGAGCCTTGTTCAACATTAAACTCTCTGTCCTGAGGCCCCTCTCATTTTATCCACTCAGTCTCAAGGCCACTTCCAAGGAACCCCCCACTGGCGCCTGGGTTTTCTGTCCCACATCCCTGGACTGGAGCCTCAAAGAGCAAGACCAAAGCCGCCTCCTCCTCCTGTCTCCCTGAGCTGCAGCCCCAGCAGCAGGGCCTGGGCCTCCGCCTCCACGACACCCTGAACCCAAGCCCTGACCAACTACCTGGAGCAGCAGATGGTGCCCACGCCATGTGTGTGCCCGGAGCCCTGAGCCACACAGGCCACCTTGCCCGCCTTGTTCATCCTCCAGATGCGGATGCTCTGATCCTGGGGACAGGAGGGGTGAGGACAGAGGCTGGGTTAGGGTTTCCCACCTGGGGACGGGTACCTCCACACCTCTTGGGGTGCCTCACCTTGGCACAGCTGGCAAAGAGCCACCCTTTCCGGAAAACATCTAAGGCCAGGACGATGTCTGGGAGAAAGTGGAGAGGGAATGGACAGAGATCAGTTCTGGCAACAGGTGGCGATCCATCCAGCATGGGGTCCTGGGGGCATCAGCTTGACACCCTCACCTGTGTGGCCATGGAGAATCTGGCAGGCCGATGTCTGCAGCTCAAACACTTTCAGGCAGGGGCTGTTGGAGGCCACGACAACGTGGGAGTCCTCAGGCCCAAGGAACCGGACATCCAACACCTCCTCGCTGTAGCCAGCAAACTGCAGGGACAGGAGGGGTACACACCAAAGCCCGCGTGACGGAGAGTGGGAGGCAGTGTCCCCAGGCCGTGGGCTGAGCAGGGGCAGTGCTCACCTGTTTCTGCAGCTGCAGGGAGCATGCCTCGTAGAGCAGCAGGTTGTGGTCAGCAGTAACACTGAGGAGCAGGCCGGCAGCGCGGGCCAGGGCGCAGTGGGTCAGCTCCCGCCCGGGGCCTGGCAGCTGCGGCTGGGTGTACACACACTGCCCAGAGGCTGCCTCCCACACGCGCAGCATGCCTGTGCGGGGACAGGGGCTGCTGGGACTCACAGGTCCGTGGGACTCCCCCAGCCCCTGCTGCCTGCCCTCACACACCTTGGTCGCCAGCTGTCAGGAAGTGCAGGCCTGTGGACTTCACACCCAGCTCAGGCGCTGGCTCCTCTGGCAATGTCACTGCGGCCTCCACGCTCTAAAGACGAGCGAGTCAGAGGTGGCAGTCTCATCCTGCCCCGCCCCCCTCACTGGCCCTGGCCCCCTGGCTTCCCTACCTCAAACACTGGCACAGTCTTTGTGGCCTGGCAGCTCTGCAGGTCCCAGACAATGCAGATTTTGTCTCGGCCTGAGCTGGGGGAAATAGCCACTTCAGTTCCTGGGTCGAGCTGTGGCCCTCCCCTTCCTGCCGAAGCCTGGGTGGCTGGCCACTGACCTGAGCATGGTGTGGCCATCGGCACTAAAGGTCAGTGAGGTGACAGCGCTGTAGTGGGCAGTCAGCATAGCCAGGCACGACCGTTCCTGCAGTGACCACATGCGGATGGTGGCGTCTGCGGCTGAGGAGAAGAGCAGCAGGCGTGCAGGGTCCGGATGGAAGGCCACCAAACTGCAGGCAGGTGGGGCACAGTGACTGAGTCGTGCCACCCCGATCATGATGCCCCGCACACCCACCCTCTGCTGCCCCTACTCACTGAACGACACCCGGCGATCCCCGGAAGTGGTGTGTCCCATAGTGCCGCATGATGTCCCAGACACGCACGGCCCCATCACAGCCGCCTGTGGGGACATGTTTGCGGTGACGGAGCTCGTGTGCCCTCCAGCCGGCCTACCCACCCAGTCAGGGCCTTACCTGTAGCTAGCAGCGTGGAGGTGGGGTCGAAGGCCATGGTAGCCACAGGCGCTGTGTGTATCGCTTTCCACAGGCGGATGACACTGCCCTCTCGCCAGGCCCACTGAGCCAGTAGCAGTGCCCGACTGGCTGTCACCAGCACCTGGGGGAAGATACAGCTCAGCCAAGAGTAGAGGCACAGCCACCCGTCTTCATCGACTCAAAATTTGGTTGGGAGATACCAGAGCCCACCTTCTGTCCCTGCCCCATATACCTCATCGTCAGGGCTGAGGTCAAAGGCAGTGATGTCCTCCTGGTCCTCCTAGGGGCAAGAGTGGGCACACAAAATGCCATGAGAATAGGCTGTCCTCCACACTAGCACCTCCCCCTGGCTCTCCCTGCCCTCACCTGCTCCAGGCTCCGCAGCACAGCCCCTGAGGCCACATCCAGAATGTTGACTCTGGTACCACAGACACAGAAGAGGTGCTGTCCAGTCTGGTCCAGCTAGTGACAAAGGGGTCTCAGCCAAGGTAACTCTGCAGCCCCTTCCTGCCCCCCAACTCTGCCCCTCCCTGGGCTGTACCTGCACCTTCCCGCCCTTGTAGAAAGGCTCGATCTTGCGCTCAACAGCATAGCTGGAGGGAGGACACAGGGAGAGAGTGAATCACTCATCCTCAGTCCCCAGTGCCCAGCCCTGTGCTGGGTGCTCTCCCAAAGGTCAATGAATAGGCCCCTATCCTTGAGGAGTTCCTGGGCAGCAGCAAGGATGCAGAGGGGTGGGAAGTGATGAGCTCTTCTCTCTGTTATCTTCTTTAACCCTCTCAGCAGCGCTGAGGTGGGTGTCAGTACCCCCATGTCACAGAGAATTTGAGACCCAGAGCTGGTCAGTGATCTACACAGGGTCCCGGAGCAGCACAGGCAGTCCCAACACCCAGAGATGCCCCAGTGGGAGCAGGCCAGGCCTTGGGGGCCCCCTGCTGGCCGTGGGAAGCCAGGCCTGGGTACCAGCCCAGAGCAACATCCTCTTCAACATCTTCATCCCTGAGGTCCAACCTGCCCCTTCCCCAACCCTGGCTCCTTCCTCCATCCCCAGCTTGGCCTCATCCCACTCCCCAGGCAGCCCTCATTTCTGTGGCCTCATACTGTCCTCTTCCCTCCCTCTGGGTTGCCACCATGCTGGTCCACGCCACTGCACTCTCCCCTCTGGGCAGCTGCCCAAGCCTCTTCACCAGGCCCCTACCCACTCTCTCAAACTCTGCTGCCAGAGAAGCCTTTTAGAACATAACTCTGTTTATGTCACCATCCTGCCTTAAAACTCTCGACTCGCCTTACATGTTTCCAAGGCTCTGCCCAGAGGAGCCTCTGCTGACTTTCCCAGTTTCACACAGGCTGTTTCCTCTATGCAGCCTGGGCCTCTCTTCTGGGATTTCAGTGTCACCTGGCTAGTTCCAATGGGGGAAGCCTGATTGCCAAGATGAAACAGAGCCCCCACCTCCCGCCCCCCCCCGCCCCGCCCCCAAGTCCTGAATCCAGCCAACCATGCAGGAGAGGTGCTCTCAGGACCCGGGGATTCCCTTCGCTAGTGCTTGTCACAGCCACTGATGGAAATGAGTTGCTTAATACGTTTATCCCACCAGGCGCTCCACATGGCAGGTCTGAGTCTGGCCCATCCCCGGCACTAAGCACTTAGATGTTCAGCAGAGGCTTGGGGATTGAAGATGCACAGGATTCAGGGCCTCCTGGGCCACTGAGGACCCCCCACCTCCTGACCTCTCTTTCTGCTCCCCGGAGAAAAGGGACAGCAAGTGAAAGCTCCCCAGGCCAACTGCCCCAGATGTGGCTCTTCCTCCGCTACCTGAGGGGTGAGGGGTCCTGCTCCCGTCCAGGACCAGCCTCGACTTGTGCTCAGTCCGCCCGTTCCTCCTCCTTTGGGATTTCTCGTCCCCGTCCCAGCCCCAACTGGCTCCTAGTTTAATTAACCGCGGCTGGCTGCGTCCGGCCGGGCTCCAGTGCCCGCCCTGCCCGAGAGCAGTCAGGGTCGGCTCTCCCACCTTACAATACCGCACCGACACGACCCCGCGGGCCGGTCCCGTATACCCCCTCCCCAGACCCGCATGGGCGCCCGGGCCACCGTCCACGGTGGGAAACTTCGCTACTCCGGCTGCGAACCCGCCTCCCTCCCCAGGCGGCGCCCGCAGCCACGTCCTGACTCACTTGGCTTTAAAGCGGCTCCCTCCGGCCGCGGCCTCCGCCATGTCGCCACCGCCGCCACGGCCGCGTGAGGGAGAGCGGTGCGACACTCCGCCCCGCCGGCGCGCTGTGATGACACCACCACCGCGACTACCGTGGCGTCATCGGAACTGCGCGCTCGGCGCCATCTTTGCTATGGGCAGTGGCTGCCGCGTCAGGATGCGGAAACTGGCAAAGGCGTTCCCGGACTGGAGGGTGGGGCGTAGAAGGGCTTGGAAGCGACTCCGGCCCGCGGGGTAGATTGGTAGGTGACTGGGTTTGTCAGCTGTCCGGCCTTTTAATGGAAATTTAAAAAGGCATTCGTAGGAAATGCTTACTACAATAATCCCAAGACTCCTGTCTCCTGAGCATCCTGGGATTTGGGGGTGCGCTCCGTGAGTAGATGGAGCCGTGAACCCTGCCTCGGGGCTCACGGTCTGGTATGAGAAAGAACCCAAGTAAATGAACAGATCGAGTAATTTCAGAGTCGTTCAGATATTTATTGAGCACATTCTGTGTGCAAAGTACTGTTGTAGGCACTTGGGCGACACCAGAGAGGAAAACAAAACCCCTGCTTGCCTCACGCGCCAGTGGGGTGAGGGCTGGGGGCTGGGCGGAGGAAGGTGAGTGATTAGTGCTGTGGGAAGAATAGATCTGGGTAAGGGATGGAGTGGGGCAGGAGGTGCAATTTTAAATGCGGTATTGGAGGAGGCTTCGTTGAGAAGGTGACGCCTGAGCAAAAACCTGAAGCGGGAGCCTGTGGTTATCTGAGGGAACGGTGCTTCAGGCTGAGGGACGGCCAGTGCCAGGCCTGGCGTTCAGGAGGAGCGACAGAAGCCTGTGCGGCTGCAGGGAGTGAGGAGGGAAGCGAATAGAAGGGCAGCGGGTCAGAGACAGTCCTTGTGAGGAGTCGGCTTATACTCCCAGTTCAGAGTTTTGAGCCATTTGTGCTATTGACTGTGAAGCTGGTAAACAGATTGATAGAAAGTCACTGGGAGAGGATGATTGGGGAAAACCTCTGCAAGGAGGAGACATTTGAGTGGAAAGAAGAAACCAGGCAGATGGAGAGCGGGAGAGGGAGGGGAAGAGCCTTCAGGCGGGGGGAATAGCCAGGGCGAAGACCCAGTGGTGCGAAAGAGCTTGCAGAGGTCCAGGGGAAAGGCCGAAGTGTCCCTGCGGGCTGCAAGTAGTGCCTGGAGAGGTGGGGGGCGCAAATGTGATAAGGCTGAGGCCAGCAAGCACAGTGGTGGCCGGGGCGGGCCAGGCCTGGGCTCCGCATTTATTTACCCCTCTATTTACAAGGTAGCTTGGCCCTGGGTCCCCCACCCCTCAGCCTCAGTGCTGCCTTCTGGGGTTGCCTCGGCCTCCTCTTGGGGGCCGCCCAGGAGCAGGGCATCATCCTCCTCCAGGAAGTCTCCCAGCTGGGCCAGCTGCCGGCGGATGAGGCTGGTGGTGCGGTACACCTTGCGCATGCGCCGCAGCAGGCCCAGCACCAGGGTCCGGCTGCGCTCCTGCCGCTGAGTCCAGGCGTTGCGCAGCTCGCGGTAGCAGTTGTGGCGTACACGCTCGGCTGGGCCCAGGGTGGCTCCACAGCCCAGGGTGCAACGCTGCTGGGCACCATGCGGGCAGTGCTGCCGGTGCTCGGCCAGGGCCCCACGAGGCACTCGTGCCGTGCAGTCCTCGTTGGGGCAGGCCATCAGCTCGAAAGGGCATGAGTCCTGGTGCCCCTTGCGATGGACCAGGGGACACGTGACCACACAGCCAGCTTCAGCGTTCTTGCACTGGGGGTAGGGGAGAGCACCGTGTGAGCCAAACCAGATCGGGATTGCCATCCCATGAGCTGCGCACACCCCACAGAATCCCACGTCCATGACATTCCACTGACCATGAACCAGTGAACTGGAAGTCCCCCAAACTCTCCCCAGTGATGTAGTGGACAGAGGGTAGCAGTTGGGCAAATGCTTGGAGGTGGGAAGAATCTAGATCTCTGAGAGGAGAGGGGTAAGGCCTGAGGCTTGGAAAACAGGGAGGTTCATGGCTGGTTGTTCTGGCCGGTTGTATGGGTTGTACATATGCCAGACTTTTTTTGGACCTCAGTTTCCCCATCTATAAAATTAGGGGGCTGGAGAGTAATGGCCAGCGCAGCAGACACTTCTTCCTCTAAAATCCATCTCTAATCTCCACTTTACAGTTGCAGCCTCAGGGGCTCGAAAAGCTTAAGTAACTTGCCCAAAGTCACACAGCAAGTAAGTGGTAGAGAGGTGACAAACTCAGCCAGGTCTGGTGACCCACAGGCTGCAGTGTGTGTTGGTGGAGCAGAAACCCTCAGTTCTGAGGATGGGATTCTCCTCACCCCCTCTCCTGGCCCTGCCCGACCCCCAGCAGGGGCCAGGAGGGAGGTGGGAGTGGGCCCTTCCGGCTACCTTGACTTCCAGGCGGCCAATGGTCTTCCGGAGTTTATTCACATGGACCATCTTTTTCCGCTTCACATCTTTCCTGCAGCATGGACAGGTCTTTTGTCTAGAAGGAGGCATGAGTTGGGGTGATGTTGGGAGTGGGAAGGGAGTAAGGGGCAGCAACATGCCTCCCCTAGTGGTCCTTTTTCTCTAGCTAGAAGAGGCATGAGAGGACTTTATAGGGAACTCTTGGCTTTAAGGCTGGAGCCATGATCTGCAGATACCACAGGGTGAGGGGACCCACATATTTTAGTGTCCCAGGAGATTTGGCAGCTGAGTCTTAGGGCCATGATGACTCAGTGCTTGGCAGACCTTCCTCTCTGCTCTGGGCCACTGGAATGGACACGAGCCCGGCCCCTGCTGTCCCAGCCTCTTGGGTGCCCAGTAATACCTGGCTAGCCACTGGAGGATGCACTTCTTGCAGAAGACGTGGCTACATGGCAACCTCACTGGCCTCTTGAGAACCCCGTGGCAGACGGAGCACAGGAAGTTGCAGTCAGGAGGGCTGGCGAAGAGGTTGAGATCATAGCCGCCACTCTGCAAAGGCCAGGCCAACATCAGGACCTGGCTGGGACCAGGATCCGGCCCCCCCCCCTCCCGCCCCCGACTCCACACACTCAGAGGGAGACCCCAGGAAGCTTTGAGTGGGGAGGTGGGCCACATGAGAGCTCCCAGCAGGGGGTTGGGGCAGCACTCACTTGGAGGGGGCAGCTGTGAGGGTCAAGACTCTGCACGACTACCAATCCCCAGCTGGGGAAGCTAGACTTGGCCTGACGTTAGACCTGCTCAGAGCCCTCAGTGTCCCATTTAGGAACCTGTAAGCCACTGTCCACCCTTTCTCAGAGTGAGGGATGGGGGCCAGCTCTGGGTAGGTCTCTGGAGTTAGGCACAAATCTAAGGGCCAGAGGTAAGAGGGTCCCAGGCTCACCATGATCTGTGTCTGGACAGCTGCTCCACTGACCCCCAGGGGCTGAGGAGCCTCCATTTCACAGCAGGAGTGGGCTGACATCACAGTGGTATTGTCCAGCTCAGGCCAATCACAGCCCTCGTCCAGGGCCCACTGGGACCCTACAGCACCTGGCACTTGTTCCCCTCTGTAAAGGGTCACAGAGGGGTAGGGGAGCCCGGACCCGGGACATGTCCCTGGAGCACCTGCCTTGGGGGTGGCTGACAGCTCATACCCAAGCAGCACTAGGCCAGGAACCAAGCTTCTGGGGGCTGCGACTTCAGCAGGAGTACAGGTTGTTCCCTTCTCCTTTCTCAGTGCTGCCCAGGTGGCCAGATCTCCAACAGCTTCAGACACCCATTATCAGGTCTCTTAGGATGGAAGACCAGTGGTGGTAGCTCCAGGATATAGACCAGGGAAATGAGGACCAGATACCCATGCAACCTGCAGTACCACAGCAGGGGGGCCTAGCCTGTGGGAGAACCTCCCAGAGCAGGTAGACTCTGACCATGTGGGTCAGAAAATCTTGGGGAAAAGAATTCCAACCTGGAAAACTAGCATGTGCTCACACATCAGAGAACTGCAGGTTCGGTATCCGAGCATTAAGCTTATCAAATCCTGAAGACCCTAACCATGTCCTGAGAGCAATAGGGAGCCACCGCAAGCCTTTGAGCTGTGAATCTTACACTCCCATCTTGGCTCCTGGGTTGCAGGCCCAGCCCAATCAGCTCAAGTTCAAGGTACTTTATCTGATGTGGAAGCTATGGGGTGTGGATAGACCCATCAGTTTCAAACCTGGCTCTGCCACTTACGGAGTGTGGGACCTTAGGAGTCACCTGACAACCCCCGAGACCCAAGTTCTCCCCTGGAGTGGTATCCACAGCGAATTGGGCTGGCTGGAAAAGAAGGAGTCCTAATAGGGTCTCTCCTCCACTGCACATTGTGGTCTGAGGGTCAATAGATGCATTTCCCAGGCTGACGGGCAGAGGAACAAAGATATCCAGACACAGATAAGTCAAACTCACACTTTTATTGAAAGAGGAGAGCAGAGCCCCCTCCCCCGCCCCCCGCAGTACTGGCGGCGTAGTCCTCAGGCTCGGCATCCGGGTGTCCTGCAGGCAGAAGACAGGGTCAGGGGTCAGAGGCCAGAGCACGCGAGCAGCTGCGCCGGGAGCGGGAGCGGCGACTCGTGTCGGGGCCTGGGTTTCACCTCCCCACACTGAGAAGTGGGCGGTGAGCTGAGGCCTCCGGTGGCTCTGGGCGCCGAATCTCACCCACGGCCACAGCCAAAGCCGCAGGTGATTTTCAACCAACGCCGATCTCCCGACCACCACCCAGCGGACAGACCCACAAGCTCCCGAAAACCGGACATACCTGCAGCCCGAGAGGCTAATCTGCCGCTGCGCGGGCATTTATAGCCGGTCCCACGTCACGCAGATCCCGGGGCTGCGGACCCGCAGGCACGCAGGCGCGCGCCCCCACGGAGCCAATCACATGCTGTTTTATAGGCTCTCGCGTACTCGTAATCGGGGCGGGGCAGCCGAGATCTCGCGGCACTTGGTGTGACATAAAAGGTTCTTCCCGGGCGCCGTCGTTCTTCTTCTCCGAGAAAACACGTGAGTGTTTTTTCCGTCCTGTTTGCGTTGTGCAGGCCTGGGCGGCGGGAATCCGCGGGCATCGGGCGGGGCCCAGGCTTGGCGCGCCCGCGTTCCCGGGTGGGAGCCGCGATCTAGGCGCCCCGGGCGGCTGCGGATGCCAGTGCCTCACTGACTGGCTGGTTTTTGTCGTTTTCTTTAGCAAATGGCGGATGACGCCGGTGCTGCGGGAGGGCCTGGAGGCCCCGGGGGCCCTGGACTGGGAAGCCGCGGAGGCTTCCGCGGAGGCTTCGGCAGTGGCGTCCGGGGCCGGGGTCGCGGTCGTGGTCGGGGCCGGGGCCGAGGCCGCGGAGCTCGCGGAGGCAAGGCCGAGGACAAGGAGGTAGGTCCGGGCCGTGCTCGTGAGACGGGCCCGCGGGTGGCGCCTGGCGGGCGGCCGTGGTGACAGGCGCTTTCTCCTCCTCCAGTGGATCCCCGTCACCAAGCTGGGTCGCCTGGTGAAAGACATGAAGATCAAGTCCCTGGAGGAAATCTACCTCTTCTCCCTGCCCATTAAGGTAACGCGAGGGTCCTTTTTCCCTGGGCGGGTCGGTCTCTGGGAGACTCTTCTGGCGTCGGGTCGAGGGGTGCCATTGAGGGGCCCCAGGCTCCGCGTTTGAGAGGTCGCGTGAGTGCGTGGGGGGTGTCCCATCTGACAGCTGGTATTCAAGCTGGGGAGAAAAGGCCGGGCACCCGAAGACCAGTTCTCCTGTTAGGAAGCCGCGTGAAGGCTCCCAGTGATGAACATTCAGAGGGGGTGGTATTTGCGTTAAACTTATCACTGAACGTTTTTGTCAAATCTTTTTTCTCGCAGGAGTCTGAGATCATTGACTTTTTCCTGGGGGCATCTCTCAAGGACGAGGTTTTGAAGATTATGCCGGTGCAAAAACAGACCCGTGCTGGCCAGCGGACCAGGTTCAAGGTAGCCCAACCATCGTGTCCTCCTGGGCTGTTTCTGCCAAGGCGCTTTGTCAGACTCTCTCAGCTCTGCATGGTTACACTTGTTTGCACGCGTGTGACTTTCGTAATGGGGAGAGAGAGAAAGGATCTCCTCGGGATCTCAGATTGGCCTTGTGGTGGCCTCTCTTTCCTTGAGGGGCGCGACAGGCCCTGGGCTGTGGTTACTAATGCTGTGTGAGCCACTGGACCATTAGCCATCTCAGTCTCTTTACAGGCATTTGTTGCCATCGGGGATTACAATGGACATGTCGGTCTGGGTGTGAAGTGCTCCAAGGAGGTAGCTACTGCCATCCGTGGGGCCATCATCCTTGCCAAGCTCTCCATTGTCCCCGTGCGACGAGGCTACTGGGGGAACAAGATTGGCAAGCCCCATACTGTTCCTTGCAAGGTAGGTTGGGCGCTTTTGAGTGATAGGGCCTACAGTGGTGCAGACTCCAGCTTCAGTCTCCTGACTTCCTCCTTTTCCTTAGGTGACAGGTCGCTGTGGCTCTGTGCTGGTGCGCCTCATCCCTGCCCCCAGAGGCACTGGCATTGTGTCAGCCCCTGTGCCCAAGAAGCTCTTGATGATGGCTGGTATTGACGACTGCTACACCTCGGCCAGGGGCTGTACTGCCACCCTTGGCAACTTTGGTAAGTGGCCCACACATGAGCTGTGGCCTCTCTCAGCTCCACTTAGTCACACTCAGTGTGTGGTTGGTGTATTTTCAGAGAGAGAGAGGAAGGCCCTCCTAATGCACGACAGACTGGCCCACAGTGGCCTCTCTGTTCCTAGGAGTGCAACAGCTTTGGTCTTCATCTGGGATCTCAGATGAATCCATCAACTTTCTGGTCTTTTCCAGCTAAGGCCACCTTTGATGCCATCTCTAAGACCTACAGCTATCTCACCCCCGACCTCTGGAAAGAGACCGTGTTCACCAAGTCTCCCTATCAGGTACTAACTGCCTGACCACCTTGTCAGTCTAGGCAAATGTGGGGGCGTGGGGTGGCGGCAGCAGGCTTGGCTATAACGAACGCTTTGTCTGTTTAGGAGTTCACTGACCATCTTGTAAAGAATCACACCAGAGTCTCCGTGCAGAGGACCCAGGCTCCAGCTGTGGCTACCACATAGTTTTATACAAGAAAAATAAAGTGAATTAAGCCTGTTAACAGTTGTCTTGTTTAGTGGTGTTTGAATTTGGAAGGGAGATGGGGCCAATTAAGAATCAGAATAAAGGCTCATGGGTTTGTTAAGGTCAAGGGCTGAAGGTGACACCAGAACCACAAACAGCTTTTGTTACTCTTTATTTTAGTAATGGCCGTAGTCGTGTGAGGGGGCTGCCTCAGGCAGCAGCTGCCTCTTTAGCGGCTTTTCTCTCTGCTAGCATCCTCTGCTTCTGTTTTGCCAGGCACTTCCTGGCAGAATAATGGGCCCCAAGGTCGTGATCTGCAAGAGATGGGAGGAGAGGGGAATCATGGACCACTTCTGTCATGGGGACAGGAGTCTTCGCTACATGTAGAGGGAAGAAAGGCAGGCAGCTAAGATGGATTGAGCAGAAAGGGGACTCTAAGCATGGTGATTTTATGTGGGACGTCACCACAGTGTGGTTTGATACCGGGTGTGGAGGTCTGTGCCCTGGATCGAAACTTGCCCCAGGCCACCTAAGCTGAGTGTGTGAACTTAACCATTACGCCACCAGGCTGGCTGCAGCATGGTGATTGTTAATGTCTGTAGAAACTGTCACAGATGCAGAGCTGAGAACCACTGTTTTAGCAGAATTTTTAGCCCATAGTCGTGTGGAGATTGGATATAGGGTTGGGGAGGCAGGAGGACCCTGAAGGCAGGGGTCAGGCCGGGGTGGGGGCTCACTCACAGCGGTCCTGGTAGGCCTTGGCCACCTGGGTGAACTGCTCCAGCTCCTTGGCACAGTTCTGCTTGTAGCTCTCACCTTCCCTCTGCTGACAGGCCTTCAGCCTTTCCTGGATAATGTTGACAATTTCTTGATCGACTTTGCTGAAAGAAAAAGGAACGAGAGAGAGAGAGAGCATATAAGGAGTCCTTTCCTTGTACCCAAGAAGAAGAGAATGAAAGGACATTGGAGCCCTACAGTCTGGCCCCTCTACCCCAAAGATCTGGCCCAGCAGGTGTCGTTTCTGGCTGACCACCATCCCATGGTACTCCCGGGGAATGATGGCCCAGCAGGATATGCTCGCGGCGCTGGGCTCTATTCCCCCACTCAGAGCGAAAGCCCAAGGGCAGGACGTACTAGTCTCTTCTCCATTGCATTTCTGCTTCAAACATGCACAAGATGTCCTTTTCCTTGCACTCGGTGATGTCTGGCACGCGGCGGAACTCCCGGTGGTAGTAGTAAGACCTGTTCTTTGCATGCTGCCGCTCTATAAACTCTGCAAAGAGAAGACCCAGGACTACTGGTTTGGGCAGGCCATGGCTGGGATGGGCTCTTAGTTTTGTTTCTCAAGCTGTGGAAGGAGCGGATTCCCCAAACGTTCTCAGCTTTACAGACTGGCAGTTGAACTCTCAAAAAGATGTGGCTGGCACAGAGAGACTGGGCTACAAAAGGTGATGTCTGCCGTTTATGGAGAGCTTCCTGAGAGCCAGGCATCATCCCGTGTGCATTATCTCACTTTGTCCCCACAACCCTATGGGGCAGGTCCTTATTTACAGACAGGGGACTGAGGCCCAGAGAGACAGCAGGATTCAGAGCCCATGCTCTGCAAGCCTGCAGGCGCTACAGGTGCCACTCAACTCCCCCACAGCACAGGGACGCCACTGTGTAGGCCGATGCCTAAGAGGGAGCCGCCAGCAGGGAGTCTAGTCCCAGTTCTGCCACTGCTGACCTTCGGCCTCAGCTTCCCCATTGGTAAATTAGCAAGTTAGACCTGGTGAGCTCTCAACCGTCCAGATATTTAAGACACTTTCCAAGAAAGTGCTATAAAAAAGAGGGAGCCAGTCCACTGCTGTGCCTTTTCCAGATCTTGGGGGTCTGGTTTGCCAACTTTATCCCCCCTAATGAAAGAGTCACTAGAGCATGCTATGCACCCCGAATGTTTTGTTGTTGTTGAACAAATGACCTGATTAATTAAGTGCCTGGATGAATCGCCTGGAACTAGTGACTGAGGGCAGAGCACGCTCCTGCTGCTGCCCCATGAAGCTGGCTGAACCATAAACTGGGCAACAAGGAACCGTTTTAAACCCTTGCCTCGTTGGGACCAGAGATGGGGGGAACTTGGGCAGCTCTCAAGCATGAGCACACACGGAGGACAACCCACAGCACATTTGGGTTGAGGAGGCCTCGGCCAACACCTAACCGTCTGGGTCATTTGGCAGGCGTGCAGAGGATCAGGGGAGAACCCCTTCATTTCAACTGCCCCTTGCTGACCGCCTCCTGTGCACACCGCAGGATGCAAAGCGTGCAGGGAGACGGGTCTAACAGCCTCAGGACACAGACGCTTGCGATCCGCAAAAATCCCTATCATCTGGGGGAGGCTGGAAACCAGGGGTGCGCGTGGGGGGTTCCCCAGGCGACGGGGGCCGGAGATCAGTTAGGGGTCCTGGGGTAGGAGGGGGGCCGCCCCGGGAAGCGAGTCCTGGGGTGCAGCGGGGGGCGCAAGGAGGCGACGGGGACAGCAGGTCTCCGGGAAGGGGCCCCGGGGTGCGGCGGGGGGGTGGTCACGGGGGCGAAGCCCGGGGTACGGGGGACTCCGAGGGGCGGCCGGGGGCCCCGGGGAGCGGTGGGGCCCGGGTGGGGCCGGTACCTCTCACGAGGGTCACGGGCCGGTCCACGAGGAGGTCGAAGGCCTTAGTCAAGTAGGTGATGGGGTTGGGCAGCGAGGTCTGCGGCGACGGCGCTGGTGTGCGGCGCGGGGGCTCGGGGTACACGTCCTTGTCCCAGCTATCCGGCATGGCGGCGCTCGACGGGCTCCGCTGTCGGACGCGCTGCCCCGGCCTCCGCCTGGGTCCCGGGGCCTAGCTCGCCCGCAGCAGAGGACGACCGAGGGCGGCCGCGCCTGCGCAGGGCGGCCGGCGGCCGCGAGGCACCATGGGACTTGTAGTTCGCCCGGCCGGCCACGTGTGGGTCAGGGAAACGCTCGCAGCGCGGGCGCCCCCACGTGGGACCGCGGCGCCATTGCACACGCAGGCCCCTCCGTCGATCTCTGTCCGGAGCGTCTACCGTGGGCTGGCGGCCCCGCTCCGTGCTTGGGATCCAGCGGTGAAGGATACGGAGATCCCTGCTTGCGTTCTAAGAGGAAACAGACACGGGAATAAGTAAACGATTCCTTCAGATCCGACGGCGTGCGGGCACGTGCCGAGTGCAGCAGGGAGCGTATGAACAGAGCTGGGCTCTTCTGGAGAACTCGGGCCAGTAAAGCAAATAAATAACACAACAAAGTCAACAAATAACACAAACGCCCTACTCTTCCAGGAAGCCTTCTCGGATTGCCCATTCCCTACAGACCTCTCTGGTCTCTGCTGTGTCTGCCTGGGCCCCTCATGGGACCAGCTAATACTAGTGAGCTTGAGGGGACTGTCTAGGGCAAAGCAGGAGGTAGGGGTTGCCCTTGGGGCTCTCACCCACAAGGAGAGGTGGCTCCTATCCTGGGTGCAGGGTGCTCTGCTCCGGTTCTGGTGGTTCCACCCTGGGCTTGAGCACTGTTGTGCCCCCAAGGCAGCCCCACTGACCAGGGCCCTTCTGGCCACCTTCTGTGATCTCCAACCTGGCATAGCCCCCGGGGGGACTAAGGAGGGTGGTGGTCACTTCCTGCCCAGAGGCTGGACCCAGAGACACATAGCCATCAACTCTACGGACATACAGAATCTGGAATCACAGAAACATCAAATCTTCAAGTCATGAACTCTTAGAAACATACACGGTCAGACCCAAAGAATCGTAACATTGTCCTGCAACCTTGGCCTGAACTAGGGGACCTGATGGCTGCAGGCCAGAGCCGCTCCTGTCGCCATGACCCTCGGTAGCCAGCATGAGCTCGCTCACCAGAGAGTGTGAGCAAGCAGAGGAATATGGGATATGGGAAAGCGCCGAGGTGACGCTTTCTGCCTTGCCCGCCTGGTAGCACAGGGACTGGAGATCATGCGGCAGAAGCAGAAAAAGACAAACGAGAGGGAGGACCCAAGCGGCTTTGTGGCTTCGTGTCCAGCCCTCTGGCCCTTGGCCCATGTGCCTGGAGCCAGCCCCACGGCACCTGCGTCCTGTAGCGCTTGTGGTCCCAGCACCCATGGTGGTCCCTCTGCCCTGAGTCTGCCGGCCCTTCTGTCCTCCCTTCCCTCAGGCAGCCTCTGTCCTCCTGGGCCACAAACGGGGCTGTGGGCTGACCCTTCCCAAGGATTGATTCTGGGGGGGCTTAGTCTATAGTATTAAAGCAGCTTTGTAATTCAAAAGCAACCACAAAAACACAGAATCGTAACGTTAGCAGCATAGAATCTCAGCATCGCACAGTGCAAAATCCACAGGCCCTCAGAGGCATCTGAGGCCTAGAAAACTCTGATTCTACAGCTGCAGAACTTTGTAATCACAGAATCTCTGAATCAAAAACTAAGGGATTTTAATCCCCTTTTCATTCAAAACTTAAGTTCAGAATTTAAGTTCATAAAAGTGTCCAAATGTTCTTGGCTCTTCGCTGTTAAAGTCAAGGATCTCGACACCGAACAGCCCTGGTGGTCCTTCGGGCACACAGTCAACCCCCCCGCCACCCCATCCCCCTCTGCCTCAAGGCCAGCAAACTGGACCCAGACCCTCCTCCCCCCAAGAGAAGCCCCCGAGCTGGTGTTCCTCAACCCCCTCCCACGCCAAGTTCTTCCTGTCTTGGGAGGGTCACATGAGGCAGAAAGCAAAGTGAGTGTGACCCAGTGTCAGGGTCCCTAAAGAAAGGAGTGCCAGCCCTGGCTCCAGGTGTCCCCACCCCAGGCTGCCCATGTGATGCCCCCCCTCTGCGCGGTCCCAGGCCAGGCCTGCTCCTGGCACCAGAGCCCATGCCCGCCTCGGGAGATGACCAAGCTCTCCTGCCAGGGGCTAAATCTGGGATCTGGCTGCTGTGCGTCCTGGCCCTGCCACTCGACTTCCAGAGCCTGGCAGGGAGGCCCCTTCCCTTCCTGACCTGCAGGGACCGGCCGCCATGGTCAGTGGGCTGGGGGGGCTGGAACAGGAGCAATCTGGCTTCCTGGGGAGGGGCAGGTGGGCTTCTGGAGTCTCTCCCAGCAGAGACAGTCCTTGGGCCTGTGAGGGAGTAGGTGACTACAGGGGACAGCAGGGGCTAGAGCTCAGGTTGCCAGGCCTAGAACAGGCGAGGAGATGGACAGATGGCAGTGCCCCCTGCATCCGTAGCCCTCGGCCACAGTGTGGGCCTGCCCCTCCTGGGCCCAGCCTGGCTGAGCCCCCTGAGGCAGGTAGCCTGTGCCCGAGGAGCCTTGGTGCTGGCTCCTTCCTGAGACAGCGCCCCTGGCAAACGACCCCTCCTTCCCTGTAGATGGCTGGGGGAGGCACTGAAGACCACCAGGCCTGCATCCGGGGTCTCTAGCTCACTTCTGTGGGTCTGGGCTCAGGGACTGTCCAGCTGCCAGGGACACATCCCCATCACCGAGCCCCAGCTCTGCCCTCCCTCCCCTCCTGCCCCCAGTCCCATCGGAAGTTCTCGGCCCCTCGGCATGGACACCTGGGCTTCCTGCCCCACAAGAGGAGCCGCCGGCACCGGGGCAAAGTGAAGACGTGGCCTCGGGATGACCCCAGCCAGCCCGTGCACCTGACAGCTTTCCTGGGCTACAAGGCTGGCATGACACACACTCTGCGGGAGGTGCACCGGCCGGGGCTCAGTGAGTGGCCGCAGGGGACACGTAGCGGGGTGGGGGGTGAGGTGGCGAGGGGAGCATCTCTGACTTCTGGAAATCTGGAGAAACTTCCAGATGTTAGGAGCCAGAACTGGGCTCCGGGAGGGTAAATAGCCCCAAAAGGGTGAGGCCCTGACTGCTGGCCACTCTGGGGGTGGGTTCTGTCGTTGCCCCCAGTTTACCGATGGGACAATCGAGCAGTTCTGAAGCTTGCCAGCCGCCCGGTTAATAAGCAGAGGAGCTGGGATTCAGAGGCGGGCACCCTGATATGCTTTTCATTTTGAGATCATTGTAGATTCACACATGGTTATAAGAAATAATACAGAGACCCACGTACCTTTCACTCAGTTTCCCCCAATGGAAACATCTTGTAAAACTGTGGTAACATGTCACAACTGGATACGACGTGGATACATCCTACCACCTTGTTGTGGTTTCTCCAGTTGTGTGGGGGTGTGTATTTAGTTCTAAGAGGTTCTGTCGTGCATAAATGTGTGCACCCACCGCCTCAGAACATCCCATCCCTAGGCGGCTCCCTCCTGTTGCCCTTTTTAGCCACAGCCGCCCAACCTTCTGGTAACCACTCATCTGGTCTTCATCTCTCCTAATACTTTTTTTTTTTTTTGCTTTTTCTCCCCAAATCCCTCCAGTACATAGTTGTATATTTTAGTTGTGGGTCCCTCTAGTTGTGGCATGTGGGACACCGCCTCAACATAGCCTGACCAGCGGTGCCACGTCTGCACCCAGGATCTGAACCAGCAAAACCCTGGGCCACCAAAGCAGAGGGCGAAAATGTAACCACTCGGCCATGAGGCTGGCCCCTTTCCTAAGACATTTTTTAAACATACTTCTTTTACTTTGCATCAGCCTCAATAATAACATCTATAAAATCATGCATTTTGGACAAGTTGTAGGTTTTTTCTGGAATTCTTCAACATACATTCACAACTATTAAAATAAAAAATGCTCATTTGTGCTCCATTAAAGGGGCTCAACCCTACCTTCTGGAGGACGCTTCCCTGGCTGTTGTTTTCCTATCCCACTCCTGAAGTATCTTATGGGGAAACTGAGGCAGACAGCAGGTCAGATCTTGCCTGAGATCTTAGTCAGAGCTAGCAAGGACCACCCGTGGAGCCCTGACCAGCGGCTGCTCCACGCCCCCGTGCAGAGCAGGGAGAGAAGGGGCAGGGAGCAGGCCGGCTGAGGGCTGGGGGTCAGCCTGGGCTCTGCTCCATCCTCCCTGGGGCAGGAAGGGGTCTTCCCCTCCATCCTCCATGGAGGAGGCCCCTCTCCATCCCCGTCTCTGAGTCTCGTGCAGAAATTTCCAAGCGGGAGGAGGTGGAGGCGGTGACGATTGTGGAGACGCCGCCTCTGGTGGTGGTGGGCGTCGTGGGCTACGTGGCCACGCCCCGAGGCCTGCGGAGCTTCAAGACTATCTTCGCGGAGCACCTCAGCGATGAGTGCCGCCGCCGCTTCTACAAGGACTGGTGAGGGCCGCCCTGAGGGGCACCACACAGGCTGGTGGGACCACAGGGGCTGGGCGGGCCCTTCACTCCCCGGCCCTGTGCTGGAACGATGCAGGTGGGTGGGCAGGAGAAGGGTGTGGAAGGGAGGAAAGTGTACGGTGGGGGGAGGGGAGTGCCTTCACCTCAATAAAAGATGAGTACTGGAGGGCTGGAGAGGAAACTGGGATAGGGAAAAAGAAGAAGCGAGTGTTCTAATGCTCAGGGTTAATTAAGGTACTAATGTGATGGAATGTCAGAGTTGGCTCTGAGCTTCCTAGCAGCCAGGGTGAAAAGGGAAGCAGCTAACAGGCAAGCTCTTCTCATCAGAAAGAAAGGCATCCTCAGGCCTCATATCTCGCCCGGCACTAAGTCCTGAAAGGGAAGCCCCACCTGCCTGAGGAAACTTGCAGACAGCCGCCTCCTTACAGAGGCAGAGGCACAGACAGCCCAGCTTTGGTCCTCTATGGGAGGTGACGAGCGTGGGCCCCAGAGTCAGAGCAGGCTGCATGACCAGGCCAGCTGGCTGATCTCTTGGAGTCTCGTATCACCCCTCTACACACTGTGGATGCCGTCAAATGGAGACGGGAGTAGTCCCTGCATCATGGGGCTGCTGTGAGGTTAGGTGAATGTGTGTCAAGGTTCAGAAAAAGTCCTCAGCAAATGCCGCCAGCCCTGTTCTCGCTGTTTCTGTTGTTACCAACCTGCCCCTTACCCAGAGGCTCTGCCCTCTGTGATGCTTGGTTTCTTCATCTGTAGAATGGGGATAATAATGTCCACCTTCCAGAGTTCTGGCGAGGGTGAGGAACCACGTGGCACGGTGCCTAGCCAGTGCCGGCTGTTTGCTCTAGAAGTGGGGTCGGCAGCCATGGCAATGTGGGCAGGTGGCCATGGGCCGGTCGGCACGCCCCTTCCCCCAGCTCCTGCATGACTGCCACTTGCTCTCAGGCTCTGGGGAGGCAGCAAGGGTGGAGGAAACTGAGGCCTGGAGAGGAAGGGATGGTGTGTCTGGACCCAGCGCAGGGACCCTGGGGTGGGGGCCTAGCAGTGGCCTTCCCCAGGAAGGAAAGGAGGGGGAGGCGGCATTTACTGTCCTAAGACCCCTGCCGGGGGCTGTGGGTATGGGGGTGGCACGGGCCTGGGTAGCGGCTCAGCTTCCCTCTGAGTACGCACCGTGCATGGCTCAGGCACAAGAGCAAGAAGAAAGCCTTCACCAAGGCCTGCAGGAGGTGGCGCGATGCCAGCGGCAAGAAGCAGCTCCAGAAGGACTTCGCTGCCATGAAGAAGTACTGCAAGGTCATTCGGGTCATTGTCCACACCCAGGTCAGCCCCACCCCTTGTTCACACCCAGCCAGCCCCACCCCCCTGTCCACACCCAGTCAGCCCCCACCCCTTTGTCCACACCTGGTCAGCCCCCACCCCTTTGTCCACATCCAGGTCAGCCCCCACCCCCTTGTCCACACCTGGTTAGGCAGTCTGCCCCTGTGCACCTCCCCCCACCATGCCAGCTTCCTGGAGCCCTGGCAAATGTCAGCCTAAAAATATCAGGAACCCGGGCACAGGCCCAGAGGGTCGGCTGACACCCGCAGCCCCACGGATGGGACGCTGGGCCTTGGCCCTACCCGGCGGCCAACCCAGGCCCTGAAAGGCCCTGAGGGCCTGCGTCTCCTGCCAGATGTCCTATGTAGAGGCTGGTTGCCTCCCTTTGGGTTCTGGCACAGTGTGTGTGTGAATCAACATTCGGACATGGGCTGATGTGGGCTGACAGGTTACCCACACCCTCCGGCTTATTCTGGAACATTCCTTAGTATCTTGTCCTCAGGGAAGCTTCCTCTAGGCCTGGAGCAACCCCCCTGCCCCTCCCCTGTTATTCTCACATGTGTGGCTCCTGGTCACTTGTGTCACTGGTTAATGTCCGTCCCCTGAGACAGACTTGAGCTCGGCAGGGCAGAGGCCACAGCTGCCTGCTCAGCACTGTGCCCCAGCACCCACCAGAGCCTTGTATGCAGCAGGTTCTCCATAAGCACTTGCTGTTGAGCACTGTGCTGTGACCTAACCTTGTCCCTATTTCCCCCTGTGCAGCCCCACAGCCTGTGCCTCACACATAGCAGCCAGAGATGTTTAAAAATATGAATCAGATCGTGTCACACCCCACACTTCGAATAAAACCTGAGCTCATCCCAGCAAGACTTGCCTGGCCAGGCCCTGCTCACCTCTGACTCCATCCTGCTCAACATGGTCTAGACACTTCGATCTGCTTTCTGTCCCACCAGTTCCCTGGATCTTCCCTGCCACAGGGCCTTTGCACACGTGATTCCTTCTGCCCAAAAGACACTCTCAGATCTTCACCTAGTGGCTCCTTGTTATTGGTGTCGCTTCCTCAGAGAAGCCCTCCCTGACCACCCCACGTGCAATAACTGTCCTCTCCACCCCATCAGAACACTTAGCCCTCTCCAAGAGTTTACGTGCCTTCTGTCCCCCAACTAGATGGTGGCTCCACGAGGGCCGGGACCCTGTCTGCCTCCTTCCATGCTGTATCCCCAGTGCTTAGCACAGAACATGGCACGTAGCCAGACCAGAGCATGGGAACATCTGTTGAATGAATGCATGCTTGAAAGCCTGTCAGGGTCACCAGCTGGTCATGTTATGTCTGCAAATGGGAGGTGGGAGGTGTGATCCTCTGGGAACTGACTGGCTGTGCCGTGTGTGCAGATGAAGCTGCTGCCCTTCCGGCAGAAGAAGGCCCACATCATGGAGATCCAGCTGAATGGCGGCACGGTGGCTGAGAAGGTGGCCTGGGCCCAGGCCCGGCTGGAGAAGCAGGTGCCAGTGCACAGCGTGTTCAGCCAGAGTGAGGTCATTGATGTCATTGCTGTCACCAAGGGCCGGGGTGTCAAAGGTAGGGCCAGGTGGGGATAGTGGCTCAGGGAAGGCTGCCTGGAGGTGGTGGGGGCCAGAGTGGCCTCTCAGCCACCAGCCCCTCCCTCCTGCAGGGGTCACAAGTCGCTGGCATACCAAGAAGCTGCCTCGGAAGACCCACAAGGGGCTGCGCAAGGTGGCCTGCATTGGTGCCTGGCACCCAGCCCGAGTGGGCTGCTCCATCGCCCGGGCTGGGCAGAAGGGCTACCACCACCGCACGGAGCTCAACAAGAAGGTACGTCCGCGGTCCTAGGGGTAGGGGGATGCCCTGACCAGGCCCCCGTCGGGGGGATGCATGACCCAGACCCTGCCTTGTGCTCGGAAGGCACTGAAGTGCCCCCACCAGTGCCTAGTTCTAAGCACACGTGCTGATGGTACAGACATACCACTGGCCCCAGGGGCCACCTGCTGCCCTCAATGCACCCTGTTCTCCTTGCAGATCTACCGCATTGGCCGGGGGCTGCACATGGAGGACGGGAAGGTGGTCAAGAACAATGCGTCCACCAGCTACGACGTGACTGACAAGTCCATCACACCGCTGGTGAGGGTGGGAGGCCAGTTTGGCTGAGGGAGCCTGGCGTGCATGTGCGGGGCAGGCGTGTTGGGTGCTGACCTGCCCCCAGAGCTCAGGCATCAGCAAGCAGCTGCCTGGGTGGAACAAACCCCTGCCATTCCCACATCCTCTGAGCCTCCTCTGCAGACGGCTTACACTCCAGCTGCTGTCACAGGGTGCAGAGTGCAGCAGCTCCAACTGTGGTCTCGGAGTCAGGCCGCCTGGGCTGGAACCCCAGCTGCAGTATGTAGCCCCCATGGGGCCTGGAGCAAGTGACTTCACCCCTCTGAGCTCAACTCAGTTTCTCCCTCTGTAAAATGCAGATTGTTAGATGAGATAATGACAGAAAGGACTTGGGTTGTGGCTCAGACGCTGCCCTGATTAGTGATCGAGGGTGTCACCCCCAGGCCACGGGGCCAGTACTGGCTCCTTCCCATCACAGCTGCATGTGGGGAGTCCTCTGAGGGTTCCCAGCTGCCCCCCAACTCAGCAGCCCCTCTCCTGGCCTGGATCCTGACCCACCTCCCCGCAGGGCGGTTTCCCCCACTATGGGGAAGTCAACAATGACTTCGTGATGCTGAAGGGTTGCATCGCGGGCACCAAGAAGCGGGTCATCACGCTGAGGAAGGTCAGCCTGGTGGCGGGCTGGGGAGCAGCAGCCCCATGGGCTGTGGGAGGTTTGGGGGGCTGGCCTGCCCTGTCCTGGGAGGGGCGGGGAGAGCAACAAGGGAGGGGTTCTGGCAGGAGCTGGGTGAGTGACACCTTCTGGGTGTGGACTGGGGTGATGGGAGGGTGTGGGTGGGGACCTCCCATCTTGAAGCTCTCTTCTCCCGTGGATCCCCAGTCCCTCCTGGTGCACCACAGCCGCGGGGCCCTGGAGAATATTGAACTCAAGTTCATCGACACCACCTCCAAGTTTGGCCATGGCCGCTTCCAGACAGCCCAAGAAAAGAGGGTCTTCATGGTGAGCCCACCCGCCTTGTTCTCTGGGGCTCTGGCCCCATATCCCACCTGCCCCAGAGTGGGGAAGCTGGGGCAGGTAGGGGTGGAAGGGACGCCCCCTGCATTCTTCCATGGCGGGGTCTTTTAGGAGTCCAGCCCTGGGCACTGATTCTTGCTGGAAAAGAGGGGAGGGGAGGGACGGGCGGTGGGAGGCCGGGGCAGGGCCAGCTCTAGGGGACCCCGGCGGCTGGCCAGCGGCAGTATTCCAGGCTGGACCCTGGGACTAATGCTCCTCCTGTCCTCTCCATCCTCGCAGGGTCCCCAGAAGAAGCATCTTGAGAAGGAAAAGCCAGAGACCTCGGGAGACTTGTAGGCGGCACAGGGATCAAGGGAGCCTGAAAGAAGCAGAGCGCGACCCCTGCCAGTCCCCCGTTCTAATAAAGGCCGGAGGCAACTTTTCCCGCGGTGTCTCAGAGTTCGGGGAATGGAAAGGCCGGCCGACGGCCAGTGGCCGGGGACTTAGCACCGGGGCAGGTGGAGCGGACTCGGCTCTGAGGGTGCGGCGTGGAGGCCACCCCAAAAGCAGCGCAGCTCAGCGGCGCCCGGGGCGCTCGGGGCGGGGCGGGGCCTCGGGGATGCGGCACCGGAGTGGTCCTGAGGAGGCTTGATGGGCGGGGCCTGCTGGGAAGGGGGAGAGGGCGTGTCCTCGGGGGCGGGGCCTACTAGAGGCGGAAGCGGAACCCTCGTTCTGGGTCGTGATTGGTCCCCTGGAGGGGCGGGGCCTGGGGGCGGGCTCCGGGGAGTCATTGGTCTTCGGGGGAGGGCCGGGAGGCGGGCGCAGGCTCCCGGGTCCGCGGTCGGTGGCCTCGGGTCTCTCGGCGGCACTCAGCGTGCGGCAGTCCCCGCGGCGCCATGTCGTTCTGCAGCTTCTTCGGGGGCGAGATTTTCCAGAACCACTTCGAGCCGGGTACGACCTGTGACCTGGAGGGCAGCGGGGCGGGGACACTCATTAGAGGGGCCTGCGGGAAACGGGGATCACAAGGAGGGAGGGGTCTGGGGGCCCGGAGAGGGGTACCTGAGGGGAGGGACACGTTAGAGAGAGGTGTCGCTGCCCTCGAGGAGAACGGGCCTTGAGTGTGAGCATGGCTGTTTCCAGGGGCATCTGTGGGGTGAGGGTGCATGAGGGTAGTGACGCCGGTGGGGGGGATCCGAGTCAGGATCTGGCCTTTAGAGGGGCACGAGGAAGGTCTTGTCCAGGGGCAGCCCCCTGATGTTACCCCTGTCCTCTTCCCTCCCGGTTCCCGTGACCCGCCGAGTACACCGGCAAGTACAGGACAACCCTTCCGATCGATCGGATTGTGCCTTCCTGGTGCCTCCCCCACCTGCTCAGGGCCCTGGGGTTGGTAGCCAGGAGTGCCCCAGGCTACCAGGGAGTGAAGTTTGACCAGTGAAGTTTCACCCGACAGCCTGGGCAGGGGTGGGAGGAGTGGGGGTGGTTTGAGGCATGGCCAACCTTTAGCCCTTGCCCTGGGCTTTGAGAGGCACTGGTGAGTCCTCTTCTGGGCTGTGCTGCCTGGTAATGGACTAATTTGGTAAAACTATGCCCACAGGCAAGACTAGGGGAGTGACCCACCTAGGGCGGGATCTGTTGAGTGTCAGCCCTCTAGGGGACTGCGCTGTGACACTGGGCATCTATGGCTGGCAGCTGTGACATAGGACCCTCTGGGCAAAGCCCTCCCCTGAGACCTTCTGGCTGTGGAACCCCGGGTTGTCAGCAGGCTGCTCTGCCAAAGGCAGAAACTCCACTTCCGCAGCACCTCTTGGTTCCTCTTTGCTTCCTCCTCCAGTTCCCAGAAAAGGCTGAGTTCACCCACTCCGGGGGAGGCTGTCCCCAGGCGGGGCTGGGTGAGGAGTTTCCTCACTCCCAAGCACTGTTCTGCAAGTCAGTCTTGCAGCCTTTTTTTTCCCCCCTCAAAGTAATCTTTTGGGGATAGGTTAAAACCTGTCGTCCTCCCTGGCCCTCTGTCTTTCTGGGCCACCTCTGTGGCCTGGAGGCCTTTTTGCGGGCACCGTTCTTTTCCTGGGTGGAGAGCAGGCTCACGGCTGGGTGTCCAGCTCAAGGCTTGGGAAGGGAGGGGGGCTAGGTGGTGGTGCTGGCCTTATCGGAGTCCCCACTGTGTGGGACCTGCTGGGGGTGGGAGTGCCGTGTCCTCCTTGGGCTGCCTGCCTTCCTTCCTGGCTGCACGCCCTCTAGCTGACCTTTTTTCCCCGAGCCTCAGCTTTCTCATCTGTAAAGTGGAAAGGTCTAAACACAGGGCTATTGAGAAGAGTCAGTGAGATAAGTGTGAAAAGTGGGTCTCCTGGTCTCTGGCACATGCTTAGAACCACTAAATGTGAGCTCAGTGGTGTGTCTCCCTGACAGAGCCAACACCTAGAGCTGTGGATGGCCAGTGGGGGTGTGGGGACAGTGTGCAGCCCACTCGGCCAAGGGGGATGGCGCTGTGTCTCCTGGGTCCGAGGATTTGGGAGCTCATCTCAGAGACATCTGCTTTTGCCTCGCCTTCTGCCCGCAGGCATCTATGTGTGCGCCAAGTGTGGTTATGAGCTCTTCTCCAGTCGCTCAAAGTATGCACACTCCTCCCCATGGCCGGCCTTCACTGAGACCATCCATGCTGACAGCGTGGCCAAGCGTCCAGAGCACAATCGGCCCGAAGCCTTAAAGGTGAGTGGCAGCAGCAGGGGGTGGGGAGGGGATGTTGGCCAGGGAGGGCCTGAGAGCTGGCCACCCCTTCCTTCCTTCTGCTCCCCGACAGCTCCAGGGGCTTAGCGTCTGTCTATCCCAGCCAGGGGAGCTGCACTCCAAACTATTGGGCAAGCCTGGGGTCCTGGTGGGCAAAGGGAAGCAGGGTGGCTTTCCTGTGAGGGCTCCAGGACAAAGGTCAGCCTTGCCTGCCAGCAGTTACCTTGAGAAAAGGGCGTGGGGAGGACACCGTCTGCTGGTGGCAGGAAGGGCCATTGTTTCAGCTGTTTGGTGGTCTTCCCAGGTGTCCTGTGGCAAGTGTGGCAACGGGCTGGGCCATGAGTTTCTGAATGATGGCCCCAAGCGGGGGCAGTCCCGCTTCTGAATATTCAGCAGCTCGCTGAAGTTCGTCCCTAAAGGTGAGCTTGTCCTGCCAAGGGGCACAGGCCTTGTGTACACAGGTGTACATTTCAGGGGCCCAGGGGCAGGGGACACACTGTTCTTGTCCACTCACAGTGACAAAGCATGGGGGCACCAAAGCACACTGCCCAGGACCTGCCCAGGGCCACCCCAAAAAGTGGCGGTGGGGCAGGGACAAGGGGGCAGGTGTCCTGCCTCCTGTGCCTGGTTGATCATCTGTGCCTTGAAAGGGGGCATCTGGGGGTGGATGTGGCGAAGGGTTTTCTCCAGAGGCCTGGCCCTTCCCTGTGCCTGGAGTGGGAGGCAGAACTGGATAGAGCCTGGGGCCCAGGGCTGTGTGGCTTCGGGCTTGCTCCTCAGCCTCTCTGAGCCCACCTCCTCCCTACACTGGGGGGGCAATCACAGAGCCTCCGTCACAGGCCTTTGAGGACAGCTGCGTAACGCGGTGCACCTGGGCTCTGGCATGTAGCGATGGCTCCAGTGTGCTCTCCTGGGGGCCGGATTCTTGTTCTGGTAGTTCATCTGGGGAGCTGCTGTCGTCTGTGTGCCCTTTCTCTGGGCTCGGCCTCCTCTCTGGCCCCTCGCTCTCTTGCTCTCACAGAGCCTCACAATCACCCATTCTGTCTGCACACCCAGCCGCCCTGTAGATTCCCCTGCACGCTTTGTAGCTCAAATCCCGGCTCCTTGCTTGCCGCCTGCAGGACCGTGGCCGGGCCCTAATCTTGGTTTTGTCCTGTGTAAGATGGGGCTGCTGACAGCACCTGCTTGCTGCTGTCACCCCGGGGCTAAGCGAGGGTGTCCCTCAGGGCCCGCACAAGGTGAGGGTGCGAGAATGCTTTTGTCCTTTTGTGCTTATTCGTGCTCCGTCCGTGTGGAAGAAGAGACTCAGGGTTTTCCTGTGGATCTCGAGGAACAAAACGGCATCCAGCCTCCCCCAGGCTGGGCGTCTGGGTCCTCCCGGCCCCCCGCCTGCAGGCTAGAGCGGGAGTGGGCTAGCTCAGGCAACCGTGTCTGAGGCATAAATTAGCAGTGACTTGTTTTTCTCTCCCCTCCCTCCTTTCTTTCAGGCAAAGAAAGTTCTGCCTCCCAGGGGCAGTAGGCGGGCAGCCCACACCCATCCCAGATGGACACAGCACCGTGGCTACAGTCCGGCCATCCCACCTTGGAACTGGAACCCCAGACGTTCAGACAGGGGAGTGAGGGTAGCTGAAACATCAGGAAAGTGCCCGAGGCCTTGGCCCTGCACAGGTCCCCCTTGGGAAAAGCACGGGTTTGCCGTGAATGGCCTGTACCCCGCTGCCAGGACGGGCCTGTGAGGCCCCGTGCAGGCTCGTCTTAGCCTTCCGCTCACACAGGAGTCTCGGGGTGGGCCCCAGGCCTACCTTGTCTCTGAATGACTGTGCGCCCCCACCTTCTCTGTCTGCACCCACCCCCTGGGGTCCAGCTCTGAGCTGGACTCTGGCCCTCAGCAAAGCTCATGTCCACCTCCCCAGGCTGTTCCAGGAGACAGAATGCAAACGGAGGCAGCCCCAGCCGGCTGCTCCAGCCCAGTCACTGCATGATTCACTCTGGTGAAACCCTTCGGGGCGGCCAGAGTGGTGAGGACCTGTGACCCGCTGGAGGAGCAGGGAGGGGCAGATTCCTGATCTCTCAGTTACAAAAGGAGAAACCCTGCCCCCATTTCACAATCTGGGCAGGTGCAACTTGTCTCCTTCCGGCTCAGGAAAGCAGCTATTGCTCCATTTCCTCCGCTGCACAAGGCTGGGGACGCTGGAGCTCACAGGCGACAGGTCACACCTTCCCAGGATACGGTGACCGTACCTTACCGCACATGCTCTGAAGCCCTTACCGCCTGGGAGGGTGGGTGACGTGAAGCTTCCCCACCCCCATCTTGAATCCTCTCTGGAGTAGTCAGGAGACGGTCAATAAACAAACGAAGCCCAGGCCTGCTGTCTGTATTAACAGCATCAGGAATGCTTGGCCACAAGCAGCAGGCTTTGCGTGTTGTTTCATTTGTTCCAGAAATATTTATGGAGCGTCTGCTCTGTGCCAGGTGCCAGCCTCGGTGCCGGGGATGCAGCTGTGAGCAAGACAGAGAGGGCCTGCCCTCAAGGTCCTACGGCATAGTTGGGACAGTCAGTTCATGTCAGTGATGATGAAGGCCATGAGTCACCACTGCAGAAGAGTGACGCTAGAATGTGGGGAGGGGGCGATTATGGGGCTGGTGCTTTGGCCCCAGTGATCAGGGAGGAGGATGCCAAGGAAGGGTCGTCAGAGAAGCAAAGAGAAACAAGGTGAGAGAAACAAGGAGAAGAGCTTCCCAGGTAGCACACAGCATGTGCAAAAGCCCTGAGGCAGCATGCCCCAGGCCCTGCAGGGGGAGGTGCGAAACGTGACCAACGAGAATGTGTGCTGTGCTCCAAAAGAACATGGTTTCCCCAGTTTATATTGACAGAAACCTGGGGAATATGTGTGGGAATGGATATAAGGGCTGGGATAATGGTGGAAGGAAGGTAAAGTTGGGTCAGGTGGAATTTACTGATCGAGCCTCGCTCAGCAGAGATTCGGGCTCTGCTTTGGGCCACCTGAGTGCCGTGGGGGGTCATTAGATCCCCAGGCAGCAGGGCCAAGCGGCAGCACTTGGCTGGCAAAGGCACGGTGGGTGTGGTGACCGTGATGCACCACAGAGTCAGCAGCAGGCAGGACAGTCCTGTGGCAGGGGCTGGTTGATCATGGCGCTCCTACAAGTGACATGGATGGGATGCTGCTCGTCTGTATGAGCAGAAGAGTTCTAGGTCAAGTGAACAAAAGTCTAACTTGAATCATAAAGGCAGAAAGCCATGACCCCTCGATCAATTCCCAGACATGAGTTCATTTACAGACCCAGAACTCCTGAAGGAACTGGAAGCGGGGACCCCTGGAGGAAGGACCTGGCTGTAGCGCCCAAAATGTATATTGTTAATCTCTCCCAGCCTTTCCCAAAGGGACCTCCGCCAGGGTGACTGTGCCCTGGGGAAAGTGAGCAGATGTTTCGGGCTTATGGGACCCGGGCTCTGGACTCATACAGATTCCAGGAGACGCGAATGTCACTGTGGGGTCAGGAAGGATGCTGGGGTTGAGGAGAAGACCCACCACGGCTCCCCATGCTTCAGCGAAACCCCAGCTGCGTGGCCTTCTGGCCAAGTGTCTGCGCTTTCATATTGTGGGAGCATCCGTTGTATCTCTGGGGGAAGCAGCTTTCTAAGTTTGCTGTGGCTGAACCAGGAAAGAATGCATGTGCAGATTTCCACAGAATTATGGTTCCATGAAAGATTCTGAGGAGATGAGGAAGGCTGCTATCTTTCAGAGTGACTTTGGAATGTAAAGAATTTCTTTGGGTTGAGTTCCATGGAAGTTTGTCATTCATTGACCTGTATTCCTGAAATATGAAACATGAATATTTGGGCTAAGGAATAGTTTCTCTTGATAAATAAACACTTTAGAAAAAGAAAAGTCACTGTCTTAGAGTAGGGCTGGTGGAAGTGGGCTCATGGAGTGGGTCCAGTGGGTCCCCAAACCCATTCTGTGGTCATCTCCCCAGTTCCGGATGCATAATTGGAATAGACATACTCAGCGGTTGGGTGCGTCTGCACAGCAGGAGGAGGGGCCTGCAGGTGTGGGGGCAAAGGTGGCCAGATGAGGTTGGAGGCTGGGGAGGGAGGAAGGGGAGAGGTTGGCCTGTTTGGCCTACTCTCTCCTCAGTGATGGGACTCTGCCCTCCGTTGATCCCAGCACAGGCCAGGGGTCCTTGATCTGGTGTGGGGTCACTGGCCTGTGCAGGGGCTGCTGGCTCACTTGCTGGGTCTTGGCGGGCCTCCGGCTCACTGTGCGATCTCTGGCAGAGCACTTAAATCTCCTCTGTCTGTGGAACCAGTCTGTCTCCTTGTTGGGTGAGGGCAGCGAGAGCCATGGGGGGCAGGGGGTGACAGATGCACGGATTCTGAGAGCACTTTGCTCTGTGGGGTAGATCCCAGACACGAGGCTGCGTTGGCCAGTGTGCAGAGGAAGGCGTGCGGTGGGTGGGAGGGGTCAGCACTGATGAAATGCACCAAGGAGGCCCATGCAGAAGAATCCCACCCTCAGGAGGCACCTGCTGCCGCCGCTTGCCTGCTCCCCGCAGTGTGGCAGCCACCTTAGCTAGAAATCATCTCCATCCTGCCCTGCCGTGGGCCAGCACTGATGGCAGCTGCTAGAAAATACCCTTGGGGCTGCAGAGGATGGGTCCTCCACCCCATGACCAGTTCCTACTTATGTGCAGCTTCTTCCTTCTGGACCCCTCTGTGTCCTAAGCTGGTCACCGGCTAAAGTGGAGCCCGGCTCTAGGGCTGCCTTAGTCACCTGGGGTCATCAGTGGCCCTGGGGCACTGTCCCAGCCCAGCCTGTGGCCCACCCACGCCGAATCTAGCAGCCAGCCTTGGCCAAGGGCAAGCCCACTGTAGATGAGCCATGACCCAGTGCTCAGTGTGTCTTCACAGGCATCACCACCCTGAGTGTCTGCCCTAACCCTAGTGGGGCAGGTGCTTGTTCTGCAGGGCAGGAACGAGGCTCAGAGAGGGGGAAGGACTTGCCTGAGGCCACAGGGTCAGGAAAAGCCTCTGGTCCTCTCTGCTCACACCTGTCCCTTTCCTCACTTCTTCACCCAGATGAGAAACAGTGGCTCTGGGAAAGCTGCGACCCGCTTTTGAGTAGAGCCTGAGGGCAACAAGCAAGTTGAAGGTGGTGAGGGGTGGGGAGGGAGCCAGCTGAGTGGTCAGCAGGAATCTCTTGGCCCTAGCCAGAATGGACCTTGGGATTTACTCACCTCTCTCAGCATTCCTGGCTCTGCGTCCTGGCCCAGTGTGTCCCTAAGAGTGAACTTGGCCCAAGAGCAGACTGGCCTCCTCCGCAAACTGGGCCAACGTGTCCAGGCTGTGTCCCTGGGGCTGTCTCTCTGGGTTCAGAGCCAGGGTGGGCTAGAGGACCTGCTAGTGCCTAGGTGGGCCGGTGCTGGGGATGGTGAGGCTAGTACCATTGCTGGGAGGTTCAGTGCCTGGCTGCCTGCACCCTAGGGACCCCACATCGTGCTGGCCCACGGCAGGCCAGGATGGAGAAGATTTCTAGATATGGTGGCTGGCAAGCAATGTCCTTGGAGGTGTGGAGAGAGAAGGGTGAGCCCCAGGACCCTGAGGTCCCCTCACAATGAGAGCCCGAAGATGGATGGCCACAGGCAGGGTCTGCCTGTCAGGGGCCGGGTTGGGGATGGGTGTCTCATGTGGAATCATAAATCATAAACCAGCCTCCCACCCTGCTGGGTTACACCATAACCATCCCCCTGCCCGCCCCCCCCCCTCCCGCCACAAAACACTCTCTGAGAGCCCCGCCCCCTCTGCCCCTGACCGGTGCCCTCTTCCTCGTCAGGTGGAGGCTCCAGGGTGCAGCCTTGCGAGCCAAGGGTTCTGTGCAGGGGCAGACGGTTCCTGGTGCTCTGCCAACACCAGCTAACAGCAGCTGGCAGGCCTGGGCACTACATGGCAGGGCACCCCGGGCAAGGGGATGGTGGAGACTGAAGAAATCTGTCTGGGACCTGATTGATCCCCAGCCGGGAGGGCCCAGGGCCCAGCTCAGAGGCGGGCTCAATAAACACTGTCAGAATGGATGAGTGAATTGACAATGGTTGGGACTTTTGCTCACCCACGGCTTTCCTTTCTTCTGAGTGACAAATGCCAGGGAGAGCTGTGATCCTGGTGGGGGTTGGCCTGTGGGTAGGTCCCAGGAACCCCCATCCCATGCACGCTTGTGGGCAGGGCCTGCAAGCGGGAGGGGGCGCCTGGAGAGGTCAACCAAGCCAGATACCTTGCCTTCACCCCCATATGAGGCCCTGGTAGGAGGCCCAGCGCGATGACCCTCTTCCGAGTCCCTCCGTCCTCAGGGCCGCCTTCCCGCGGAGTGGGCGCAGGGACCGTGTGCAGGATAGGCCGGCAGGGGGCGCGCTCGCTCCGTGATGTGTGTGCGCGGGTCGGGGCTGGGGGCGCCGGGGGCTGGGGGGAGCAGCGCTGCAGTTCCCCGAGGCGCCGCTGGGGGCGCGGCAGCAGCTCCGACACACGGGAGGGTCCCTGGCCCCCCGCGCCCACTGCTGCATCCAGTGGTCAGCGTCGCCCTTCCCTGTCCCCCTGGGTCACGCCCGGTAGTGCCGGGGGGCCGGTGATGGTTGGGCCCCATTCGGAGGACTTCAAGAAAGTGACTGGTGCAGGGAGACTTGTCGAGGCCCGGGGTGCCCCTTCCCCAGTCAGCTGGAGCGGGACAGAGCTGGGGGTGGGGGGAAGGAACAAGTTGTGGACGACGGTGGGGGGACACGGGTGGAGGCAGGAGCTCCCAGCCCCGGCCAAGCCTCAGCCCCTTCTCCAGGGCGACTGGGTGGGACCCACCTGCACTGATGCCCCCACCCACCTCTCCGTGGCCCTTCCACATCCTCAGGTTGCACCTGCACCACCCTGGCCCACTCAGGGGCACCAGGTCCTGGGGTTCCACCTCCCACGCATCTTTGTCCACTTGTCTCCCCCACAATAGTGACAGCTCCTAGCTGGCCTCCTCAACCGGTGAGATCTTTGCACAATAATGATCAGACCAGGTAGCTTCCCTTAGTGGTTCCCACAGGCCCTGCTTGCTCTGGTCCCGCAGACCCCACCTCTCCAGCTTGATTTCCCACTCCATAAATGATAGCGGTGCTGTTTATCATAGCTAGGTTGCTTTCATTACCCACACACCTGCACCCAAACCCCTGCACCTCAGCCTCCAGGCCAGCCAGACTCCATTCTAGAAACATGTGCCTGTGTTCCTGCCTCCTAGAATTTCCTGTTCCTTCTTCTTCCTCATCCCCTCCCCATAGGCCAGAATCCTTCGAGAAGCCTTTCCTGGTGGCTCTCTCCTTCCTCCGCACTGCAGGGGCCCTGGGCTGGTCTGCGAGATGCTGCGCAGACTGGGCTTCTTGCTCTCCCTTTGCCGGTCTCCCTCCCCTCCCCCCAGGTCAAAGAGCTCCTCAAAGCCAGTGACCACAGGGCATTCATCCATTCCTGTCCCCAAATGCCGAGCTCCGTGGGAGGTGGCACGTGGTAGCATGAGATGAATGTAGTCAAACTGCACCGCTTCTGCCTGCTCCCTCTGCAGGGCCGCACAGTCTCAGGATGCATGGGCTGCACATCTGCATGAATGTGTCTGGGGGATGCAGGGACCCCAGGACCACCTATCCCTCTACCCTGGACCTGAGCACTAGGGCTCTGCTTAAGGGAGCTCAGGGGCAAGAAGCACAGGGAAGACTCTTCGTGGGGCTCTGGTGGCAGACGGGAGGGGAGGCTGCTGGGGAGGGGGCGGAGGGTTACCTGCCGATAAGCTCCCTCCACCCCCACCCCTCACCACCCCCAGTGCTTGTCTCCAGGCTAGATTTGTTCCTCGTAAAAAGTAAAAACCGCAGAGACTATCCAAGGTTCAGGCCCTGGCTTCATGTCTTATCATGTTTCATCTCCAACCAGGGCATTTACGAGCTGCCATTGGCTTCAAAGGGCTTGGCAGCTGTGTTGCCGGAGAAGGAGCAGAGAGGAGATTGGGTGTGGGGTCTGCCCCCCGCGGAGCCATCTACCTCTGGCCCTGGGCGCCCCTTCCACCTCTGACTCTGTGGCTTTTTGGTGTCTTGGTCTCGGGAGGGTGGTTTTGGGTTGGGCCCCATCTCTGAGCCCAGGAGCCCCTGGGGTGTGTGTGAAGGTGGGTGGAGGTCAGGGAAGCTAGAGTCAGAGGGAGGACAGCAATGACCGGTATAGGGGTCAAGGATGGAGTCACTGTTCTTGGAGGAGGTGGTAGGGTCAATTTTGAAGGTCCTGTTGTCGGCTTAGGGAAGGGCCTGCCAGGGGTTGCGGGGGGAGGTCGAGGCCCCGGCCCCAGGCTCTGGGTTCTGGGTCTTCTGAGTGCTTAGCCGGACAAGACTGGCCGCATGCTGGTCTGTCTGTCTGTCTGGCCAGCTGTGGGGGTGGGATGCTTCCCTTGGAAGTGAGGGTGATGGAGTGTAGCCCTTCCTGGGGTCCTGTCTGCTGGCCAGCCGGACTTGCTGCCGGGAGTAGGTCACCGGTGTGTGGGAAGAAGCAAATTTAGAGCTTCCCACACTGGGGGGTGGTGGCTGGGGAACGGCGGCAGGCTTCCAAGTGCCCCCTCCCACTGTGCACACATGCCCGTGCACGTGTACACACAGGACATGAACACACGGTCCTGGGCCCTCTGTGTAGCACGGGGTTCCTGAGCTTGCATCAGGCCGCTTGCTCCTGACGGAATGTGCTCCCAGGCACCTTCCAGTCTGTGGGGACCCTCGACAGGGCATGAATGGACAGAACTGGCCACAGAGCCCCAGTGGCCTGATATGGGGCCACTTGGATGATCCCTAGCCTTCCATGATGCTGAGGGGCTTCCAGAGGCCTGGCTTGGGGCTGTGAAACTGGAGGAAGTGGGGATGGGGTGGGGGCGGAGAGAGTCTTGTTTCTGTGGGACCCTCCTCTCTTCCCCTTTTAGTCTCACCCGGAGTACAGGCTGTTACCTGCCCTCCCCTCTTCCAGAGCTGGGATTGCCAGCCTAGAAGGATTGCTACACTGTTATATACTGAGCTGGGCCAGGCTGGTGGACCAGAAGCAATTTGCAGGGTCCAGATACGCATTCTGGGAACCTGTATCCCTGCCATCTTCTGGAGAAGCAGGGGCCAGTGAAGAATGACCCTTTGTGCTGATTCCTCCAGGAAGACCCCAGGGAAGGGCGTGAGGGTGGCGGGAAGTCAGCTGGGGGCTGTCCCTGCACGGCAGAGGGGTCTGGCTCCTCTTGGTGAACCATGTGGCCCTAGGCGGGCTCCTGGCAGGTGTGTGACCGCTTGGGGTGGCTACTGAGCTGGGGAAGCCCTCGCTCCTCCCCACTCCTGGGGAGATCCCTCCTGACACTGGGCATCTTGTCTGCCCTGCAAACCATTTTGTGCCACAGTGTCCTCAGGTCTAGTGGGTCACCCCAGCTGGCTGGCCACCCTGAGACCTGAGAAGCCTTTCCTCTCTGGCCTTGTCCACAAGGAGGACACATTATGAAGTGCTCAGGTCTCCCAGGTGGGAGCAGCTTCAGGGCACCCCTTCTTGTGCTGGAGTCACTGTCACATGTCCACTGCCTCCTTATCATAAAGAGCTCTGGAGCCGGACACCCAGAGAGCTGGGGGCTAGCATCACCTTTGTTTTATAAAGTGGGAAAGTGAGGTTCAGAGAGACTGGACACCCGCCAAGGGCACCTGCTAGGAGGGAGCAGAGCTGGCTTTGAATCAGCCTCCAGCACCAAGAAGTCCTTGCTATCAGCCTTTTGCTCTGCTGCATGCCCTCCCCCAGCGATGGGGTCCTCTCCCCCTTATTTTCTACCAGGATGAACTGGGAACAGTGGGCTTGGGGGGTGGGTGGGGTAGGTGGGAAGACGTCTCTTAGCGACCCCTCCCCAGGAGGAAACCGCATCCTCTGTGTGCTCTGGCAAATCCGGCATCTGAAGTGGAAAAAACCCCACACAAATCAAGGACAGCTGGGCCTGCCCTCGGCCGCAGCCCCCTCCCCTCTGCTCCCCTTGCAGGCTCCAGAATTCTAGCAGGCTGCGGGAGTGGGTGTGGGGGTAAGGGTGTGGCTCTAGGGGAGGGAGTTCCTGGAAGCCCCACATGTGTGAAATTTCCTCCAGTTGTCCCCCATGGAGAGAAGGACTACATCATGTTATTAATCACTTTCCAGGTGGGGCAGCTGCTTGCACACTTTGTCCAGCTGCCTGTGGGGGCCCAGGCTGTGGGTGCCCACCCTGGGGGAGGAATAGTCTTGGAAAGGGGTGGAGAGGGGCATGGGGGAGGGGCCTACATATAGACTCTCTCTATACACACACACACACACACACACACACAGAGTCAGTCACTCAGTCACTCAGCAAACACTCATGGGCACTAACTGTGGTTAGGTGTGGAGCCACAGAAGGGATGAAGACTGGCCCTGTCCCTGCCCTTGCAGAGCCCATGGGTATGTGGAGGTGGAGGAGACAGAAGGGGATCAAAATCACTCACAAAGAAATAATTACAGTCTGTGAAGGGGACACAGACATAGCGGGGCAGCTGGGTCACGGATTTGTGAGGCCAGGCTAAGCCTTCCTCCCAGCATGGCCTTGCTCCCCAGGACTCCCTCCCTAGACTTGTCCTCCCTGTCCCCCACTGCTCTGGTCCTCCTAGTCATCGCTCCCAGGGACAGTGTTTTCCTGGCCCAGCAGCCTGAGCAGCTCAGCCCACGTCCTCTCCCGAATCCTTGCTCTTCCGGCAGCCGCCGCATCAACCCTGCCTGGGCCGGGGGTCCACATGAGGTGAGAGGGGAAAGGAGCTCAGGCCGTGCTGGACCCCCCAAACCGAGGGGCCCCTGGAGACATCCAGTTGGGCAGAAGAGATCTGCTGACACCTCTTTCTTCTTGACAGAGGAGGTGCAACCAGACAGGGCAGGAGGTGGGCGACCCTCTGGGGGGTGCAGGGACAGCCACCCACCCCATGCCCCCATGGCCTGGCTTATTTTGGGGCCCCAAAGCCACTTTTCATCATGTAGCTCAGAGAGGGGGATCCACTCTCCCTGGGTCACACAGCAGGGAGCGAGCGGGGACCTGGGGCTGGACCCTGATGGCAAGGGAGGGCAGAGGCAGAGTGGACATCTAGGTGATGACTCAGACATCCTGGGGAGGAAGGAAGGCGGCAACCCTGTGTGTGAGGAGCACAGAGGGGCAGATTCTCAAATCCCTAAATGTAACCTTCAAAAAGACTCTGCATAAAGGGCTAAATGGAGGGTTACTGTCTGGCCCAGCAATTCCACTCCTCAGTGTCCACCCAAGAGACAGGAAACATACATCCACAGGAGAACTTGTGTGTGAACATTCGCAGCAGCCTTATTCACAATAACCAAAAGGTGGAAACAACCTAAGTGTCCATCAACGGACGAATGGACAAAGAGAATGTGGTCTGTCCATACGGCGGAATATTACTCAGCCATAAAAAGGAATGAAGCACTGACCTGTGCTACAATGTGGATGAGCCTTGAACACGTTATGCTGAATGAAAAAGCCAGTTTTAAAAGGCCACCTATTGTATGATTCCACTGCGATGAAATGTGGAGAAGAGGCAAATCCTCTCTGGAGATAGCGGTGCCAGGGGCTGGGGGAGTGGGGATGGGAGTGACTGCTGATGGATGCGGACTGATTCTTGGGTTGATGGATGCATTCTAGAGTGTATTGTGGTGATGGTTGCACAAGACGGTGAATATACTGAAAACCATTGGATTCTACACATTAAATGGCTGAATTGTGTAGTAGGGGAATGACATCTCAATGCAGCTGTTAGTTCAGAGTTGGGACTGAGGTCTCCACCTTACAAAGAAGGAACCGGAGGCTCTGGGGTGGGGGGAGCCTGAGGCCATGTGTTAGAGGAAGGCGGGCCGGACCCTGCGGATGGGTCTCTGGCTCTACCTAGGTTCTTCTCCCCGCCCCCACCCTCTGCCCTGTGCTTTCTGCTGCTGAGCTCCTCCCCACACAGACAGGGATGCTGTCTTCCTACTCCTCACCTGCCCATTACCTCCTCCAGAAAAGCTTCCTCGACCTCCTCCCTCCCCCCACCTCCGGTTCTACCTGCTGGCTGTTACTGAGCGCCAATTAGGGTGCCAGGCTCTGTCAGGTGCTGGGGATGCACTGGGGGTCAAATGTTCCAAGGCTGCCATCCTGGGTGTCCCCAGATTTTCACCCACCCCTCACCTGACAGCCAGATCGTGGGTGGAGGAAGGGCATCAGCTGCCAAACTCTCTGAGCCGACTCTTGTCCCTGGGTGTCACTCCCCACCCCCAGTGTGTCCGGTGTTGTGCTGTTCTTGGTAGGTTCCTCAAGCAGGTGTGTGTGTGTGTGTGGGGGGGGGGGACTAAAGAAAAGGCCTTCTCAGCAGGGGAACAGCATGAGCAAAGGCTACGAGGTGGAAAAGACTATGCCTGAGCCGGGGCAGGGAGATGGAGGGGCCACCAGGGTTTGATGCTGGGATTTGGAGCCCTGAGCGTGGCTGCTGAGACTGTGGGTGGGTGCTGCAGGTGGAATGGGACCCTCCCCAGGATAGCTCTAAGGAGAACTAGGCTGTCTGGAAGAAATCTCATTTTAAGCTAGACCAGAAGAAGAACTTCCTGTGACCCTGCATGTGCCAGCATGCACCCTAGACGGTACTCTGCCAACAACCTGCCCACAGGGCTCTCAGCTGAGTCCTGCCCTGACAAGCAAGTGCAGGTCTGGAGTCTGGGACCTGGGATGGGGCCTCAGTCAGTGGTCTTCACCCCACTGGCTCTGCAGAGGCCCCTCCCACCAGGAGGGTGGTGGAGGTGCCTCTGGGTGGGAACCCTGAAAATGTCTGTTGATCATGGAACCCCTGCCCCTCAGAGGCACCCCAGGCTTCTAGGACTTGTCCAGATGCCGTTAGGCCCAGGAACAGCTCATCACCCAGCAGAACCCAGGGCAGTGGCCTCTGGACACCGGCTGGAGAGAGGCTAGCCTCTTCAGGGAGCAGGTGCCCACCTGGCACCAGCTGCACGGCCAGGAAGGCTGAGGCAGAGGTGGAGAGAGGACACGGTCCGCTTCGGTCTCCACCTGGGACTGTTATTCACCCTCTTGGAGCCTGGCTCTCCTCTCTGCCTTCCTTGTGCTGTGCTGGGGCTTAGGGAACTTTGGGGTGCATAAAGCTCCCACAGAGTGTCCAGGGCCCAGCAGGTCCCATAAGTGTGAATGGCCACTGCATCTCACTGGCCCTCAGAGAGAGCTCCTAGGACAGGACCTGGGCTCCTTCTAGTTCCCCCAGCACAGGCCTCCTGAACCCTTCACCTCTCCCATAGGAGCCACTTTGCCAGCGTCGGAGATGGGTCGCTGACATCCCAGGGAACACCAGGCAGACTAGGCTGCACAGACAGACGGTGTGACACGGTAGGAAGGGTCAGGAGACTGAGGTCTGAATTTCACTGGGCCCTTGGGAAAGACGCCTGTCCTCTCTGAGCCGGTCTCCCCGACTCTAAAATGGTAATCACACCTAGCGAGCGCTCTGCAGCCGCCAGGGCTGTGACCCTGACGAATGGCAAGACAACTGTCAGCAAGGCGCTCCCTGTCCCCGCCGCAAACGTCCCTCTACGTCCCCGGGAACCCCGCTGCGCACTAGGGCCCGGGTCTGCGCACGTCCTTGGTCCACGCGCTCCGCCCGCGCACCTGCCCTCGCCCTCGTCCGGGAGGGGCGGAGATCGGCCTTCTAAGAGCGGCTCCTGGGGGCCGGCTGCGCAGCCCTGTCACTGTCCTGCGTCCCCACCCGCTGCCGCCGCTCCCCGACGCGCAAAGGCGGAGACACCGGAGCCGAGAGGTCTGGAGCCCGGAGTCTCCGAGCGGGCGCGTCGGGGTAGTTTCTACAGCTGGGAGTCGCGCCACGGCGTCCGTGGGTGCCTGTGTGTCGCAGGCGGGGCTGCGGTCCAGGCGGAGCCTGGCCTCTGGGCGGGACGGGACATCCCGGCCCCGCCCCCCGTCCCGCCCCGCGTCCGCTCCGGGGCAGCGAGCCCGCGCGGCGCGGAGTAGAAGCCGGGCGCAGGCGGGCTGAGCGCGACGCGGGCGGGGATGTGCGCCCTCCTGCAGCCCCCGCTCCCGGGCCTGGGCGGGGTGCGACCCGATGGCAGGTAGCAGCGGCCTGGGCGGCGGGGCCAGGGGCGGCCAAGGCCCAGGAACCGGGCCGGGGGCTGCGCTGCGGGCGCCCCGTGCGCCGCTGCTTCTCGCCGCGCTGCTGCTCGGCGCCTACTCCCTCTGCGCCCTCCCCGGCCGCTGCCCGCCGGCCGCCCGCGCCCCTGCGCCGGCTCCCGCGCCCGCTGAGCCGCCCCGCGCCGCCCGCAGCCCAGGGGCGCCGGGCTTGCCGGTGGCCAGAGGCCCGGGCCGCCGGCGCTTCCCGCAGGCGCTCATAGTCGGCGTGAAGAAGGGCGGCACGCGCGCTCTGCTGGAGTTCCTGCGGCTGCACCCCGACGTCCGCGCGCTCGGCTCCGAGCCCCACTTCTTCGACAGGTGCTACGAGCGCGGCCTCGCCTGGTACCGGTGAGCGCCCGGGCCGTCCGCCCCGTCGGCTTCCGTGCGCGCCCTCGCGGACGCCTTCCACAAAATCTTGGTGCACCCCTGGGGTCTCACTGGAGACTCGGCGGGGCGAGGTCTTCGGGCATTGGGGCTGAGGCTTGACTCCAAGGACTCCAAGGACGCGGCCCCCCTGCAGAGGGTTTTACGGAAAGGAGGGGCGGTCACTGGCTGGGGGCTCCCAGAAACTTTGAAAACTTCAGGGAAAACTGGTTCGAGGCTGCTGAGGGGTCTCTGCAAGCTGGAGGGGAGAGGGTGCGATCCCAGCTGAGAAGTAGTTTCAAGCCAGTGGGGTTTCAGGAACGTTAGAAATGCTTCCAGCTCAGTCGCCCTCCCCTGCTGGGCCAGGTTCCCTGCAGCCTCCTAGAAAGCGTCTGCCCTTCCCCGCCCGACCCAATCCTGGTCTTGGGAACAGGAATCCTTCTCGGAGGTCCTGGGGGTCTGGAGAGAGACCGGCTTCTAGAAAGGAGGAAAGTGCCTTTGAGTCAGTGCCCAGGGGTGGCAATTGGGACCCCAGCCTCATGCCATGGGGCTCTGTAGCTGTCCTGCCCCCAGCCTGGGATGGCCTTGGTGTGTGTGGTGGAATGTGGGGGAGCACCCAGCCTCAGCTGAAGCAGCCTGACCTGGTGGCTGGTCCGACCCCAGCCGCCCCTGCTGAGTACTGCCTGCTGCCTCTTGGTTGTGTGCAGGCCCCCTCGGTGCCCTGTCCCTTCCTGCGAGGAGATGAGTGCTTACATGGAGAGTAAGGCACCCTGCTCCTCACAGTTCTCCCCTCATCCCCAAGCTTATGCTGAGCCCCTATGGGGCTGGGGGACCCTGCCCAAAGCCACCTGGTGAATTAGTGGGTTGGGGGGGGGGTGTGGCAGGATCCAGACCCTTGACCTCCAGGTGCACCACTTTCTCTGTTTCCAGATTCCTCTCTGCCCCACCCTCACTTGTTAACTTGGCCATTTGCACTGAAACTACTTCTGGGTTTGGAGGGGCTCCAGTGAGAACAGGGGGTGCTGGCTCCTGAGCTCTGAAGAATTGCTGCTGTTGGGGGTCCTAGGGACGTTGGGTGATGACCAGGGAGGTGAGTCCATCCTTAGACACAACTGGCTGGATCCTGGCATCCTCAGAGCTCAGGGAGAGAGCACTACTTGGACACTGCCACAGCATCTGAAAGCATCCCCAGTCCCTTGCTGCTGTGCAAAGGGGGAAGAGGAGGGGAGGAGGGAGAGGAGTGTGGACACATTGCTACTATAGCACACAGACTTCGGAGCCGCCACTGACTCGGTGTGCACTCTGACTGCGAGAAGCTGGCGGAGGCGCTGAGCTGGGCTAAGAGGGGCTGCAGGGGAGGCTAGAACCCTAAAAGTGTTCTCAAAGATCGGGGATCTTGAGGCCCCATCCAGCCCTCCCTGGGCACATGCTCCCACTCTGGGGGGCTGGGCTGGGGGGATGAGGGGACTGAGGGGCAGCCAGGCCGGACCCAGACTAGGGGTCAGATCCTCAGCTCTGGGGAGGGGTTCTTGGCACACTGGCTGCCGAGATGGGAGTGGGGGAACTTCAGGAGCATGCTGGGCTCCGGTAGAGATTTTCTCCTTCCTCATTTTTAAAGCTACTTCCCCTGGGGGAAAGAGTGGGTACATAGGGTGCAGGTCCCAGTGGCCTCCACTCCTTTAATCCGGAGCTGACCCCTCATTGGCTGTTGCAGAGCCAGCAGGAGCCGTGCTGGCTGAGCTTCTGGAGTGTGTGTGTCCAAGTGCCCTCGAAGGGACCGTGGCCGTGTGCTGACATGCAGTCGTGGGCTGGGTGTGCTCACAGGTGCCCTGTGCCTCTGGACTTGTCTGTCCTTCCCACCAGCTTTGAGTGTGCAGTGAGCCTCTGAAAAGGCTCACCCCTGCCTCAGTTTCCCCAGCTGCAAAGAGGGCGCCCAGCCCCTGGGCACAGTCTGGCGGCGTTGTCTGCTCCGCGGACCCTGGGCTGGGCCTCCAGTGAGTGCAGAGCCCTGTTCTGGGTGGGGGGTGAGGTGGTGAGTAGAGGAGGAGCGGCCAGTGCCCCCAGTTGTTTCTGGGACACCCGTTCCCACTGGGCTGTGGCCGACCTCACTCCAGGCAGTGCCTCTGGCCCTTCCCGTGGCCTCCGCAGGTGGGTCCTGGGCTGCTCAAGGTTGACCTTGGCCACACTGTTCCCCCTGCCTGGGCCTCAGTTAACTCATCTCTCAGGCTCTTGAGAGTCTTGTATCCTGGGGACTGTGACCCCTGAGTGCTCCACACTCATCCAGGCTCACACTCATTGAGCACCTTCTGTTTGGCAGGTGCTGGGGTCACACAGACACCCCAAAGTCTTATGTCGGGAGGGGGTGCCCTGTCTGGGGCAGGTAGGGGCTATACTTTGACCACAGTATTTTGGAAAAGTGAAAGGAGACAGGAGGGATGCAGGTAGGAGAATCTCCTTGGCTCCTGGGGCAGGAGCAGTGAAGGCAGGGAGTGGGGGTCTGAGTCCACCCACATGGGGGAGGGGCTGGGCTCCTTCGGGACTTTTCTCCCCCTGCTAACGCTGGGAGAGGCTCATGACTCGGGAATCGATGCCCCCACCCCAGCCCCAGCACTGTATGGTTCCACCCAGGAACTGGTTTCTGCTGAGTCCCAGGCCCAGTGGCTGGGGGGGCCCAGGCGAGGTGTGGGACAGAGAGCGGGGCTGAGACGGAGGAGGGAGAGTCTGCGGAAGGATTGAAGCCGCAGGGAAATGCAGACCAGATGAGCAGGGAGGGAGGGTCCTCGCACAGCTTGTCAGATGTTTGCTGCGTGGGGGTCAGAGTCCTGTTCCTCTCATCCTCTCCTCAGCCTCTCCCACCTCTAAAAGCCCCCATCCCCACCCTCCTCCATGCCCAGCCAGGGACAGGCTTCTGAGGCCTGGGGAAGGTAAGTAATTGATCCCAAAGGGCTCAGATCTCAAAGCTGGGGTGTGGCAAGAGTGGGCAGAGAGAGCTGCCCACTCCCCGTCCCATCCCCCTCCCTGGCCGGTGGGGTGCCCCTCCCTCTGCTCCCCTGACTTCCTGGGAGAGGGAGCAGACTGGGTGCTCAACTCCCTTTGCCCCTTGTCTGCTTCCTTGCAGCCCCTCCCCCAGGCCAGAATGAGGGGGTGGGGATACTCAGAACCAACAGTGCCCTGTCTGCATGCCTGGGGTCACCTGGTGCCTGGGGGAAGAAAGGGATGGAAAGGGGGTGGAGGGGGTGGGAGAGGAGGGGTCCCGGAGCAATCAGGGCTGGTTCCTTCCCTGAGCAGGATGATGAAGGGAGGGAGCTGACTTCTGACAGGCCTGGCACTGGCTTCTCTTGGTGGGTCTCCTCGGTGAGGTCCACTGTGGGGTGATAGCCCTTCTTAGGACTTCCCTCTCCTGACAAAAGGGGGTCCCCCTTTTGCAGCCCTGGGCCTCAGCCCTTGGCGTTGTTGCCGCCCAACAACTTTGAACTCATCCCCGGGGAGGGCTGGGTTCCCACCTGGACTCGCAGCTGCCCGAGGCAGGGCGTGGAGTGCAGGGGCTCTGGGAGCAGAATCCATGCTGATGCCCCCCTCCCAGTAGCTGCAGCCCACGGGGGAGAGGGCTGTGGGCCAGCATCCACCCCGGCACTTCCTGCTCCCTCTCTGAGCCCCCACGTGCCTGCCTATCCAATGGGACAGTGAATGGGCTGGCGGGAGTTCCGGCTCACTCTGTCACCGAGATGGGGGAAGCAGAATTGTCCCCCATGACTTGTGTAGACCAGCTCTGCCCAGGGCCTTGTTCTGAGGCATGGAGGAAGCTCCCACAGCTAGCAGACCATGCAACACCCCCCCCCCCCCACTCCCTCGAGCCCCAAGGTGGTGTTGGGGAAGCCAGTGGTATGCCTGGGACTCACATATGCACATCCTCCTGTCCTGCCACCAGCTCCCTGCAAGCCAAGCGCCCCACCTGGCCTGAGTTTCCTTGGGAGTCTAAGCAGGAAGAGGAGACTCGGGCCCTGCCTCCGAGGGGCTGGAGTCTGGGGGTCACTTGGGCTGGATGAAACCTGAACTCTGCCCTGTGTGTCACCCTCCTGGCAGGGCCAGTCCTGGGGGCTCTTGCGGGGGTGGGACAGCTCCCTCAGAGGATGGAGGTGGGGCCGGCTGGGCAGAGACCTCCCCTCCCCAGCACAGGTCCCACAGCCTCTGCCTCTGTTGACCTAGTTCCCAGCCCTCCCTGGGAGCTGTTTGCTCAGCTGGCCCGCCACACCCTGCCCCACCTGGCTGGCAGGTGTGGCCTTGGGACACTGCTCAGGGTACCTGGCCTGCCAGGGCAGGGTGCTCAGGATGGGCTTCCCAGGTTTGGGGACGTCAGGGGGCTGTCACCAGCTAACTCCCCCAGAACCTTGAGATGGGGACCATGCTCCTTTCCCTTGGTCAGGAAGAGGGCTCATCAGAAATGCTGCAGCTGGGGCCTTGCCCTCTGGGGTTGCAGCCAGGTCTGGGAGGCTGGGGTCTTGGGCTGGGTCCTCCCGCCACCTCACTAACTGGTTTCCAGCGTGCTGGGCTGTGCTGGCGGCTTTCGGAAGGCATTCTGAGGGGCTCAGGCCCGTGAGAATTAGCAGGGCTGTAATCAAAGGCTCTGCAGGGGAGGGAGGGAGAGCAGAGGCGGCTGCCCTTTGCTGGGGACACTTGTCGATAATTAATGGCCTAATTTAGGGGATGCCATCAGCTGCTTGATGAAAGTGTGACCTGGGGTAATTACAGCACGGGGGCTGCAGGGTGGGGAAGGACGGTGAGCCCTGGGGGTGGCAAGTCCAGGCCACCGGCCTCACAGGTGCCCGTTCTGGGGTGGGAGGAAGAGCAGCTCTGCTGGGGCGTGGGGAGCAGCCTGGCAGGATGGGCCCCCGCTGCCGGTCTGTGCTGGGCTGGTGCCCTCACAGGCCACATCCCGGGCCGCCCACCCAAGCCAACCTGGAGCTTTGGGGCTTCCCTGACGGCGGGGACATTCATCTTGGGTCCCTGAGGGCCAGTCTAGAGAGAAAGGTTTGAGGGGGGCGAGCACCTGCTCACGGCGGCCTGCCCTCCCACCCTTCCCGCAGCAACCTGATGCCGCGCACCCTGGATGGGCAAATCACCATGGAGAAGACCCCCAGCTACTTCGTGACTCGGGAGGCCCCTGGGCGCATCCACGGCATGTCCCCGGACACGAAGCTGATCGTGGTGGTGCGGAACCCCGTGACCCGGGCCATCTCCGACTACGCGCAGACGCTCTCCAAGACCCCGGGCCTGCCCAGCTTCCACGCCCTGGCCTTCCGCCACGGCCTGGGCGCGGTGGACACGGCCTGGAGCGCCGTGCGCATCGGCCTCTACGCGCAGCACCTGGAGCACTGGCTGCGCTACTTCCCGCTGTCCCGCTTCCTCTTCGTGAGCGGCGAGCGTCTGGTCAGCCAGCCGGCCGCCGAGCTGGGCCGCGTGCAGGACTTCCTGGGCCTCCGGCGGGTCGTCACCGACAAGCACTTCTACTTCAACGCCACCAAGGGCTTCCCCTGCCTCCGGAAGGCGCAGGGCAGCCGCCGCCCCCGCTGCCTGGGCGGGTCCAAGGGCCGGCCCCACCCGCGCGTGCCCGAGGCCGTGGTGCGGCGCCTGCGGGACTTCTACCGGCCCTTCAACCGCAAGTTCTACCAGATGACCGGCCAGGACTTCGGCTGGGACTGACGGGGCCACGTCCTGCCTGGGGACGCTCGGTGACCTGAATTGATGCCCGTGGCCCGGCCAGAGCAGGCTGCGACACATGCTGGGGAGAGAGAAATATTTAAGAGATAAAGTCTGGATTTGTGTTCTACAGGACCTTGAGGACCGCAGAGTGAGGGCTGGAGGTGCCGCCGCCCAAGGAAGTGATAATCATACCAGCTGACTCTGCCGGGCACAGTTCACCCGAGAGGAGTGGGCCAAACCCAGTCCTCACACATCCCTTGAGGTGTGCAGTGAGCTTGGCCATATGTCACAGATGAGCAACTGAGGCGCAGAGAGGTTTAGGGCCTGCCCAGTGACACACAGCTTAGCCCTGGTGACTCTGGAGGCCATCCTTGGGCTCTCTTCTCAGCCCCGGAATGCTGAGCTGGGCTGATCCCATGTTCTGGATGAGGAAACTGAGGCCCCAGGTTGCCCACTTGCCTGGTAGGGCAAGATTAAAGCTGGGTCTATTCAACTCTTCCCGCTGCACCCATGACCTTAACCAATTCTGCATCCTAGCTCCTTGAGGATGCTCCCTCCTAGAAACCTGGCGGAATTGTGGGACAGGGAGCGTGACTGGTGTGTGCAGGAGGTGGTGCTTCTAACGGCCTCCAAGCAGCTCCCAGCACAGCCCTGCACCACCCACCCAGGCACCGCCCACCACAGGCCTCCCGCAGCAGGTAACACCCCCACCAAGGCCCCACCTGCCAGGCCCCACCCACCTCACAGGGCTGTTCGCTCAACGCCCCACCCCAACCCCGCCCCATGGCCCCAGGCCTTCCATGCCCCAGTTCTGCTGTGTTTGTTCAGCTCCCTCCCCCTGGGATGGGCAGGAATGAATGCCCGTCTGCAGCTCAGCTGCGCGCTCAGCTTCAGCTCCCAACTCAGGCCGGACTACTCTCCCCCAGGAAATGTGGGGCCCTCTCAGTAATAACTGTGACCTGCTCCTGGCCACAGTGCTGTCTGCCAGGTGGCCACCAGCTGCCCCGGACAATGACTTCCAGGGCCCCTTAGGCCCAGGCCTGGCGTGCCTCGGCTGCCATGGGCCCTCAAAGGACCTGGCTGTGGCCTCTGTGCCCTAGGCCTTGGGTCCATCTCGGATCCTTGGCGCTGATGTGGCCTTTCCACCCCTGGGCTGCTTGGAGCTGCTCCCTGTCCTGAGCCCCTGGGAGGATTTTCAGGGGAGTGGCCGCTTGTCAGTCACCGCCCCCTTCTCTGGCTGACTGTGAGCCAGTGGCCCCACCAGTCACTGTGGCCACTGTCTTTGTCACGTGACCCCACCTGTAGTGTGGATGTGGGGTCAGCCGATGTCAGTGTGAGAGGAGGCTCAACAGGAGGTGAGGAGGGAGATAGGGGCGTCTGTCTCCAGTAGCCCGGTCACCTGCCTCTTGTTCCTGCTGGGTCTGGGCCCAGAGGACACTCCGATCCGGAGCTGCCCTGCGGGGCCAGCACAGTCTCAAGGCTCTGCCATTCGGGCCAGGCCAGGGGCAGGTCCCGAGTGACCTGGGTGGCAATGTGGGGGCAGATGTGGGCAGATATGGGTGAGATGTACCCACAGCCTCCTCCAGCTGGCCCAGTTTGCAATGACGAGGGTGATGAGGGGGCACACTCCTCTTTGGGATCCCTGCTGGGGGGCAAGCCCTGGACTTGGCAGCCCCGTCCCCATTCTCCATGCAGGGGCCTCACTCAGGGATGGCAGGGCAGCCCCTGACCCCTGGCCTGGTTCCCAGCCAGGCCATGCATGCTTCTTCTTCTCCCTGGACACACCCTTGTCCACACGTCCACCGTCTCTGCCTGGATGGCTTCAGGCCACCTCTCTTGTCCTCCTGCGGTGAGCTCTCCACATGCACACAGCACGGTAGCAGAGCAGTATCTTCAGGGTAAACCAGATCCCGTTATTTTAAAACACTCCAATCTTCTCCCCCCCATCCCATTGCTTCTAGAATGAAGACCAGATTCCTGACCAGCTGTTAAGGCCCTCTGAGGCGTGCCCCTGTCCCCCAGCCTAGATGCTCCTCTCACCCTTAGCCTCTGTTCCATCTACCGTGATTTTCCCGACCTCATAGCCTTTGCACATGCTGTTCCCTCTGCTTGGAATGCCTTTCCCTGAGGAAGGTACAGACTGAGAGGGAGGCAGACTTAGGACGGGGCAGCTGTGCTCTCACTCCAGGCTCATTTCCTCCCTGCACTTAGAGTCCCTTTCCCGAGCCCGCCAACGTGACCCACTTTTCCCTTCCTGAAGATTCTTGGATGCACAGCTGGGAGCCACTAGTTTGTCTGACTTTGGGGCCCAGGCCCAGCTCGGAAGGCAGACTCTGGAAGCTGCGAGGAGAAAGGGTGAACTGGCTTGTTCTACTTACCCTCCTCCCAGTGGAAACGGGGCCTGACTGCCAGCGCCCAGTGCCAGGTGCCCAGCTGGGCCTCAGAACACACTGAGGGCAGATGTGGTGGGTCCTCCCAGCTGTTGTGGGGGTGGGGCTCCGTGGGAGAGTCATCGGCCTTTAATTAAAAAGTCCCTAAATTGCTTCCCCAGCTGCTCAGTGGGTTTTCCATGTTGGAATGTTCCAGATGGGGTGAGAAGTGCTGATTCAATTACTGTCTTCCTGGTCTGCCCAGTGGAGGAGAGGGGGCCAGAAACCCCTTCTCCCCACTCCAAGCCCAGCCAGACTGGGATGGGGGTGGTGGGGGTGGTTCTCACAGCCCTGGGTGTCCAGACAGGGGCTTGGAGACACCTGGGGAGGTGGCTGCTTCTACCTTGGGGGGTCCTCGCCCACCCCAGACCTTCTGGCCATGGTTGGTGCGGGCTGGGGGCCCATGGGACCCATTCTCCCTGCCCCTGGGGACTGCAGGAGCATTGGGTGAGGACAGGGACAGTGTCCTCCCCTCTGGGCCCTGCACGTGCAGGCTCTGGAAACCCTGAGCAGAGCCTGGCCCAGCAGCCCCGTATCAAGCTGGAGAGGGGGAGGCATCGGGACGCTGGCCTGAAAGTTCTTCCCTGTCATGAATCTTCACTGTAGATGAGAGAGGAGACCTGGAAAGTGCTGGGGCTTCCCCCGTCCTCCTCATCACCTATAAGCCCATCTCCACCCCAGGGGCAGCTCCCCCAGCCTGGGGATCCTGGGAGCACAGCTCTGGGTCCCCTCTGTGCCCTGGAAGCTGTGCACTGAGGGGCTGGGGATTTGCTGACATTGTGAACCCAGTGGCTTGTTTCTGTGGGACTCTCTCTTTCTAGAAGTTTCCTCTCTAGTTGGCAAGGCCTGACTCCTGAGGAATCTATCCTCGGAACCAAAGCCGGGGCAGGGGGGTGGAATGGGGGGCTCAGGGAGAGGGTGAGGGGCAGGGAGTGAGTCGGGGGTGGCCTTGGGACCTTATGAACCCATTTCATCCACCTTAGCCCTGGGGACAGCCTTGGGGCCGCTGGGAGCCATCAGTCCCCAGGCATGGCTGTAGGCAGGTGTCCCCCGCTGCAGGAAGCCCCCTACTCCTGCACCTGGGAGCCTCGTCCTCCTCTGCCTGCTCTCCAGTGCTGAGCTCGCTTTTTGTCTATTTCCTGCATGTCCACCTTATTCTCCCAGCCATTGTCAGCTCCCTGAGGAGAGAGACTGCCCTCCAAGTAACCACAAAAGCATAGCAGCAACTACCAAACACCAGGACACCCAAACGAAGGGAGGAGGGATGAGCGGATGAGGCAGGGAGCAAGGGGGGCTGCCCCAAGAGCACCCTGCAGGGGGCCAGCCGTGCCAGGGCGGGGCAGCAGGCACCTCAAGGTGGGAGGCGGACAGGCCTCAGTTGGTTGGAGGGCTGGTTAAGACAAACTGTGACTGTAGAATAGGCCCTCTGTTTTAAAGGGTGTGCGAATAAAAACTCCAACAATGATCACGGCAGCATTATTCACAGCAGCCAAAGGGTGGAAACAACTCTGTGTCCGGCATGGGTGAACAATAAACAAAGTTTGGTCTCTCCATACGATGGAATATTATTCAGCCAGAAAAAGGAAACAGTCCTGATATGTGCTACAGCATTAGCATCCTTGAAAAAAATGCTAACTGAGAAGACAGACTCCAGAGGTCGCCCGTGGTATGATTCCGTTGATGTGAAATGCCCAGAACAAGCAAATCCGTGGAGACAGGAAGCAGGTTGGTGCTTACCAGGGGTGGGGCGGGGGGAGTGGAATGAGGGGTGACTGTTTAATGGGCCCGGGGTTCCTTTGGGGGATGAACATGTTGTGGAACCAGATAGAGGCGGCAGTTGCACAACCTTGTGAATGCACTAAACTGCCACAGACTCATTCACTTGAAAATGGTTAGTTTTGTTATGTGAATTTCACTTCGATTTCAAAAAAAAAGGCCTTCCATAGAAAAGTCAGCCATAGAGGCACAGGTCAGAGAGAGAAGGTTCTGGGAGATCTTTATTTGTTGACATGAAGCTTTCACTGAGGAATGCGGACCAAATGCAGATGCAACGTGATGGAAGGGACGGGTCAGGGGAGTAAGTGTGAGTTTTCCTCCCCTGGCAGGGGTGAAGGGAGCTGTACACGTGGCAGCGTGGCAGCGGCTCTGTTGTCGGCAGCCTGAGGGCTGGTCCTTCTGTTCCTTTCTGGTGGTTCTTGCCCCAGACTCAGTTTCCCCCGACACCTGCGCCCCTCAGTCCTCAGCTGAAGGTTTGAAGGGACCCCCTGCAGATCTCAGGCTCCCTCCACGCGTGGCTCCTCTTCTCTAGTGTCCCACAGAGTCCAGCCGCCTTGGTTCCTAGATGCTCTGCTCCGATTCTTCATCACAGCGGGTCGACTGGCCTGCCTCAGCTCCCCTCTCTGCACTGGGCCCTGGAAGCCGTCTCCGGCCACAAGCTGGGGCGATCGTAGGACTCCCTTCCTGTTTCCCGTCTCCCAGTAACGCTGTCCTGTGCTGCCCACGGCCACTGTCTGAAAACCACAGCTTCGTAGGCTTTGTCTCATTTCTCGCTTGTGTCAAGCAGATCGCTAAATCCAGTCCCTGTTACTCTAACTCGGCCCGAAGTGGAGACGTACATCAGAGAGTAAATGGTCTTTTTTTTTTTTTTTTTAATCAGAGACTGTGTTATCTTAAATGGAGAAATGGAGGGAGCAGGGCTGGCTTCATGCCCTGGCTGGGCTCTGACCCTGCTGTCAGCAGGGAATGGAACACGTCCGCTCTGAGGACCCCCAGGATGGGCAGGGCTGGGTCCTAAAGGGCTTCCTTGGGCAATGGTGATTGCTCTGGCCCCGGCTGGGGCTGGTCGGAGGTGGGGTGCATGCCAGACCACCCGCTGTCACCCACGTGTCCCTCCTGTCTGCTCTGTCCCCATCTTAGGATGCAGGGAGGGTCCAGATAACATCTCAGAGCGGGAGGTGGCCCCCTTGGGTTGCACAGCCCCTATGGGGAGAGGGAGAAAGGGGACTTTGGCTCCTTGGGCCTGAACCCGGGGGAGAGCATCACTGAGAGGCCAGTGTCTGCAGGCCTCACTGACAGGGCCTCACTGACAGGGCCGCACTGACGGGGCCTCACTGACAGGGCCTCACTGATGGGGCATCCAGATGAGGATGGATGCTGCTGCCCTGGTCTCACAGGAGGTGGACTGAAAAATCCCATAGCAGATTATTTAATTACACTGAGCCATGGATGGGCCTTAACTAGCTCTGTGGGCTCAGGGGGCCACTGAAGTCCTCATGGGACTGGGCCCCACTGGGAGGGGGATTCTGGACAAGGTGAACTCAGCCAAGCTGGCTGTCAGGAGGAGGGTGGGGAAGCCAAGGCCCCTAGGTTCTGGGAAGAGGGGCTTGGCGCTTCTTGTGCAAGAGGCAAGGGTGGAGGGGCTGGCACTGGTGGCAGAAGCGGCCCCCAGCACGCCTGGCCCAGCACACTGGAGGGGGCATGTCTGGGCCTTGCCAGGCTGCCGATGGGAGCACATGTGCTCTCCCCAGACTCTCAGGGATGCTGGAACCCTGGGGTCCTTGGCGTTTCTGAAGGCAAGAGATTTCTTCCCTGACTTCAAGTTCGCTCTAGAAACTGCCTAAAGATTGTTCTTTCTCGTGAGTCCTGTCTGGTTGTGGAGATCCTGGGACCTGCTATCGGCTGGAGATCCAGGTCGCAAACCAGCTGTCTCAGAACACACTCATGGGTTTTCGTTTATGGAGGCGACTGAGTGATGACACGGAGAGGTCAATGCCATTGAGAGATTTTTATTACTTACATTTCCCAAGAGAAGGGGCACACCATACCATGCAGGGCCACATGGGGAAGCACCAGTGTAGGTCAGGAGGTAGAAAGGAGTGGGGAAGCTGAGGCCAGAGCCTTTATTGGGGTTCAAGGGGAAGGCAAGGCAGGACAGGGTAGACAGCCCAGGATTGGCTAGTTTGAATAATTCTGGCATGCCTGGGGCCCCAGGGCTGCCCCAGCTGTCAGTACCTGGCCCTGGGTGACTTAGGGCAAGGGCAATATTGGCATGACAGTGAGAGGTAGATAAGGAGGTGGTTCAGAGTATGGGCTCTGGTCGTATGCAGGGGAGATGTAAACAACTGTGGCTGGCAGTGGGGCTCTGTGATTCATGCATGCCAATTGGACAAACACAGAATCTAGGAAAATGGTCAGAACACTAGCCTCAGGTCCTTTTGTGCAGGGGCTGTTCCTTTGGAGCTGGCCCTTTGCCAAGCCTTGGACCATGGCCCCCACCCTGGGGATTTGTCTCAGCTGTGAACTGTTTTCTGGGACGCTCTGGGTTCCAGGCTGCCGGGGCCTTGGGTTGGGCATGTGTCCATGTCACCAGGTCCACTGGCTGGGCATGGCAGCCCCTTCACAGACCATCCCACCTCACCCTCACCCCAGAGACTCTCTGGCCTGCTCCCAGGGCAGGGGTGGTGAGGCTGGGGGGCGTTGTGGGACAAGCTGGGGCACAGTCTGTGCCAGACAAACTGGCCTGGGTAGAAGAGGTTCGCTCAAAACCCAGGGTGGGGTTGAGGGTAGGCACGCTGGGCATGGCCCATGGTGGCTCCTGGAGGCTGGCCAGTCTGCTGGGGTCCGGAGGTAGGACCCCCTGTGGACACGGGTGCCAGGGCTGCATCTCCAGACAGGCTGTGGGTAGGGCCTGGCCAGGAATACCCTGAAGGCCTGGCTTGCTGGGGACTCTGTCTGTGGCAGCCAACAGGAAGACCTGAGGGACAGCAGGCCATCAAAGCCAAGGAGACTCTCCAGGTGCGTGCACACCTGCAGGCTTCCCGACCTTGGCAAGGTCCCTGCCCCTGAGCCCGCTGCCCTGGGAGCTTCAGCCCCACCTTCAGAAGTGAGACTCCTCTGCTTGACCCCCAGCGCAGGCACTGCCGGCTGCCAGGGACATCAGACAAAAGGCCAGGATGCTTCTCCCGCTCAGAGCCAAGCTCTGGCTTTGAGGCGGAGGAATTCCTTTCATACTGCTTAATCTGAGCCACATTGCCTGGGCTTTTCGCTGGAAGAGCTGTAGGAAAACCATCAGTCAACAAAGACAGTTAATGCAAAACTGTTGCCAGGAGGGTTTCCTACCCG